ACGAATATTTCGATAGGAGCTATCTAGTAAAGACTTCTATAGATAGGCTCTATTATTACTTATATATATAGTATACTCTATATAGTAGACTCGATAGGGGCCGTCTAGTAATAGTATCGCTAGACTAGCCTTATTAGTACTTATATACCTTATTCTATAGACTTACTAGGAGCCGTCTAGTAATAGTATTACTAGATCGACCTTGTTAGTACTTATATACTTTATCCTATAGACTCGCTAGGAGCCGTCTAGTAAGGTCTTCGCTAGATAGATTCTAATATTATTTATAGACGGTACCCTACCTCCTACTTATCGAGGTCTCCCTTTTACGCCTTCTCCCTCCTTACTCTCCTATATAAGTAGCTAAAAGCTACGGCTAAAATTTCCTTTATATCTATTTTCCTCTATATATCCCCTACCTCTACTCTAACCCCTATCTAATTAAAAACTAATATCCTTATCTATTTTTCTAATAAGGCGTCCTAATCTACTATCTAACCCCTTCCTAATATAATATTATACCCTACTACTCGTAGTAGAATATATATAAATATATACTTCTATTGATTACTTATAATATTTAGAGTTATATACTCTACTTCTATTATCGTCTCGCCTATCGGTTTATTTATACTAGAGAGTATATATAGTATAATTAGAATACGCTTAATATACTACTTCCTAGTAAAGGCTAATATTATTACTCTATAGACTCTATAGCTAGTATCTATTATAGTTCTAGCTATAGCGGTTTAATTTACTATAGTATCTATAACGATATATAGACTTTCTATCTTTCCTTTCTAGAATCTTTATTATTCTTATAATATATCTTCTTAGGGCTCCTATATATACTTTAATATAGGAGCTAGTCTTTTCTCTAGCCCGAGTAGTTAGCGTCCTCCTCCTCTTTTAGGTCTAGCGGTGGTTCTAACGCCGCTAAGGTTATATCTATAACCTATATTATTAGGCGTAGTAGTAGATAAGGGTAAGCTACGACGAAGTAGCCTACGCCTCTATAGTATAAGTATCTATAGCTCTATCTATACTTTTCCCTCTCTTTAGGCGACGCCTACTTAGTACGGCGAGCTAGCTTCTAGGCGGTACTATTAATATCTATAGGGTCCCCTCGAGGGACTACTAGGGCGAGAGCGCGGGGCTACTAGTTTTAAGAGCTCTATACTCTATAACCTTGGAGCTCGATACGTTAGATCTAGGCTACTCGCTATACCTCTTTAGACCTATTATTTATTTACTTAAGGAGAGAGTAGTAGTCTTTATAGGACTCGAGGGTATCTACTCTAATTATATACTCTAGAAGCTTAGGGTCTAGAGCTATCTATAGTACTTCTATCTTTACTATATCGTCCTAAGTATAGCCTCCTACTTCTATAATAACTTGATCAAATTCTATAAGAAACTTAGCTAGTACTTACTTCCCTTAGCGTATAGTATATATCCGCCACCTAGCCTTCTCCTATCGAGCTAAATTAACGAAAAAGTAGTTTAGGTAAGTATAGAAATATACTAGTATAAACTAGCTTAGGTCGTACTAATTATACTCTACCTAGGGAAGGACTCTCCTTACTACTACTCCTTCTAGTCGAGAGAAAATATACTATACTTACTAGCTAGGGCCCCTAACTAACTCCCTATCTACTATAAGTTTAGCGTTAATTTTTATCCTCTATAATAGATAGTCTAATAGTCTTTCTCTACTAAACTTCTCCGCGTTTAGTAAAGTAGGTTTTAGCTAATTAGAGTATAGTAGTATCTATATTAAGGGGGCCGGTGAGGCTTAGAGGGTAAGATATACTACTAGAGGTATCTCCTACTTCTATACTCTCTCTCTTAGCGTAGCTAGCTATACTATTAAGGTTCTAATCTACTCCGTCTACCTCTCTATAAGGGTACTCTACTACTCTAGAAAAGCTCCTAACTAACTCGGTGGCTAGTTACTATTCTACTATCTATTTCTATTATTCTTCTAGCTCTAACGTTAGCCTTCCGCTATATCTATTGCGTTCTAATCTTCTATTCTAATATTCCTATACTAATATTTCTAATATCTTCTATATACTCGATATACCTAATATATTTAATATAACTAATATATCCAATATAACCAATATATCTAATATAACTAATATATCTAATATGACTAATATGTCTAATATAACTAATATAACTAATAAGACTAATATAATAATATATTTTATAATATTAACGGCCGAAGAGAGTTTTATTTAACTAACTAAGGGTATCCGTAAGTCGAAGATAAAATATATAGAGAAGAAGAAGAAAGGGGAAAAGGAAGGAAGTCGGTAATAGGGGATAGAGCTATAGCTTTAGGCGTTAAGGTTATATAACCGTATTAAGGGTTATATACGCGAGAGTAAAAAGGGGGAGTCTAGTAATAGTATCTCTAGATAGGCCTTACTACCTTGTCGATTATAGAGCGCGCGGTGACCCGAGAAGGGAATAGGGGTCCAACCCCTTACAATTACTATTCCTTCTAGGAATATTAAGGCGGTAAGTACTTTATTAGTTTCGTTTATAATTCTTGTTACGTTTACTACAAAGTAGAGGTCTATCTATACTAGGAATATTTATAACTTCCCTCGTTCTCCTTTAAATAGTATTAGTTTATTAACTTTAAGTTCTCCTACTAACCCGCGTCTCTAGATAGCTAATATTATCTCGAGTTATTATATATATAGATTTATCTATTAGATAACTTCCTATAGACTAACTATTAGTCCTAAAGTTATTAATCCGGTATTAGGTACTATAGTTTTCTTTAGGTATTCTTCCTATAGGTTAGCTTACTTATTAGGGTATAGAATATATACCTAAACTTTCTTCTATTTATTAAGTTCGCAAGTTAATTTATATTTAACTTCTAGCGAGTAAATAATAAGTCGGAATTAATATTTAGTTCCTATAATTATAGATATAAGGCGATTAATACTATAAAGAGGGGTTCTTTAGTCTATATAACTAGAAGTATACTTAAGTAAGAATTACTTAAAGGCTCTTTATAGATAGTTAGATTAAAGTATTATTAGAGATACGTCTAAATAGAGATACTCTAGTATCCAACTTTAAGATAATAGCTCTAAATCTAGCTTACTCCTATAGGTATAAGTTCCTTATTATAATTAAAGTAGTACTCTAGTTAATTAGGTATAAGGCTTATTAAGGGATATTAATTAGATAAAGGAAGTATACTTATATTAATTAGTACTATAAAGCTATAACTTACTATAAAGTTAACTTTAATTATAAGTATTAAAAGAACTCTTAATTAAGGTAGAAAACGAGTATCTTTATATATATATTAATCTAAATCTATATTATCTATTTCCTCGTAAATCTATTATTAGTCTTAAACCTTAAGTCTATTATTAGATTCGACTTTTAAATCTATCGTTAGATTTAAACCTCGAATCTATCGTTAGATTCCCTAGTACCTTAGTAACTTAGATTCCGTATAATTATATGATCTATTTGTCCCAAGTTTCCTGTCTACTCTGTGTTGGTCCAATGAATGTGGTTGCCTGAGTTGTGCCGTAGGTGGTCCGTAACAAGATAGATCTTACTATCTCGTCGATTATAGAGCGCGCGGTGACTCGAGAAAGGAATAGAGGTCCAACCCCTTATATAATCCTTAGAGTTCTTCTATACTAGAACTCTGTTTGTCTAATAAGTGTACTTATCTGAGCTATACCGCAGATAGTTTGTAATATTATAGCACTATAAAGCTATAATTTACTATAAAGCTAGCTTTAATTATAAGTTATAAAAGAACTTTTAATTAAAATAGAAAATAAATATTCTTTATATATATATTCTATCTAGATATATAAATTATGGCGAAAATAAATAGACGGCGCGATATTATCTATTTTCTCTTAAATCTATCGTTAGATTCCCTAGTAGCTTAGTAAGTTGTAACTTAGATTCCGTATAATTATATGATTCTTCTTATCCCAAGTTCCTCCTCCCCTTATGGTTCTGTTATCATGCCAATGAGCGTGGTTATCTGGGCTATACCGTGGATGGTCCGTAACAGATGAGCCCTGTTCACGGGGAAGAAAAGATGCATGAAGATGGCGCTGATATATATCTCGTAATTAGACGATTAAGCGCTCTATCTTTACACCGTTTTTGATTGGCTGAGAACTCCCCAGATATCAGGAACGGAACACTTCTGATACGCTCTGAACCTAGTAAGAAAAGTCATTCATCCCTAGACAGAGACGCAAACAATGTAATGAGATGATCCTGACCGTGAATCTGCCTTATTCTATTAGTATGGCTATTCACAAACGGCCGAAATACAATCCGTTTCTTTTAGCATCTGTTTACCAAACCTCGTTGTAGTGCTCGTTATTTTGTCGGCGACTGGCAGTGTCTGAATCAATTAATCTACCAGCATACAATATACATACATACACAGTTGAAACGTAGGGCTCCATTATCGTACGAACCCCTGCGCGTGCATATCTGAGATACCCCCAGTTCGTCCCCCAGGTTCATTCATGCACTACGCCACAAGATACCTTGCGCCTGATGAGGGGAAGTCATCACAATGCATAATCGATGCATTATCTTGACACAGAATAAATGATCGCACCAATGACAGGTGTGAACAGTGCAGTCGATCATGCATATACGGGGCGGTGCTTTTCCTCCTCCTGCAATAATGGACGATTTCAATGCGGTCGGAAACCACTAGATGCCATTGAAACAATTCATCGTCTAGGAGGGTGTGGCTTGGTCGTTAAAACCCTTGTTTTAGTGTGGCCGCAGGGAATATACCAGAGGTCAAGATCCAGAAATAGAGCCGTTTGTAGAGCGGTGTTTCTATATATTTCTCCTCAATTCGCCACGATGACTACGTTCTATCTCCATGAGCAAGACCAGGTCTCAAATACGATTCCACCTTCTATCAGAGTTGAGTTCCTCGGAAAACCCTTCTGCTTCTATCTTTCACAATGGCAGTCTCTTTGTCGAGACGTCCTTCGTATCCCGTCTCCAGATACAACACTCACCTCACCAGCCCCCCGACCGCTAGCTACGAAACACCAGGCGAAACCCTAGCCGATATCATAGATGTCCCTCTCGACTACAAATGCGTAGGAATCGCCAAAACTTATGGCGATCGCTGTAGGAATCCAGTCGCTGGTGCTAATTTGGGTAGTGCCTCAAGGTTGCTACAGCAAGGTACCCTCTATCTACGCAACGGACAAGATGTATACCCTATCCTCGAGCAAGCGGCACCCTATCTCCTTTGCCGCAGATGGCATCAAAATCAGGCCTATAACATGGTCCGTCAGTGGTACAGAAAGGTTACTGCATTCCTACAATCGCAGAACGACCGCACACATATACCCCGAGCTGTGCATAGTACGCCCAGGCCTGTACTTTCGTCAGCTCCTCTCCGGCAGCGTTCTATTACCCAATACTCTGTCGAAGAATTCGATTCATCTGATCTAGGCACGCCTTCCTACAGGCCCTTCAGTTCTTCTCAGAGCTCCAGAACCACCTCCAACTCCTCTGACAGAAGGAGTTTTACAGACCCTTCTCCTGTTGCTAGAGCGCGTTTACTTCCAGCCCCCGCTCTCGTTCCAACTCCAGTCCGAATTGCAGCCCCAGCCCCAACCCCAGCTCTAGTGGCTACTCGAAAACACATCAAATCCAACGAAGACTGTCCGATTTGCAAAGAAAGGTTTATACCCGGTTCATACGATCCGAGTCGCCCCAGATACCCTGGCCGTCACCGTATAGCATGGTGCAAAGTTCGGTGTGGCTCGAATTTCCATGCTGACTGTATTAACGAATGGAGGCGGCAGCACAGTGGACTACCGCAACCTAACTGCCCGTGTTGGTATGTGCTTCTTCACCTTCCTCATCTTTAACTTTCTTCTATACATCAGCTAACCCAGATTGTTAAATATAAACAGTCGCGCTACTTGGGTAGACGATAGAGATTTCTCAGATCCCGAAATCGAGGAAGAAGAGCCGGAGCCTACTACAGCCCGAAGTGGCGCCTCCGGCAGTCGTGGACAGTCTCATTCAAACGAGACTAGTGAGGCCTCCAGAAGAATAGAAACGACAGACCAAGAGTCAGATGAAGATACGCACGAGAACTCAGATTATGAGATAGATGACGACTCAAGCGACGTAACGAATGATGACGATGAGTGGAAACACGTAGATGAAAAAATAGAAGCAGAAAGTATAGAAGAGGAGGAGGAAGCTACATCAGATACAGCTGTCGGAGATGAAGTGACTGGAACAACGGAAGATGAACAACAGCAGGCCACAGCTGTTTCTGAAGTGGATGGGGAAGAGCCAGCAGCAGAACCAGCCGAGGCAGAAGCCCTGAATGCAGGGGATGGGGACAAAGAAGCAGCGAGGGACGTTACAGAAGCAGAACCGGAACCGGTTCCAGGTGCAACTGAGGAAGCAGAGCCAGAGCATTCTCACCAGGAAGAAGGAGTACGACAAGAAGAAGGGGAAGCAACAAGTTCAGAGGTAGTTGTTGTCGAAGAAACTGTGGAGCGAACTATGGTGGATCGAGAAACAGACCCCATCATCCCTGACGATTCGAGTGGCCGCACAACGACTTTTATTACTGAAGCCAAGTGGAAAGAAACACAGTTGTCGGTGCCGGTACTACTACCCAAATACGTCTGGGATCCAACTGATGACACCCATCCCCGCGGCTACTTTGATGCCATCATTGTTCTTTTATATATTATTTTAGCCATTTGATACCCTAGGCTGTTATTCTGATTTCGGAGTTTGGGTTTTGCATGCGATCAGCTATATAACGATTAACGACCAATTTCATACTTTGAATACAATTAAAGCCAAGTTGAGATTATTAAATTGACTATCTTATAATATTTAGGCCTTCATTAGGCTAGGAAGTTTTTGGTAGATCGAGCGGATGTTAGTCAGTGATGACTCAACACTTTATAAATTTGCTTTATTATATAAGCACACACTAACTAATATTGGGAACATCAACTGTCACTTACTAATCATCTATGAGGTCACCAACTTTTCTTTGTCGTTCCATCTTTCTTCTTCAGTTCCTTAAACGGCAACAACACACAGATTGGCATATAAACTCGCACCTTTTTCCTCGCTCTCTCTCTGACTCCTGGCAACGCAGACTTCTTCCAGTTATTGCACAAGCTTTGCTCTCTTTCCTTAACCAAACGGCTGCATAACCAACAAAAATGGAGGAACAAGGACCAGGAAAGGAGTTCGACTGTGAGAAAAGAGCTCGTCTAATTGCAGCCATCCAAGACCTGCTCCAGGATCACCCTACTTCCTCTGCTTTATGGGCATGTCTCTGGCTAGCCGATGTTCCCCGACTAGAAAAGCTCGTTGAGGATGCTTCTGTTCCTGCTGAGATAGGGAACCCAAATCTCACTTTTGACGGTCTCATTTCATTTAAATTCCGCAACATTGTCCTGTCATGGTCTCAACGAAACCGTGTGACTCCCTCTACTCCAAACCAATCCACAAGCCCTACGGGAACATCAAGCGCACTCCACCGCTTAGCTGCTATAAATCAAGCAGCGCCACACACCAAGGACGCAGGGGAAGGGACCGAACAGGCTACATTGGCATCTCATACACCGCCTCGACCTACAAAACGCCGACGAGTGAGCAGCCGGTCTCCCTCGCCATCTACGTCTGATAGGTCTCGCTCAGCAACTGCTGCACAGGATTGCCGATCTAGAGACGGCAATAGGTGTATAATAACTAAAGCCTATGATCCGATCGATGTGGCCCATATTTATCCCTACTCGATGCGCAACGTTGTGGTAGGAGGATCCAATTCATCCTTCTGGAATCTTTTAAGTTTTTTCTGGACTGAACCACACATCCGCTCCTGGTATGCATCTGTGTTTCCGAGGGGAACCGAGGTGGTCTCGAACCTCCTCTGTCTTGCTCCCCAAATGCACAGGTATCATGAAAAGGCTTTGTTTGCCCTACAGCCCATCAATTTGTCGGAGGATAAGAAATGCATGACTTTGAGATTTTACTGGCTTCCCAAACGCAACTTTTCCAACTCTGTCAATCTATCGGATCCCCCAACTATCCCTTCAAATCTTAGCGGTTTAGGCCAGGAACATAAGGCGTGGCATATACAAACGGAAAAGAAGATAAGCTCAGGGGACAAAATTATCATGGAAACAGATGATCCGGACAATTTCCCCTTACCTGACTGGAACCTTATGGACATGCAATGGATACTGCAGCGTCTCGCGTCGTTAAGTGCCGCTGCAGATATTCTCCACGAAGATTATGATGATGATGACAGCAGTGGAATTGAGTGGGGTGACAACCTGAGCTGTGGCCAGTGGGAAGAAGAAGATGAACTTGTTCGCATTCGTAGAAGTGTGGGCTCATCGGATCAGGAGGTAGAAAATCAGGAGCTCATTGCCCCTTCCCCTGACATTCAAAAGTCTACCGCTGCCCCTACGCCTCTATATGTTCCTTCTACCCACTGTTAACCCTTGTTGTATTTCTTCTTTTATTGATATTCCACGTTATCTTTTTTCTTTTCCCCCCTTTGTCTGAGACTCTAAGTAGAGTTAAATCGAGTCTCGGAGTCTTTATTATTACAGCATTAATAAACCAATTTTAATAGCTTTTTATTTTTATTATTATTTTGAAATATTTTAAAATTAAATATAAAAATATATAAAAGAATAAATAATATCTAACAAGTATTATATATAATATAATTTAATATAATAAATTTAAAAGGAAAAATATTAAAGGGTTTAACTTTATATTTATATTCTAAATGTAAATATAGTAGAATATCTTTTAGTATCTATCTATATTCTCGAGTACGTCACCCGAAAGCCCCTCGCATCTACCTCCACGGCCTTATCCCCGTCCTCATTTAAAGCGATCACTATTTCATCCAGCGAGACCCCAGCCAAGACCAGCCCTGATACCTGAACCGAATCCACGCAATTTCTCACAAATGCGCCCTCTGGGACAGGCTCGTGTGTAAGTATGGTCCGAAACCACGCTGTTACCCGCTCCTGCTCTGCAGCCCGCTGGGGAACATTCGTATTTGGTCGCCCTGTGCGCCGAACCCTGCCACAACGTCCGTCCCGTTGATGAGGAAGCGGGAGATGAGGAGGCCTGGGCTGGCGTCCACGGTAAGGACGAAGGTGTCATTCGATCCAGGGCGCATATATGTGCCGGCGTACACGCGGGCCGCTTCCTCCTTGGCGGCCTGCTCAGAGGCCGGGACGGTGATTGCGGCGACGATGTCAGTAACAACCGCATTGAGAGCGTTGGGCTTGTCGCCCGCACCTAGGAAGTTGAAGCCAATGCCATAGTCTGGCAGTAGAACGATCTGAGCGGAGTATAGTCCAATATCTCCACCCTTTGTGTACATCCAAACGGATTTCTCGGGCAGAGGCGCCTTGTAGATTTCCCAGGGCCGCCCAACTAGCATCGCGTCGTTGGCGGCGAAGGTCTGGGGCTTCATCCAGCGGCGGGTCTGTGCTGGGGATAGCAGTGTAGAGCTGAGTATCGCTTTGCCGATTGGTCGCATGTCTTTGGTCGAGGAGTAGAAACCACCGGCGGGGGCAGCGTCCATAAGATCGTCAGTGTACTGGGCAGCTGAGTCGTTGTGGGGGACAACGCCCTGGCTCAGGGGGGCATTTGAATAGTAAGTATCTTTCAGCTGTAGCGGCCCGGTCACTTTCGAGGCGAAGAGAGAAGGGAACGACTGGTTCGTCATCTCTTCCAGCGCATACCGCAGTAGAACATATGCCATGTTTGAGTATGCCGGGCCCCAATATGGGGCGAATGACGGGTGCTGAAAATTGATACTTCCAAGCACACCAGCTCGCTTATATGGTATAGCGTTGTTATTTGGGCATTCGGCATCAGTGATGTTTCTTGGGACGGGCGAGAAGATTGGAGCTGGCACGCCTGGAGGGAGACTAGCCAGCAGCAGCGCGTCGCTAGCTGGAGAACCAGCAACCTCTCGCGGAATCCCTCCAAGCTGAGAGGCAAGCGCCCCGATCGTTACTGAATCCCAATCCATGAAGTCTGTCTGCTGCATATGCGACGAGCTCGGGGACATATTTGGTGATGGGCTCGTTGAACGAGACATCGCCAACGGTAGTGAGAAAGGTATAGACAGTCAGAAGCTTGGATATGCTACCCAGGCGGTAGATACCGTTGGAATCTACCTCCCTCACACCATCCGTAGAGTCCGCAGGGCCAGGTGCATTGTAATGGTACGTGAACAGGGCATCATCCTCGTGGATGGAGAATATGTCCAGGGAGAAGGACGTCGCATTCGCATCCACGTCGCCGTAGGACGTCACCCCAGAGCTGATGGCATCTGAAATCGCCTTCTTCAGGGAAACAAGAGCGTCCTGGAACACAGTGCTGCTTGACAAGTATCTCGGAATGGATATATCGGGTCCTAGTAGCGAACAAGACCGGTACTCAGCGAGGGCAGATTCAGCGAACAACAGGCTCCTGGCCACGAAGACGGCGTTTGAAAGGCGCATGCTGATTGTTTAATTCAATGGAGGGCCTTCGTCTTCACTTATATTCACTGGGATTGCCATGGTCGGTCGAGTGACAGCCGGAGGATGTGAACTGCGATGTTAGCAACCCATGTTCGATTGATCCTTCGGGGCCATGGGGTTGTTCCCTTTTCTCCGCTCGGGCGGCGCTGCTGTAGCTCTTCTGGACAGAGGAGCCTGTTGTATCGAGAACCAGGCGCGAAATATCATTCTGTGATCGCATCAATAGATGTTGTATCCATATTTGTATCTTTCTCCTAAACCTAACCCCTAGCATTGTTAATTTTTCATTCTAAACAAGCACTAGGCCGCATTGTTAGTTCATCTCTTGGTTGTAAAAACTTATCGCTTATAGAGTAGGGATATAATAAGTAATAGAGTAATAACTATAGAAACTTCATAGAGGCAAATCTGCGACTAATGAGGCTACGTAGTTCCCCTGACTAATTATAATGTTAACAATTTAGAACCCGAACAGATTCTCGTCCTCTTTATACCCCCATTGTGTCAAAGCAGGCATCACCGCTTTCTGGATCATCGCTGGCGGGCCACAAAGCAGAGCAACGTTCCTTTTACCTGGTTCAAACGAATGTTCCTTGATGATATCGGCATTAATGTGACCTCTCAATCCCTTCCAGTCACTGCTTGGATTAGAGAGCACATGCACAATCTCGAATTGGTCTCTATGTTTTCTAGAGAACTCGTCAAGGTCTTCTCGTAGCAGGATGTCTTCTTCTGTCTTATTTCCGTCGATGACCTTGATCTTTGTCTTGTCGTTGCTATTTTGTAGAACCCTTGCAAGCACCTGGTAGCCAGGAGTGACTCCAGATCCGCCCAATATGAGGGAGACGTTGTCAAATATGTACTCCTTGCCGTCGACAGTGAAACGGCCGTTACCGTGGTACCTTATCTCGCCTGACGGGCCTTTAACTTCAATTTCTTCATCGTCACGAAGACAGTCGAGGATGTTACTCATTGTACCACCTGGCTGGTCTTTATTTGGGAAATATGTCTTCACAACAAGGTCAAATGTCCCGTCATATTCCTCGTTTGAGATGGGGCGCACAGGGGTATAGGGGCGAACAACAAGGCTGTCCCTGAAATGGAATCCGACTTGGATATGCTGACCGGTTTCTAGACCAAGCTCCTTAGCTGAAGAGGGGAGCTTAAATGTATATCGCCTAGTATCTGCAGAGAGAGCTTTTTTCGCAATGAGTTTTGCTTGAACCCACCTACAGGTCTGTCGTCAAAATCAAATGCTCCAACATAGAGTGTAAATACATGGCCGTACCTGTGATGATCTAGAGCTACCTTAGAGTCTTCATCTTCCGACTTTGGCCATTCCTTTTTCCTTTCCTCCGCATCCTTCATCATATGATCCATTGCTTTTTGCGTAACTTTCCCTAGAATACACTCTGTACGCCGTTAGAAATGGGCCTTAGCGATATACACACTTCGAGCTAAGGGGGAAAAATACCTTTGAGCTTGTCCTGGGCATAATTATCATGTATACTGCTGAATTCCTCTGTTGTATCCCAATGCACAATGCCAGCATGCGCCATGATAGCCCCTTTACCCCCAGGATGCCAGCTAAGGACTTCCGTGGCATCATAAACATTGCCATTTACAACGATCCAACAGTCATTCTCGGTATGATGCTTTTCAATCTCCTGTCGAGTGAACTGCTTCTCAGGAGAACTGGCGTTTCGTTTAATTTCTTCCATCCGCTCCTCTGTGGATGGTTTCATCCAGCCATTCGTCCCACTTCCTGCGTCCACAGGGTGGCGGAAGAGGAGGTATGCCTCCTCGTTCTCTGGGCTATCAAAAACCTCGGGTTTTACTTCGTACCAACAGTTGTTCATCATTCTATAACATGGTCAGTGGATATGTTAATTATAACTAAGAAATGCTGTATAGAGAGATACTTGATTTGCTCACCCTGCGATATTCCACACTGGCTTTCGTGGTTGGGTGTTTTTGTGTGAATCAAATGCTCGAACTAGAATGCTTTGCGCACGGATAAGCTTAGTGATGTCCAAGTCGATGTGCCAGTGCAACCAGGCCCAGAATTTTTTGCCATGCCGAATTGGCTTGTCAGGGTACTATGTATGACTATTAATTCCTGAGGCTCATGAAAGAGAAGATGGAACAAAACTCACTCTGCGAGAACAGTAAAGCCAAGTCTCTCCCCCGTCTAAGCTAATCTCTACTTTGTCAATTTCATCTCCGCTTCCACTATAGGCATACCCCACAACCCTATACATCGTTCCCTTCTTGATATCAACCAGGTCGACCTTTTCACCTTGAGCCGGTTTCACGATGATGGAGTTTAACATCTGCTCGTTGCAGATAGTGCTAGGATGATGGTACATTAATTGTGCAATCTCAGATTCGGTGTCGGTTATAAAACTTGGGAGCTGCCTATTGTCGTAGATGTGATAGTGGCTATCATTCTCGTTCTCAGTCACCCAGACTTTGGCCAGCCACTTGATAGATCGCGCTCCCACCCAACCAGGGAGTATTAATCGCAGGGGATATCCATGATCTGGCGGTAAGGGATGGTCGTTCATTTCGTACGCAAGCATCACATCGTTGATAGGATCCATGACATATTCAAGTGGGACACAAGTGGCATACTTCCCTTCACTAAGCTCATCGGCCCCCTCATAGTTGACCCATAATCTCTTGTTGGGATTCTTTTTCAAAAGATTTTCAACCCCTGCCTCCAAGAGAACGTCGCGAAGGAGAACTCCTTTCCAGTAGGAGCAGCTCGCAGAGGCGGCAGTGAAATTGAACGCTCGAGTCCTTTTGATCATATTCAATTCCTTTCTTCGGCTCCCGTCACAGGCCAGGAAGACGGGTATGTTAACACTTTCGAAAGACTGCTTGAGCCTGTCCATCGAATAGATTAAATGCTGGTCAGCAATCACCTCTACTTCATGATTCTCCCATAGTAAATGTGGAACAGCTCCGTGGTTGCGGACATAATGAATGGGCGAAGGAGTGATAATTCCAGCCTCAAAAAGAGCAGTCAGGTCCGGTTCTGCATTCATCGGATGCTTGCCTGTCAGACGTATTAATTTGTCGCTACGAGGGATCCAATTATCTGGAGAAAACTGATCCGCTTCATCAATCCTCTCTGGCAGATTCTCATCCCGAATCGGACAGCCCCCCTTGCCGTCATTTATCCGCATAGACGACCGATACTGCTGTTCATATCGCAGGGACTGTAGGAGCGCCTCTTCCTCTGGTGTGGGCTTTGGCTTCTCTTTCTCCTGTTCTCTTCTCTCAGCCTCCTCGTGTTTTTCCTTCTCCTCGGCCTCTTTCTTCTGGTTTATAGGCCACGGCTGCCCATACTTGATAAAGCTCTCAGTGGTATGTAGTATATATCTCCAGTAGTCAGGATGCACGTCAGGCCGTTCCAAATGGAAATCCTAACCAGGATTATTAGTCCCAGTAATTCTCACAAGATCAACCTGATGCTAGTATGAAATATAGGTGAGTGTGGTTATAAAACCTTTTGGTCGGTCATAATGTCACGAACGGTGACCAGTTCTCCCCTGGCCACCTTCTCACGCAGCTCTTGGATCTTTTCGTCCACTTCCTCGAGCTCATCGTGATAATCGTCCCCTTCATGGGTCACGCCCATGAACCGAGCATCACGGCCACGAGTCCCCACGCGGTGGCTATGCGTCCGCGTCCAGTCGGGCTCGTTGAGTATCTCGAGGTCAGAGGCCCCTGGGTGTTTTATCGACGGCATCCTCTTTGTTGAATACCACAGAACTCGATGAGAGATTGTTGCAATCCATAACTTCCCATCCTCAGCCCATGCTCAGGGACGCTCGACTCGATATATATTAACATACGTCATAGATGGCATAACTTAATCGATTCAAGTTTGAGTCAACAAGTTAAACTGGTGATTGGTTGATAACTAACGACGAAAGTCACTCCCTCCATAGTCACGGCTGGTCGCCAATCTGGTAGGATTGAATCCGTATGAAGATTATCGTATTTTCTCTACCATGGTGGTGCCATCGAACCCAATTGACAGCACATCGCGCCCATATTATATTGTTAATTGCATATATGTGCGTGCTTTGCTGATATATTACCCTGCATGCGATTGCCCTTAGCCAGGTACTTATAACCCTTGACCATTATTCCACATTTGCACGGTTGGGAGACGTGATATTTATATTCTTTGAAAGACCTATCCATCTAACTATAACACGTTTATACTCTAAACCTAGATGATAGACCTTGATTGAAGCAGATATAAGAAGCAAAAAGCGGAGAATTTTTTGGAGATTGTCCGTACAATACCTCCTCTATCAAAGATTGTGTTCACTATCAGCCCAGCAGAATATGGCCTCAGCTTATGAGTAGTCCATAATTCTTCACCATGGCAAACCATGGGCTCCTTTCCCATATAGCTCTGAAGGTGCTATACTATATCATTTCTGCCATAATGTGGCTAATCTGCGACTTTGACAGACATGATTCCAACCCCTCTATGAATAGGATTGCTATTTTCACTCCCAAAACGCTCTTTGCGGGGTGAGAAAGCATGCCATTGTCATTAAAGTATACCTCCTTCAATGCGAGTGGAGCGAGCAAATTTGGAGGCAAAAGGTGAATATAATGCGCTTGATGGTCTGAATTCTTTCTCCCTTTCTCTTAATGAGTTGACTATGGGTTTAACTGTCTCCTCGCACGTCGACTCTGGCTAATAAATGCCACATTTTCTCTCCTCCGCAGTAAGATTATCAATGATATCTCGAGCCTGGAGAGCCGCCGCCAGCTCTCTTTGGAGATCCTCGGCCTGTGCTTGTGAAGGAACCTCGCCCGCTCTTAGACCAATTCTAATGAGCTCCTTAGATGCCGGTCGCTCGAAATAATAATCAAGAAGTGAGCCATAGCTATCTCGGGCGTCGTTCGCACGGTCTGCGCCGTTATTTGTCGACATTTGTTTGTTTCGTAGACAGGCACTGGGAGTGACCTTTCCCGAGTTAACAGGTTGGTGGGTGGGCTATTCTATTATACATTAGCTTGCCGCCCTGGCAAGGAAAGGTAAGAAGTTGGTTTACCGTTAAAAGCTCGGCGTAGCAACGCACAAAGGATGAATCTGACGGGGGGCGTTATGGACCTTGGGTTGAAGGTTTTTGGTCTGAGAGGTAATATATATATTTTCAGCCTCTAAGGCAGCAGCAGCCCAGGCAGCACGCACAACATCCTGGCAGGGATGGTCCAACCATTGGCTCTTCGTGTGCATACCATTATATTCTGAATTCGAGCAGTTCATGTCGATTTTGTAGCGAACGTATCACCGTGGTAGAGCATATTTGGACCCCTCAACATTGAAATAATAAACTTGACATGAAAATATGCCAAATATCAGAATTAGATAAATTAGAATCTAAGCATTTGTCATCTCCTCTATGGTCCGATGTGAATCAAGACCGCCTTCCTTCATCTGTTGCATCTTTCTATGGGTAAAGATCTCGATATTGCCCTGTTCCTCCTCATTTAACAGCTCTATCAAATCCTTAGTAGACTCAAAGTGACCATAGTACTTTGGATGTATGAATTTCCAGTAGATATCATCGAACGAAAAGCTATAGGTTGCTGCAAGGAAAATCCAGAAATTGCCGTTCTCCAGTGACTGAGCCATACGATCTGAGAGACGCGGCGACTCAGGAGCAATGCCATTCTCAGTCCGCTCATTCTCACGATCTCTTAGAACCTCTAGGAAAATCTTTTGTCGAGATGTATAGTGAATCAAGAAATCATCTATGCCCGTTTCCCAGGCTTCTGAACGGGCTAGCAACAGCCACCATGGAGAGCAATAGGTGAATTCAGCTGGAGCGGCATAGCAGAATTCCCAATCTATCACAGCGCGAACTCGAAGCTCCTCATCAACAAGTATATTAGAAGGGCGCAAGTCGTCACAAAATAGTGGGAAAGAGCTATTATTGTACGTGTTGCAGAATTGAAGAGTAATTTGACGGAATAGACAGCGTGCAATATATTTCTTCTGGCAATCCTCTGCGTCCATGATCGCATCATTGCGCTGTGTTTCTAGGTGATGAAGATGGTCATCTGCTAGAGACACAAGGTAAGTGGCCGTGTCTAAAAAAAGGTGCTGAGACAGTCTTTTGGGTGGGAAATTTCCGAGTCCGACTAATTCATTCATGTTGAAAGTCATCGCCCGTTTGCCCACTGAGAAGCGCCCGGAGCCATCCTGAACAAGGCCACCGATTGCTGGAAACCGACATGTAGAGAGCTCCAACAGGATATCTGCCATGCCACGGTAAGCCTGACGTAAGGGAGCGAGGTCAAGGTCTAACTTCAAGGCCGACGGCACTTTAGGGTCTTGCGAGGCTCTGAGATACTCAGATAATATCCTCCCTTCAACAAATTCTATTATCATATACGGGCCAACCGCAGACTTGCCATGCCCAAAGACGCGAGGGATTGGGATTGATGTATTGTTTGCGATATATTCCATCACAGCGACCTCATCCTCGAGTTTTTCTTGACGAAACATCGACCTTCCAAGCGCCGGGAACCTGACGAGCACATCCGGCCCATGCTTGAACTTGACTCGATAACAGCGATTGAAGGAACCCTGCGAGTAATACGCGGCACTGACTGGTTCTCGGCGAAGGTGCTGAAAGGCAAGTCGAGCTGCCAGTTCATGAGTTTTGTTCTTCTCCAAGTGCCTCATCCACACGACAAAACTAGTGTCGCTCTGCCTGCAAGCCTCGGTGACCACGTCCATTGCAAATGTCTTGTCTGGGGGTAGATAGTATGGAGGATAGGTTTGCATAGAGGCCTAGGATAAGGAGAGGATAATACCGGACTGATTCGAGCGTCAAGACAGATATCAAACAACCGCAGGTTCACAATTATGCTTGTTTTTTATATGGATGGATGCAAACCGTCTGCCACTATTTAAAGTTCAAACTCGTACTAGTTCTGCGAAATGTTAATTGGTTCAATGGGTACTTTGATATATTATATAAAGCATTACATTTATAAATTTTAATGTTTATATACTTTTCTTAAGAGGCCTAATACAGCCAGGCTTTGATAACAAACTATCTATATAACTGGGAGCAAAGAATCGTAGAATATGAATGACGTCAATTAGCCAAAACAAGCATTTACCAGGGGGTATAAATCAGTTCAACACCAAAAAAATGGCGTAAATGGAATAATTATCACTGAAGAGTGATATCATCCTCATCAATAGCACCAAATAGCTTCCGTACGCCTTCCATCAACACGACAATTTCTGCCGATAGCTGAGCAGTAACAAGTGCTGTTTGTCACTCTTATGTCAGCTATCATAGCTAAATACAAGTAACAGAAGGATTTGACATACCATAAGCATACAGAAGAGCATAATCTTCGTCAGTTGTTAGTCGGGAGGCCTGTTTATCACCCCGGAAATGGTGAAGTTGGGCCAGAAGGCGGTCCCTGGCATGTTCAGTGTCTGGAAGAACCTCATTCCATGCGTAGCCTAGCTTCATTGATGATGCCAGAACTGTATGTGAAGTTAGAATCGATCGGATTTATATGAAAACTACTATAGGTAAACAATGCGAGGGACTTTACCGGACAATAAGTGACTTATTCTGGCGGATAGTTGCATTCTTTCCCGCAAGGTGTATTTTAACATGGCCGCTTCACCTTCAGAGGCAGTGAGATTTTTCATTATTTCAAGATTCATGGCTTGGAAGGCATCCAGTAGCCGCCTGGTCCCAGCGAGGAGCACCCTATATTCAGCATCTGGAAGCCGTCGTTTCAAGGAGAATTCAGACCTTGCTGAAACCAGAAGTGAATCGAGATGGTTCAAGAAAAGCTGCAGCTTGATTTTCTCTTGCACATCGAAATATGGAATTGTTGGCCCTCCTCGGATCATAGTAGATAATGGGTCGCGTTTCCAGATCACACTTAGGCGAAGCCAGAGAACGCTCAAGCCATCCTTTAGTTTCCGTTTAGCACTGGAAGGCCAGATGACCCTTGTGATTATAATGCCCCATAAAATACCAGAAAAAACGGCCACAACTCTGTGAAGGGCGATATCAGCAATCACTGGATCTTCTCCGCCTTCGTCCATGCCATCATCACAGCCCTCCTTGGATAATGAGTATGCGTATAGAACAGTCAGGTTATAAGTGAGCATAATGAATCTCCCCATTGGCCCTTTACCTTGCGCTATGATTATATAGGCCGTCCAAAGGGACATCGCCCAACCAAATATAGCAAGAAAGACAACGTTCGCTTCAGCCATATACCAGCTAGCAAGGGCACAAAGGGCCCCAAGGCATGTGCCGAAAAATCTAGCATAACCTGTCGTATTTGACGCTCCTATGGTCATTGAACACACCAGCATATACGACAGCAAGCCCCATTCTCCCCTCCAGGCGAAATATATTGGCCTAGTTTCCGGGATGAACGATGGAAGAGCATATATCGCTGCACCAGCACCAACTTTGATGGCAAATTTCGTGTCATCGCGTCGGAAAACGCGGAGCGCCTTCCATAACCTGTATCTGAGAGTGTACCTAATAATGGAGGTTTGGGCACCGGCAACCCTCTTATCTGTACCGGTATGATCAAGCGAATTCTCTAGAATATAAGAGTTAGTATGGTGACTTATAGGACAACATGATTAATTATACAAGAGAAAAGAACCCAGGGAAACAAACCGGTATCTAAAGGATTTATATTCGTGTCTTCACTGGGTTTCGATGCCCATGGATTAATCCAACGCCATGAGCGCCCATTAGGCCGCTCTTCAGCCTCCAGTTGAAGTTTGTCAAGTATACTGAGAAATTCTTTAAGTTGCTCGCCAAACTCTAGGAGGGAAAAACTAAAGTGACCGCAGCTGGCGGCTACTTCTTCTAAGTCGGCTTCAACTCCAAGAGGCTTTCCCCCCGCCATTATTACGTCCTTTTGGTTATATATGATATTCAGAGCATCATTTCGAGAACTTCGGTATAGCTCGAGCGCACGATCAAGGCTTGTTCTGAACTTGCTATTGACTGTAACTTTGAAATCCGGAGCTGGGCCATAAGGAAGTTCTCCAAGAATCTCCTTGAGCGTGTAAGCCAGCGAGTTCTATTATCCGCGAGTTAGTCCTTGCGAGGAGTATAGAGAAAATACGTATATCAAATTACAGCTAGGCAGCAGAGCTCATACCATTGACGGCCCAAGGTGGACGATAAATCTCTCGAAGATATCTGCAGGCGCCTGGATAAATTCAGTATCGTTATCTGCCGTTTGAGGGCGGTCGGAAGAGCGTATCAATCCAGAATGTGGCAGCGTCTGCAGTCCGTCAAAGCGGCTAGACATCGTGTCAGGCCTACGGAGGCTAGGGAGCGGAGAAATGTTGCGCGGCGATCGCCAGGTATCAAAAGAGCTCCTTTCCCGTGGTGTCTGTTGAATTTGGTTCAAGGTTTGAAACTGAAGTGCGGCTGCGCTTCGAAGGCCACCGATGCTCTGAGAGATGTCCTGAATGCAACGGACTAGTTTCTGCTCGAGCTGGTATTCCACCTCCGTGCCTGCGACATAATGTTCGAATTTAGCTTCTCTTAGGAGCTTCTCCATCTTTGAGTATGCTGCTTTATTTCTGTTTGAGGCATCAAGGAAAGGCTCCTGTTCCAGGCCGCTCTTCAGCCCTGATCCACCGTATATAAAGCTCTCTGTGATAATCTCCAGCATATCGGAGAGAGAATCTGTCATTTCAACCATGGTTTGACGCAGCTTGCTCTTTGCAGAAATGGGGTAGACTACAAAGCAGACCGTCATTGTAGCCACTACCCCCATGATAACCATTTTGAAGACCTGGTAGATTTTGGCCAGGGACAAATCTCCTCGCTGAACGGATCCCTCCTTTGTTAAGACAGTGATAATAGCTAGAGAAGCAAGAGAGCATGCCACGTTAACGAGCGGGTTCCCACGCCTCTGCTTCACCCATCCAATAAAACCAAGTCCGCCGCCACAGAAGACAATTACTATAATCGCATGGCCAAGGGGGAGCAAGTGGAATACATCCTCAAATATTACCGAAACACCCATGCTGGTAATTGAAATAAAGGCCGCATAGCAAAAGGCGATGATAGCTAACATTAGTGCTTCAATCATGCTGCCCTTGGTCCTGGCAGGGTGAAAGTACACGGTGACAGTCGCAACCGTATGCTTCCCACCTTGCTGGCCGAGAAACCGATATAGCACTGGAACAAACGTCGCCATCGTGCCCAGCAGGTATGCAATGCTACACTTCAAGATCCCTTTTCCTGTTTCTGACCGCATAAATGAACATAGCCTGCCAACAGTGGACGCCGCTCGGTGTAGCCAGCCCCTAGGTCTGTGTCCGCCATCCTCAGAATAAGGGTCTCTTTGGAGCAATGGTGTGCGCTCATCGTCGTGTTCCTGCTCAGGCGATAGATTAGGAGTGCCGTGTATACGCTGGCCGGTGCTAGGCACAATATAAGTTGCCTGTCGTAGCTTATGTCGAAGACATGTCAGCGCTCATGTGCGGTCAGCTAGGCAACTGGCCCAACAACGGCCACAAAACTCACATTGTACCGGTAGGGCGGGTGGTTCGACGGGCAACTCTGCGCCATGCTCAGTCATTAGGCCCATAGCCTGGGAGTTTGCTGTAACCGACGGCCCCTTGATTAAAAGCAGTGAGCTTGGAGGCTTGACACATGCTTACGTCATGGTTTTGGGAGGTGAAAAAAAGCCACCAACTTCGAACTTCATCAAACATCCAACTCATATTGTCCCAATCTCTCTGTCTCTGTTCTAATGGTGTCTTGTCTACTGATACATTACCGCGTTGAACTGGCGACAACACGATGGTATCCCTAAGTTTGACGCTCTGTCATCTCGCTAGGAAGCGCTGTCAGTTATACCTGGAACTTCAAACCTAGTGAGGTGCTAGGATATATCAACCCTGTATATAGTGGACCAGGGATATTTTCGGGAGATCTAGTGCCTGGCATCCCACACCTCTGGAGCCCAGCACCAGTCATAGCGAAGATAGACGTCATGCTGTGTTGAAATAAGCGGGTGCTGCAATTAGCCTAACTATATGACAGTGGTATATATACTATACCCAAGAGCTTACCCACAAGACGGATCCAGCGCCAAGGGCGGAATATCAAGCGGATATGGGACTTCTTGCTTAAGCCGAGGACGAAGAAATCACCATGGCAGCCCGCAACCAGCCTATTGGCGGACTGAAGGTATTGGTTTTCTTGATATCAGACTCGGCACCATGGAGAACTGACGGTGGTGAATGTCTTATTCCTTAGTAGGGAATTATGCCCGGCCGAGGCGCCCGGAATATCCCTCCCATGTTTCTTGGAAAAGGATATATGTCTACAGAAAGCGGGGTTTGACGGTTGTATATGCCTTGGGAGGACGGAGATGCAGAGCTAGGTTGCAATATCCCCTTGTCTGATAATCATGGCAACCGTTACTTGCTGCCTGTAAAATCTGCCTTGTCTTTTACATGCTGGAGAATCAACAATTGAGGCATTATTGCAGCACGTGGAACAGAGGTAGGCAGGGCCAGAACAGGGAAAGGGGATAATCGCAGCAACAGAGGAGCTACATACATGTACAACATATATATTGCCCTGTCCCATCCTGAATCCACGCCCAGTGCAATAGCTCGAGTACCTTGATTCGGCTCCCACCCAGTGCCATCTGCTTTCTTTCTTGCAGCGCCCTAGCAAGCAATTCTACAAAATGGCTCCGAATAACTATACCCGGCGTCGCGCTGGGCTCCTCTCCTGGTCACAGACTGCCGCTGCCGCTGCGATTGCTATCGTCACCATGATGGCGGTCTTACCCCAAGTTGAAGCGTCTGAGGCTGCTGGTGACCAGCATCGTAGGGATATACCATCCGGCAAGCGGAACGTCATCCTCATGGTGTCTGATGGTATGGGCCCTCAAAGTGTCGATATGGCCCGAACCTTCCGCCAGTGGCAGACTGGTGCTGAGAACGTCCTCTTCTTGGACAGCTACCTTATCGGCCAATCACGCACGAGATCGTCCAACAACCCAATTACGGACTCCGCAGCGGGAGCTACTGCATTTTCTTGTGGAAAGAAGACCTATAATGGCGCCATTGCTGTACTGCCTGACCACACTCCTTGCGGCACTGTCTTGGAGGGTGCAAAGGCTGCTGGGTACAAGACTGGTTTGGTTGCCACTACTAGAATCACAGACGCAACTCCCGCTGTTTTTGCCGCCCACGCCAACTCGCGCTCGTACGAAGATTTAATCGCGGAGCAGGAGATTGGAGAAAACCACCCGCTAGGCCGCCAGCTTGATCTTCTCCTTGGAGGGGGGAGATGCCACTTCCTTCCAGGTAATTCTGGAGGCTGCCGTGACGATAACAAGGACATTGTCAAGCTTGCGAAATCCAAAGGCTTTTCATATATCGGTGATCGTAGAGGGTTTGATGGCTTGAATGGTGGATCAGCTGCTAGGCTCCCTCTCCTCGGACTTTTCGCCGATAACAACATTCCCTTCGAGATTGACCGCCGATATCAGAATAACGTGTATCCTTCTCTGGAAGAGATGACTCGTACTGCCCTTAGGGCCTTGAGTGATGCCACGCGTGATAGTAATCAAGGTTTCTTTATCATGATTGAAGGCTCACGTATTGACCATGCTGGTCACGGCAATGATCCCGCCGCCCAAGTTCATGAAGTTGTCGCTTTCGACCGAGCGTTTGCTGCCGTTTTGGAATTCCTCAAGCACGATTCTACCCCTGGAATTCTTATTAGCACCTCAGATCACGAAACAGGTGGTTTGTCTGCCAATAGGGCACGAGCAAATATTCTCGGTAACGCATCCCACTCCGCCGAATACCTCGGGCAGGTACTGGAGAGTCACGGCGGCGATAGCAACATTGCTCGCCAGTTAGTGGCGGACGGCCTAGGAATTCGCGATGCGTCAGATCGAGAGATTGATTCTGTTGTTCGAAACGGAGAGGAAGGCTTTGCTGATCTCATCAGTCAAAGGGCACAAGTTGGATGGTCGACCCATGGCCACACTCGTAAGTCACTTTCAGTTTCTACCTTGTTTTGTATGACTATCGTGCTAATATATTGCTCATCTTAGCTGTCAACGTCAATATTTACGCCTCTTCCCCCCAGGACGCCCGTGCTCTTGCCGGTACTCACGAGAACACCGAGATAGGTGCTTTCCTGGCGAACTATCTCCGCGTGGACCTTGACGCCATCACGAGACGGCTAAAGGGCATCAAAACCACGCCTCGTCGTAGAGCTGTGCCCGACTACTCCTGGATGGGTAATCCACTTTCTGAGGAAGCCCTCAAGAGATTTACCAATGACCACGGTATCTCGCCCAAAGCGTGATACCAAAAGCGAACAGAATCAGATTTAATTGGAAGTGACAGCAAAATTGAGAGAGGCAGATATGTTACTTTAATTCCTCCAGGTTTCCAGCTTCAGTGGATGGGTTAAATATAATACTACTCCTGCGTAAAGATTTAAAGATGTTGTTCTTACCCAATGAAAAATTGATATCCACAATGCTGTAGTTAATACTAGTTATAGTCTGACGTAAGTTAGCGCAGGTTATAACTTGCCCACCATATAACCCGGTTACAACTGCCTGCCGTACGCCTGCGCCCTCAGTCCCGAGTACACGAGATACACCCAGCATAAAATACACAACAAAGACATCGTGTTAAGTCTTCTTAATGCAATATGTTGCACCAAGACAATGCAAGCAGAGAAACACCTCCATTATGTGTTGCCTATTCAGACCTATTGATCGGGCTTCCTGAAGGAACTCCACAGATCCAATATACCAATATGAAGAAGTTAGACTGTGTTATAGATACCCAGGCGAGGAAGTGTTGTATAGATAGTTCTAAGAGCCCTTTTCTAATAGTAACATCCATACCCTCTACCTTTCTAGAAGAAATGGACCACTTCTATCACGATAAATGCCCACGGTTTACTCTAAATATCCAAGAGAGAATTGTTATCATTGAGGTCATGGTTACTGAACCACACGAACTTGTGAGCCAGGCACTCTCGAAGTGTATCTCGGACAGTATCGATCGCATGGGCCTGAAGAAAGTACTCCGCGATACTGGTAGGGCCCAAGTTACTAGCACAACTTCTGCTAAAGAACCTGATGGCAGTTTCAAGCTAGTACGCGAGAAATGGCCTACTATCGCCATTGAAACAGGATTATCGGAGCATATAAGTAAGCTGGCTATCGATGCCCACTGGTGGCTCGAGGCGGAGGAATCTCGTACTCTGGTCGTCATCACGGCCAAAATCGACCAGCGGAGACCGCAGATAATATTCCAGCGCTGGGAGCATTATTATCCACCACTTCGTCCTATAACCCGACACTACTATCCAACGAGCACAGTAATACAAGAGGTTCATGCAGTGCATGAGGGAGGGATAACAAGAGCTACCGGCGACCTTGTCATACCATTCGAGAAGATGTTTCGTCGTCCAAGGGATGGCGGGGAAGAGAATGATACTGTTATTGGTCGGGATGTGCTGGCAGATATCGCTGAGAGTGCGTGGGAGTCCCAGGGCTTTATGTGAAGGGGAGGTTGAAGGGGAAAATGAGTATCGGATGAATATATTTAACGAGTTCATAACTTTAATTATATGCTAAAGATACACTGTCACTCGTTACATTCTTTATTTCCGAGTTTATGCCTGGAGCTTGCACTGGGAAGCACTTGGAAGCAAGTTTACATAGTAGGAAGCATAAGATGGCTTGTAATTATTACTCACCTTGGTACTCCTGCATGCTACGTACGTATCTCTAAGGTTTTTATTTTCCATAGTAGATTCATCACATAATCTTCTGCAAGTTGATACATACATAGTACAGGTACAAGTTTGTGATGTTACGAGTGGCAAATATCAAGTAGCCCTTCAGCAGGTTTTGGTGGCTTGGGTAGTTATGCAGTAACTACAGGACGAGGCGTATAGATAGGATGACCCAAAATACAGGAGCCTTTAAAATTGATACAATTAGGCGATGTATGGAGCGAAAGAAGCATAAGAGCGCTCAAAAATAAGCTATATATAGTATATAACTATCAACAGTACTCCACAGATTGATTTCTCAAATTTGAGAATCAGGCATATTCGCTTTAGTGAAGTTTAGTCAAAAAGGATATGGGTCGATTCATCCCGAACATTAAGCTTCGTAGTTACTATCGTACGATGAGTGTACATGGCTGAGAAATGGCCAATCTTGTTTACTACATAGTATATATACCTGGATTGGGTCCTAGTTATTTGATAGTGAAACATTTACTGAAGTCTTCGTTAGGAGTCTGAGATTAAAGATAATCAAACACCAGCCGCGATTACTTTCTTAAGATTTTCTCTTCGCTCCGTTGTGTATCCTCACAATTCGAATTAAAGATGATGACCAACGGCTCCCTTAAGAAAGATGTCCCCCATACATCATATTACGAATCCACGTACATGGCAGAAGCACTGGACGCGGCACTCGATATCGAAGTTGATGGGTTCGACGATGGAACTCTGTACTGGGATATGTTTCGGGAGCTCCTCCGTCAGAATCGAGCTTTAGATCCCCACCCAGGCCGCACCGTCGTCCTGGACGTGGGAGCTGGCTCGGGACGCATTTTCCGAAAGATCGCTCTGAAAGCTGCCAAAGCCGGCGAGGACCTGGCTGATGCAAGCTTCATTGGATTGGACAAGTCGCCAACCATGCTGGAAAGAGCCAAAAAAAGGGGCGCCGAACTAGCCAGTGTCGGAACAGTCTTATGGCTTGAAGGCGACGCTGGCGACCTGCTGGCGCAACCTTCTCTCTACGAAACCAGACAGCAAGTAAGCCTGGTTCTGTGTGCAGACGGGGGTATCGGCTATCTCGAACGTGACGTAGATATCAATAACTTCTTCTCGCATATCTCCCAGCTACTATGCCCCGGAAGCGGACGAGCGCACATTTCTCTCTTGGAGTTCCAAGTAGCTGAAGCTTACGAGAATGGCAAAGTTCCAACTACCTATGACGAATCGATGGAGTGCATGGATGAGATTGGCAAGGAGCAACCGTTGGTCTTCAAAAACATTCATCACCATGAGTATGTGGAAAATGGAATCCACATAGGCGAAATGGACACGGAGGTCATACGAAGGAATAAGCAAGGGGAGGAGACACTTCTTGAGATCGTCCATTACAGGCATCGCTTCCAAATATGGAGCACCGAAAAACTCATAGAGACAGCGGAAAGGGCAGGTTTGAAGCATGTCGAGACTATCAAATGGCCCCGGATGCGCCATTTTGTTTTTATGTCGCCTTGAATGATATTTCAGCCAAAGATGGAAGTACCCCGGCTTGCCCTATTTTCTGTGCTACCACATTGCAGCGACAGCCTATCCTAATGCCTGATGTGTGCAAATAAAATAGGTTGCATCCTGCATATAGTTAAGTTATCAACAGCACACACTGATTACGAGATAGTTATACAGGCCGCAGAGATGGATCGATAACCCGGAGCTGCCAGCCCCTTATCAAGAGCTTGTTGACCCTTGGTGCCATTATTAAGCAAGAAATTCAAGTTCGACGAGGTCATCTATAGGCAGTCTTTTCTCCACATAATATCAATCTCTTGCAAACAGGTATAAGCAGTAATCCTTGACTCCGGGTGTCGTTCGTGGGTCTAGCGATTGGCCAGGGATTGGAGTCGAAATAATCCAATTACTTTGTATCCGTTAGCTTGCTTCGGAATCCGGTATCGGATAAGCGGTTCTATAACGGATTCTGGCGGTGGCCATGGAAAAAACCCATCTCGGCAAGGTATTGCTCGCCGTTAAGGAGCGCGTACAACAATCAACTGCCTTCGAAAAGATCCCACATCTATCAATGTCCATATGGGGAAAAGCAGCCGGATTACGGAGCCGAATTGGCAATGGGAGGAAAAACCCGTATGTACCAAATCTGCCTGTGGTAGGATGGCTGAGCCCAAGAGCACTAGTTACAATGCCTGCCTATTACAAATTATTATTATTTAGGGTTTCATCAGTCCGATGTTTAGTTAATGTCAGGCCGAGAGGTTTAGATAACAAACATATATATATCCTTTAACTGAAGGCGGTCCAGGTCGTAGCATGTCGTTACCCCGAGGTCGGCATCAATGAGGTCAATTCATTACCCTCACATTGGCATCTTTTGTCTCGATACAGACCTGTAGAGTATTCCCTAATAGCTGCACGCCTGTTACATACACAGTTATCGAATAGCTTAAGAATCCACTTACATCAAATTCCCGCTTTGCTGCGACCTAATATCTAGACTGCAATATGTTGCCTTGCATAAAACCTTTCGAGAATATGCGAGCGTGGATAGACATTATCCTTCTTATGACACTGGAGGCCACTCCATGAACGGGAAGCAGAGTTGACTTTGCCGCGCATAATGAGTATATGCAAGGCCGCTTGGTTGGTGGTTAAAGGTATGCCTTTTACCCCGTAGAAAGTGTCTCCTACATATAAAAGAGGACTTCCCCTTTGGGAAAGCAGACCGTCATCTCGGATCTACGTAGGGCCGCTAATGGTCACATGACTCTATATTGCTTAAATAATGACTAAGCTCCAATTTCTTTCGAGAGGAAGAGAAAACAAACAAGCAGCTCAATTTTGAGGCCTCTCGTTTTTGGCTATCTTCATCATATTACGAGATGAATACTACGTGCTGACAATAATGGATGTGGCAACATTGCATTAGTATGCACAGTTCTAAGCCACTGGCTTGAACTATTTGTCTTTCGAGCCAATAGCTGAGAGATCCGCGCATTGATTCCCGAGGTCCACTGAATGGCAGGATATGAGTGGTGTAATCACACTGAACTCCTGAGGAGATTGTACGATCATGAACGCTTATAGTAATTATGGCGGTTGATCTTCCGTATATACGGAGTAAGGAAGAGAGAATCCAATTTTGAGGAATGGTATATTTCTTTTCCTTTGACAATCTTCTGATAATACCAAGACCTTTGAATGACATTGTGACCAGACTGAAGACCACAGGCCTAGTATACTGACATTGGTTGTTTTATTTTTATGACAATTGATGTGGAGATTGCCTTCTACATCTTCTGACCATGGGCTTGCTCCAATGGTTGGTGTGGTGGCCAGCCCATATTAAAAGGAGTTGGACTGATCCGGCATGCAGGTTTTCCGAAAGGATCGAATATAATAGATATTGAAAGCTTGATAAATTGTTGTGGTTATTTAAGGTGCCAGGACAACCCAGCAGATGTGAAGAGTGCCTTCCCTTGGAGCACAATTTCCAGAGGATACTCGGATACAAAACGGAACGGATTTTATAGTATGATCTCTTCACAGATTCTTCTGTAATACTTAACGTTAACTGTCTATTAACGTATGTTTAGTTTCAAAATGATTCTTACAAACCCAGTATTTTGGCTGGCAGCTCTAGGGCTACACTATGCCAATGCCCATCCTGGTACCCTAGCTCTTGAGAAGCGCGCCCAACCCATAGATGCCAAAATTATCCATGTCTTCAACAGCGGCAAGATGTGTCCTTCTGGAACTCAACTGGGCCAGGCAAACATGAGCAACAACGTTGGGACCGTGAATGTAAAATGCTCTTATGAAAGCCACAGTTACGACGCTACAATCGCTCTCTACCCGGGCAGACTCACGGGAAATTGCTGCTACGTTCCAGATCAAGATGTGTTCCTCTTTGTCCAGGATCAGCGAACCGAGCCACTGACAAACTTCGAGCTTGACAGCGCTCAATGCTGTAACGAGGCCTCAGGTGAAACACCAACTGCCTTTATAAGGGAAACCCCGGGCGCCAGGTGCTCTTATGGATCGCTTTCTCACAGCTTCCCATCCGATTTTAACCAAGACTTGGTGACCAAATGCTGCTGGTCCGCGAAGAAGAATGAGTGGACTGTCCATCTTACCGAGCGACAGAAGCACAAATACTTTTCCGTTCCTCTTACCCAAAAGATCAAGACTATGGACATTGAGCGCGCAGACTTTTACAAGTCCTACATGGAACTTACTGTGTCCGTTACATGGGCTATTCCGGTTGTTGGAGGGTCAAAAACGAACCGTCAAACCATTAGATTTGATTACGGTAAAGACATTAGCAACAATTCAATAACCAGAGTTGAGCACCATCTTGGATGGTATGCTGTGACCACCACAACTAAAATTGGCGCCGATGGTACGCCAGAATTCCTTCTCCACTGGGACTCGTGGCTCTTTGCTATTGACATTGGACGGCATGTCTCTACTGAGAAGGGAACAAACAAGATCGATATACCTGCCAATAGTCAGGGGGAGATCAAGCAATTCCTTCTCGAGAAAGCCACCGTTTGCTAAAGTATTGATATGGACGGGCAGTATACGGTCCCAATATATGAGGGAGGGCGCTAGCTCGTTGGTTATGTTCTTAATGTGAACCTGTCTCTTTTACGTATCCATGAACCAGAGGCAATGGGGATCACAGTTATACAAAAATCATTTATCACCCGCTTCAAACATTCAAGAGTACTGTTTAATTAAGAAACAATCTATTTTTCGAGTTCTGTTGTTAAGTTTGGTCTTTTGACGTAACTGCCAACTTTGCCCGTGGTGGAAACAATAAAGTATATAGTATGCTCTATATTTGATTGATATAATTCCCAGTTGATTGCTCCTATAATGCAAAGTCCCAGCTTATCTATGTACGGTATTTCAAATAGAGTTGACTGGTACCCTGTGCATAGCCGAATTCGTGATGTGGCGATTCTATAGGAGATCGATCAAAGTCATTATTTAAATTCCAGGATCCTACAATAAGAATCCATTACCTGTACGATGAAAAACTTGGTTAATAAATAGACTAGCTGTCACGCAGTGTCTAGATATCACTACGGAACATAATATCACCAGTCGATGAGTCTTTTTTTGATTCTTTAGGTGAAATCATTCGTTCGGTATCACCTTGTCTCTACAGTAAAAATAATTGTAGATCTAATAGTGAGGAATTCTGTCTAGAGATCATCTCTTATGCCAACAGTACTGGTAAGTATGAATGGTTGAAGTTGGAAAAGTTTGAATTAATTGAAAGCTATGTACAGACGCATTCCTAACTATGTACATAGAAGAATCAAGGAATGCATTTAGCAGCCTGGTGGAAGTTGGTTGCTGCCGGTGCGGGTTCGTGGGTCGTACTTGGCGCCATAGCCGAGGCCACGCTTGGCGAATGCCTTCCAGATAGTGCACTTGTTGGCACCGTTGGTGAGGGCACGGTCGGCATCGATGATGGCATCACGAGCCTGGACGAAGTTGGGGTTGCATGGTTGACTAGAGAAAGGAACGTTAGCTAATGTGTTCAACGGTCAAGATGGTATATCATAGCAACTTACAGGGCCATTCCGTCCATGACGATCTTCATGGCAAGGTGGCGGCCGTCCTGTGGGACACCATTGCGGAAGACTGGGTCAGCACTGTAGGTACCACCGTGGGCCTCAATCAGACCCCACATGAGCTCATAGAGCATGGTAGCCCAGACGGTACCGATTCCGTGGACCTCACGGAGGTTGTTGACCGAGGTGTACATGTAGGGGTTGGTTTGGAGGTTAGTGGAGTAGAGGTAGGCTCGGATACCCTTGGGGTCATTAGCAGCCCAGGCTCCCATGGAGTAGTTGGTGTTCTTGGTGTCACGGGGCTTTAGACGGATAGCAGTGGCATAGAAGTCACCCCATCCCTCACCCATACCACCGGACTCGAGAGCGTTCAAGCAGGCACTGTTGGCAGGACCACCGCAGAGACGGTTTGAGACTGGTAATAATGTCAGCTTCAGTTCGAGGCTTAAGGAAGAGATGGAAGGGGAAGGAAAAAAGTTAGAGTTTAAAGGTGGTTACTTACGACCGTGAGTGTACTCGTGGATGACGATACCGGCTTCAAGGCAGCCATCACGGTTGGGACGAGCAGTAGTCCAGTTGTACATTCTCATGCGGCCAGGGCTGCCATCTGGTGGGGTGGCAAAGTTGGCGTTGTTAGTACCAGAGCCATCCTGAGCATTAACAATCGCGAAGTCATTGCCTTTGCCACCCTTGTTGTTGTTATTAACCTGGAAGTTACCAGCAGCCTCATTAAAGCCGAAGGAGTAGAGGAGGTCGTGGTATCTGTTGGTGGTATAGAAGAGCTGTGTGATAGAGAAGTCCTTGTAAGAGGATGGGGGGGTCATGGCCGCGGTCCATGGGTAGTTGAAGATGAGGTTAGCGCTCTGTGGGCGGTAGTTGTTGAGATAGGTGCTGCCACCAGTTGGGTTGTCCTGAGCAATGGCATTGTTACCACGGGTGGTTGGGTACTTGTTGGTGCCATCAGAGTGCCAGGTGAATGGAGAGGAAGCAGTCCATGGGTCACGGAAGCTGGTTGGGTTTCCCTCGGTGGGATCATTGAGACCCCAGGCGCTATCACACAGTCAGAGAGTTGCCGCTAACAATGACCAACATGGGATACCAGAGGACTTACAAGACCTTGAACTCAGCAGAGGCAACGTAGTCAACAACGTTGTGAACGGTCTCGCTGTCGTGGGCATCGACATAGGACAAGAGCCAGTTGTCGCCAACATCAGTCTCGACCTTCCAGGTCAGGGCGAGGCTGCCGTCTTCCTTCTGGAGGTAGACAAGCTTAGCCTTGGGGGCGGAGAGAGCTCCGGAAGTTCCCTGGAACTCAAAGGATTCCTTGCCCTCGACGGTCTTGGCCTTGGCGTTCTCAGACTTAACTGGGAGGTTAAGGGCCTTGACGGCACCCTTCAAGGCCTTGACTGGGTCAGAGAATTCACGCTTGACCATTGGGCTCTCCTTGGGGATTTCTCCAGTGAAGAAGGAGTTTCCGAAGGAGAAGACCTTGCCGTCACGGTCGATCTAGGGAGTAGGTATAAGTTAACTGGCCATCTATACAACTCAAGGGGCAACATATGCCAAGAGCAATAACATACGTTAACATTGAAATCAGAGTTATCGATGTCAAGACCGTGAGCAGTCTGCTTGAAGTGAACATGGCCAATTCCGTTGGTGCCAATGTAGTGGTCGTCAACAACACGGAAAGTGGACTTTGGGAATGTGCTCTTGACAAGCTTGGTGGCGGTGGAGACGTAGTCGTCCTCCTTGGAGAAAGAGAGGGCCTGGATCTTCTGAGCGGTAGCATCGCTGTCCATGTACTTGGCTTTCAATGGCAGACGGAAGGAGTCGATGTCGACACCACGACGGCTGAGGACAGAGCTGGTCTGCTGCTCAGCAGGGTGAGCGAGCACATTCATGGGCAGGGCCAAAAGCCCGGCGAGCAAAAGTCCGTGCATGATGTCCGAGGGAATACCTGATTCGCCGGTGGGAAGAAAAAGGTAGAAAGAGGGTGAATGGGGTCAGAGAACACTGTTCGTCTGAGGAGCTCTGCTTGAGACTTCTGGATATCTTTTCGTGGATATCTCAATGCCTTTATATAGAAGAATCACCGCCCCCATGCCGGCGCTAAGAAGTCTTGTATCATTCAGACCTTTGAATAACTTCCTCTCCCTCCCCCCCCTTGTTCATGCCTACTTGAGAGAAGTCTCGTGAGGGCTGACGGGGGTGTGTAAGCATTTTTGCCCATGCTTGGATTATTCCTGCTAGCTACGAGCAGCTGGCTGGACGGTTCTCATCACCCACACACCACCCCTTGTGAATTTTCGGGCCGTGTCAAGCCTCATTAAACTGGCCTGTCCGCCAAGCAAGAAACATGATGTTTCTATACGGGGTATTTCTTTTCATTCTCCCTCTGGTAGAGCTTCAGCAGATCCGGGTCATGCCGTGACTGGCACACAGTCCTCCGTACTCCCACACCTAGGCCTTCGACAGACAACCTCGACCCGCGGTTTCCTGCACCCAAGACTCGATCACAACCCAAGCTGGTGAAGCTTGAAGACAAAGCTTCATCTGTTTATCTTTATGCTCTCCGCGTCACATCAGCGGAAAAGGAAAAGGAAAAGTCATGTGCCATATCCGATTGCCGTGTCTAAGTCCAGCTTTGATAGCGGTCCGGGGAAGAGCATCAAGAAACAAGCGTAGCGCCCAGATAAGACCTCAGACAGGGATGCCCCTTACATAGATCGTAATTCCACCACGGCTGGACTCGGTCAAGCATCATGTTCGTTTGCCAAAGTCCAGCGCCAGAAACATCCTGACGGTGAAGTTTTCTTCCTCGACCAGAAACAAAAATCACACGCAAAGTGGAGCAAACTAAGGTTAGCGTTTTTAACTAAACAAAGCTTATTATAAATCTTAAAACCACCACCAAAAAAAAAAAAAAAAAAAAAAAAAAAAACTTGACAGAAGATAAACAAGTCCACAGCGCAAGAGAAATATATTTTTCATGATTAAACGATATTAACTATGAAGTGTGGAGCATATGTGGTGCTACTTATATAAATTCTAGTTATAATTGTACCGACCAGTGTCTTCCGCATGCTAAGCATTCCTAACCGCTTCGAACAATCAACCTCGGCCATCTCAGATACGGGTTCACGAGTCAACAAGAGAAACAAAAGTCTTGTATTGTCTCACGATACAATAGCGTCAGGGCAAAGTTGCCTGCTCTGCGGGGTGATGCGGGGTGCCAGGGCTAGATGGTTTCTCATCCAAGTAGTTCGTGGCGAACAGTCTGGGGAATCTCACAGAAGTTCATGTAAGGCCAGCCTGTCAATCATGCATCGATAAACTATGCTGCTGTCCCCATCCCTGCAGGAAATCACATATATAGCTGACTTATATACCCCACAAGGGGTTGACTGATACGAGACTCTAAAACTCTTCTGGACCGCGTCTAGAAAGAAAATTTGACCGGTGATTGATGGTCTTGGTGATACCTTCAATGGGTTTGAGGGGGGGGATCCCATCTTCCGACTGCAACCCTTATCAAATATACACTGCTTTCATATATTGTCTCTTCCACATGGGAAAGAAAAGGAAAACGGAAAACTCGACACTTAGATGACAAGATAACCACGGCTTAGTTATCCTATCGCATGCTACTTAATATATTCTGAATTCCGCTTTCTCCCGGGTTTATATCAATTTCCGGAGCACCCCAGGTTTTCCTTGGCCCTCATGCCATGTCTGCCGCGGGAAGCTGGGGACGTTTCCCGCGTTGCTGCATGAGATATTACCTCTTCTGCTCCTTTCTCCATCTCAGTGACCCCATCTCTTTAGCATACGATTCTTTTTATGCATATCGCTATCGACCGAAATGGAAGGTAGTGACAAACATTATACCCAGGCTAAGCATTCGGAGACACCCGATTGTCCTTTTGGAACCTGGGGAATGGTTTTTATGCAATGCAGACAGACAAGGTATAAGCAGACAGAGAGGCTAGTCTACTATGTATATTCCTTCATTTCTCGCCCCCGCTGGTGGTCCTCCGCCTGTTGAAGTTCCCAAAATAGCATGATGATTCTCCTTTGGCCACCTGTAGCTGCTAGACAGTGAACGTGCTTGAAATTACATGGTGCCACTCTACCCCTGAATAACTGGGCAGCGAATGCCGCAGCTGGCGTGAATCCTCCGCCCCAGGTGATTGCTCTGACGTGGCGATCATTAAAGGCAGTGGACACGGGCAATTTCGAGAGTAGGAACCAAGCTCCTCCGCCCGGATATTGCATATTAGCCATCCCCCTTTCCAGGAAAAACAGAACAACAGGCCTTTCGCCAACCTTCAATCAATATTGTTGAAATGTTGCCTCACTAGAGAAAGTTTCCTGGTTTTGCAGCATACCCTCTATTCCTCGCTCTTTCTATCAAATGCAGCCCAAAGCACATTCTCATCGTAAAAGAATATGGTTAATAGAACGCTGAAGGAGAGGGGAAGCGTCCAAGCCTGTCCGTTAGGCACGCTGAGCTCCTCTGATGTACACCAGAAGGTTATATTTTTCATTCCAGAAATTGATCGCCGACCTAGGCCACCGATCAGGTACGGATATCCTCCGCACCACTCTCTTAACTCTCGTATAACGGCCCCAATGTCACCATGCTTGACTGACATGCATGCCTCCCGTCGCCAGCCACAGTACCTGTGTCCTATTAATATATTACTCGCAATCAAGGTGGTGGCAAGCTTGGCGACTATCGTGCTTCAATCTGGCATAGATAACCACAGGATGTACATATAACTAACCTTCTACAGTTTCCCCGCGTTATTGCAATAAATGTAGTTCGATATACGGAGGGGTCTGGACGACCATCGCCATAACAGTCTTCATCTAGCGAGGAATTTCACAAGGAAATGATGTAGGAGTTGGGGCGGATGTTACTCTACAATCCTCATGTCATGCAATCAAGCGAAACTATAAAACTTATTAGTCGCAAGAAAATCGGAGGCAAACAAACCTAGAATGCCATCACGCCCCGAAGACGACAGCAGAGGACTCATCTTCACATAGCCAACTAAGATGTGCCTCTTTCGAGCATATCTATATTCACTTCCACGATATCAGTATCAGACATATTACTATTCATCCAAGCCTCAGCAACGCTTGGAGAGGGTAAATATTTCGTTTCCCTCTGAGTAGCCGAATACGGCATTCTAGGCAATCAACCCATCAGTCTCTCATGTTACTCAACATATCACTGACCCAAGACTTCTAGTAACGAGATTTCATCCTCTCAGCCATATCGAAGGACGTTGGACGTCATGGACAGTGATCAACCTGATCAGCATGATCAACATGATCGTGGTCAGGGTTCATACAAACGGTGATGATCAATGATGGCCGATCGGTTCATCTCCCGTGAACCGTCACAATGGTTATCAGAGCGGCCCCGCGGCGTCTAGAAGCTTGTCGGGACATTCATCGATGAGGGCGTCTTGCTGCTAGGAATCATTGATCTCCGTCCCTTGAGACTGTTGTGAAACATCACTTGACCGATTCGCTGTGTTGCGCAATATCTGCTGGGATCATGACCACCTGGATATTACAAGAATGCCTGATCTCGAAGTTTGCCATGGACATTTCAGTCATTTGGACCGTCTTCCTTTCCCATCAGCGGACATAATATGGATTAAAATACTACTACTCCTACGCTCCATTTTATTCCAACTCTACAATTCAGAGCATCTTTACCCGCACACTGCTAATTAGCTGAGTTGGGCGGTAGCTACCAGCTAAGCACATGGCCCGAAAACTCTTTACAGCTCCTCTTCGAAAACAAGACTTTTGGCCCATGAAAAGAATAAAATTCTCATGAGCCGCCTGTTATCCTGGCCTTTTACCAGCATCATGCGTGTTCGGCGCGTTCCTAGACTTTATACGGGTGAACACTCCACTACCTTGGATCATATCCGGACGAGCGGATATCTTATTGCCAAGTGGTGGTAAATATTAAATGGACCAGATATATACCACAAACGAACCACTGATGTGAGTTTATTAACGGGGTAAATAGTGTGGAAAACCTATGACATCGAAGAGTAAATTCTTAACCCAAGATCTGGTGTCAGTATATGGACGATGTCCGTTCGCGAGAATACGTGAATATTCCATAGTTCATAGCTAAAAATATGAAGGTATATGAGATTATGGGTGCTGTACCGGCAAGGAGTAATTCATTCTATAAGAAGCCGTTGAAAACAGTTTGTCCACATAAGATCCTGAGTGAAGTTTTTTACAGACAAAAAGTTAAGGCCTCATTTATATACGTCTGTAACCAATATCCTAGAAAGCTCTCTCTGGAGTGTAAGATGTTTTCTCTCCCTTGGCCTCAAGTTGTAACTATGTCTCTTCGGTTCACTGTTTCTCCTATGGTGGTGATTAACTGGTTAACACTATGGGTAGAATATTTTCGTTAACTGTTGCTTTGGCTACTTGACCTGTAAGGGTGCTACAATTTGGCTATAATTAAAGGTCGATTTTTACTCTCTGTCCCACAATTATATCCATCGTTGCAGTTGCAGTTGCAATCTCAAATACTTGGCTGCATAAATAAGACGCACCAGTTAATAAGTCAGGAGCTAAGCTTAAGTCTAATTCAACCTTTTCAATTCTATTCTTTGACGATGACCCAATCACCATGCGCGTAAGTTCCTAGGTGCTGATAGGCCAAATGAGATCAATTAGAGCCCAGTTAATATATTAACTACAGGTTGGAAATGAAATCTTTGGTTAGGGGGTAAACTGATTCTTCTGTCCCCCCAATCCTCCAAGGACAATTTGTCGTAGCATTCAAGCCTATTAGCTCCTTGTATGGAGCGAGTAGATGAAAAGGTGATCTGCTTGAGATGGTCTATAGATTCATTTTAGATCTAATGTAGAATAATAACAACTGTATATTGTCATTTGCTGAAGTGAATGTGTAATTTGTGGCCTGTCTATAGCACCGCGAAATTCCCATGAATACAAAAATAGAAGTAAACAACCAGTTTCCCTTCAAGGCTATGGCTATGTTGCCCAAACGGTCGGGATTAGAAACCTGCTGCTCAGTGATGACTTTCAGGCATGTCATTTGGGAGGAGGTATGGTCAACAAGACTATTGTTTCCACCTAAGAAAATAGTCAATACTTGCGTAATCTTGTACGCCTCTATAGTATAATCTTCGTATGTGTTTGTATTGTTTCCCTACATAATAGAAAACATCGGTTGGAAGTGTACACATGAAGTGGTAGCTTGGAGGCCAACTTACATAAGACATATTATTCGCAATCTTCATCAACCGATCAGATTTCTGCTGCGTGGGCTAGCAGTCCGAGGAATTCCTTACCTCAACAAGATTATCGAGTGACTGAATGGTGAAGTTTCCAAGAGAGTTGCCTCGGCCACCGAAACTGGTGCATCCATCGAAGTCCTGCTTCATCTTCTGCTCAAGTTTCTCACAAGCGTAACCATTAGCCTTATCAGCAACATCACTAGCCCGCTGTAAATATCGTCAATACAGCTCTGCTCAACCACATCTGAACAAAGTCCGGCCGCAGCACGGCTATCAGTCATGTTAACAAAAACTGATGTGCCGCCGATTTTGCCTTCCTTCATCGGATATTTGAACTTTTTGAATGGCGGATTATTAAAGATGATAGCACAGCCGTGGAGATTTGCTGTGTTTGCATCCTATAGGGTGGCTAGGTAGTAAAATAAATTAAACGGAAGCCTGAGATCGCCGCTAGCCTTTGTCAAAACGTTAACACCCTTTACCAGGTAGAAGCCTTCAAGGGGAGAGGGTATGTTTGGGATTCGGGACACTCCAACTCATATATGGGCGATATCACCAACTGTACAGCGATCATAACCGTTGACAGTAGGCAGCCAACGGTGTGACACCTGGTGAGACTGGTATCTTCGGCAAAAAGGGAAGAAGAGAATAGTGATAAGAGAAGAGTAATGGTAAGTAAGTTAAGGATGGGCATTGTTACCTTAGAGAGGGAATAACAATTGAGGTGCTGAAGTTGTGGAAGTAAAATGATACTAAAGCTGTGAAAAAATTTTGGTTGATTTGTGCAAGTTGAAATTACAATCATAGGAAATCTCGAGTTGATAACTAGTTGGTCTGCAGTGGATTTGTTGCTCCTATATTGAGTCATATATAACTCTGATATTATAGTTATGGCATAGTGACTGAGTCGTGCGTAGTGGATGTGCTGCTGCTATCTTGCATCATATATAGCTCTGATGCTATAGTTATGACGAAGTTTCTGAGTCCTGCGCAGCGGACCGTAACCTTAGCTCTGTCTTTTTATGCCAAAATGCATGAACCAGGGCCAAAATCTAATCGTTGGAAGGTTGTACTCCTTCGGTTGCTATGTGAACGTAGGCCGCCACGTTAGCACGAAGCATCTGGTTGGTTGAATTTCATCGGCAATGGCAAGTTTCTGCTCTAATGATTCCTAGGTCCATGTGCATCATAATTGATGCCATGTGGATTCATAGTCCCGGCCGACTGATCTTATGCAACAGTCTGATGGAGTTTCCTCCATCCAGGATCCTGGTGACGATGTCCAACAAATCAACCAAGTACGTAGTCTCTCCAGAAATGATATCATAACTCTAAGGAATATTCTGCGTAGGGGCAAATATTTAAGTACGCAGTATATATCATTCGTCAAGCATCAAGCGTAGTAAGAGGCAAAGTGATTCCTTTGGTTAACAACGAAATCAACAATCGAATTCTTCGAGATCAAGGCGTTGTGCACCGAACTCCATTTATGACAGAACTTCACTTCATGTTTATGCACAGTATAATACCGGAATACCCGGTTAGGCAATATAAGTTACTAGTTCATGTAACCGGGTGGTATTGGTACCTGAGCGTTCTTGTTATATTAAGGCTTATTATTAAGCAATCTAGATATTGTCGGGACCTTGGGCCATGAGAGACCACGAGACAAAAATGGCCCATGGAAACATAGTCGAATGAATGACTAATCCAACAGATATTGAACTTAATTTTATATCAAAACACGAGTTGAGCCAACAAGATATGCCTCGAGAATATTTCGTACGCTGCATAGATGTTGGATACTTCTTGGTTCCTTTCCGTCCATCCCAAAGGCAACAGCAATGCGCCTTATTGTTGAATTTCGTATATAGCGGATAATATTTGGGCAACATCGGGATATCTTGTCGAGGTCATCGAACAAACGAGAGATGGTGGATAGGCTTGATGCATCATTTACTGGAAGTGGTCAATCAACAGAAAGTGCATAAGGGAGGCAATATGTCCCATGAGATAGAGATATGCCTTCCCAGTCACCCTTGACAGCTGTCTATAAAGTGCACCTCCATTGCTTTGAACAGTTGCCCCAGAAGCAATCTCAACCACGCTAACCTAGTTTCCCTAGCGGAGTCTTAACGTTTCTTTATAACCCATTGATTTTTCAAAATGGCTTTGGTGAACATGCTTGGAATTATCGCCGGGAGCTTAGGCATAATCTCCTTTAAGTTGGATAGAATCGGTGAAGAATTCTCCCACTCAGGCTTAACGATTAACGTTGCCGTTGCACTTAATAAGCCATAAGTCTCTAATTCTGGAGGCGATCTCCCCGATGTGTATGTTTTGATTTATTATTAGTTTTTATCGAATTATGAGAAGAGACCATCCTAACCTAAAGCTAGGCGAATTTGGAACGAAGTCGGAGATTTCGTTGGTAAAACTGTTGACCCTGAGAAGGTTGAGGCTGGAAACATTGGTGAAATCAAAGTCCAGCATGATAATCAGGGAGTGTACACCTTATCCTCAGCCAATGATGATACCGTCTGCATTGCCTGGGTCTCGACAGCGTGGACTGATGACGGCAGCGGCAACAAGTATGCCGTGACGGGTGACTTCAGCGAACCTTGTGTTCCAAGCAACTTACGTATCAGTGACAAGATGGACCATCAGCCTAATTGCTTCTGGATCGACAAGAATGGAGACCAGCCGATGACTGGATTCCAAGTGTGATGGTCTGCGTATTCGGAGAGCCAGTTTGACGAGAACAACAAGGACCCGAAGAGGCTCTGCAACAACGTTGATTTTGGATTGCGTGAGGAGAACGGCCCCAGCACAATCAATTCCTATACCAAGAGAAAGAGAGGTACGCCCACCCGTACCCGCCGCTATACTCCTCGTTGCCCTAGATAGGCCAACTCCCAACTGGTTATTAGCGACTCCAAGCACCACTCGGCCAAGAGACTATGCATGTCTGATTCATCTATGGGGCCTGGTTTGCCCATGTTGGAGAGGGCCTCTTCTGCAATATGGATTCTAAGGTTCTATATGCCTTCTGTGCAGATAGCGGAGACGAAAAGACGAGATGCTTCAACTTGGGACGGCAACGTATTTCCACCGCGAGGGAAACGGAGTTAGTGAATACTACTTCTGCTGAATGAATCGTAAAGATTAGAGCTTGTACAGTGCGGCTAATGACTATGAACTTGACTAAGATTGCATAACGGCAGGGACTAAACGTTGAAGTTATAGAATGAAAATAAGGGGAAAGTGGCATAACAACATAAATATGTTGAAGATTTGGTAGATATATAAGCTTGTAAGGGAATGGTGATAATCAACCATAATGTGGCAATAGCATCTAGACCTCTGAGGTTAGTTATATGCTGGGGATTTATGCCCAAAGCCATATTGCAGTACCTTGTGTATTTCTTGCCTTTGAGGATATAACTATAAACGGTGATTATCTACGTAGGTAAAGGTATTGAGATGAATAATATTCTAAACGCTGCCTTTACGACAAAGTGGGTGAGGGAAACGTTGCCGTCCTGTACCCTAGTTTAAGATATGCCTATAAAAAGCACTTAGTGATCTACTTCGCGAGCTCAACCTTCCAGGTCTTCACACAGCCGTCAACGCCTCCAGACGCAATCTTAGACCCATCAGCTATCCAAGTAACAACATTGACACCTTCCCGGTGGGCATTCTTCATCTGCAGCTTGTCACCAGGGCGAGCAAGATTCCATACAAAGATATTGGTGTCAAGAGATCCGCTCACTAAATGGGTGGCTTCCTTGTTCCATGAAAGAGATGTGATACGGCTAGTGTGCGCCGTCCAACGGTCAGTGACAATGCTGCCATCAGAGACTTTGTACACCATCACCCTGCCGCTTGAGTCTCCTGCAGCCAATATTGATGCATCAGATGAGAAGGCTAAAGCTGTAACAGGGTTCCTCGAAAGTTTGGTCTCGATACTGACGTTGATGCTGGTGCCGTTGCTATCGAGTTTGCCGATTCGAATTGAGGCATCTCCACCACCGATAGCCACGGCTGATCCAACGGCGGCAACACCAGTAATTTGTGATTTAGAGTCAAATTTCCCTGAGAGTTGACCTTTAGAAAATATCTCAATCCCATCAGAATTGGCAGTAAGGACAATATCCCCAGCCGTGGCAATGCCCTTTGGTTGTGCAGCCAGTTTTATCTCAAGTTCAGTGTAAGTGTTAGAACTTAGATCGATAGATCTCAATTTATCATCCCATCCAACGCTATAAATTCGTCCAGAGTTCCCCTCGCTGGTGGCTGAGAAGCCTGTAATGTAGCAGTTATGGCCAGGTCCTTTTGCTTTTTGTGCTCCTCCGTCTGACATGTTCCACTGGCAGACTCTGCCATCATAGCTACCAGTCCAGAAAGTGTTGCTTGGACATGGGCTACGGGGGGATAGAGCGGTGATATTCCTTTGGTGACCCTCCACTCGTCTGGTTGGCTTCTCGGTACCCTCGACCAGATAATTAAGAGTCCCTGAGAGAGACAAGCTTATAGCCAAACCATCACTTCTTCCGCTTGGCCATACCACTCCGACTTGTTGGTCTATTACTCCGGCAGCACCGTCTTCACCAAGTGTCCAGTTCTGGATTACCTTACCATGCTCAACATCCCAAAGCTTGACCGTACGGTCTGCACTGGCTGTGACGAATCTCCGAGCATCGCTTGCCCAGGAAACTCCAAAAATGCTACCTTTGTGTTCACCTTCTCCAATCTGGCCTTTGGCTTCTCCGGTCTTTCCATCGTAGATCCAAATTCTTCTATCTCCGCCAACGCTAATCAAGCTATCGCCGTCCGGACTAAAAGCAACGCCGTAGATGTAATTATTGTGCTTGTCTCGAATTCCGGTATTATATTTGAATGGCGCACCGTGATAGAACACCAAGGTCCTATCGTCTCCAGCCGTTGCTGCGCGTAATGGCCTCTGCTGCCTGATGGACACCGAATTGATGACCTGACTATGGCCCGTGATTTCGCCGACAGTGTTACCGCTATCTGCCGTAATGCAGTGTCCAAATCGCTGATTCCCTTTACCAACAGCAATTATACGTTGCGAGTCACCATCCCAGGCTAGGTCGTTGATCCTCCCACTCACAATGGGGTATTCTCCTTTTGTGATACCCTCTCCAACGCAGTCCCATACCCGCACGATGCCGGAAGCATCACCGCTCGCAACATAATATCCAGACGGTGAAAACCTCGCAACAGTTGTCTCCGCCGTGTGACCAGTATATTGAGTTGAAATCGACGGGGTGTCTATCGAGCGAAGGAATATGGATTTATTGGACTGTTGCACCAAAAACGGTCAGACTACTGCTCACCCAACCGTACGTTCAAGCTGGAGAATCACGATCCAGGGGACTCCTTACCGCGTAAGCTAGCCGTTCACCTTTTAAATCCGATGAAAGCTGGGTTGGCTGTCCCCGGGTTGTAGATGGGCAAGCAGCCCAGGTGGAATCTAACTCTCAGTTAGCTGCCTACTATAATCAAAACATGCAAGATGCCGCCTTACCGATCTTGATGCTCATCACGGTCCAGGAGTCAATATTGCTACCTTCTATCGAAATGTGCTGTCTACGAAGTCAAGTTGTTGCTGGAGTTGGAGAGCTTGCGACGCAGTTTGGGCGGGGCATACGAATATATATGCTGATTAAGTTGATATATTATTTATACCATGGCTTTTATATAGATATCAGAGATAATATGGAACGCTTACTGACAGAAACACTATGAGAGGACCCCATATTTATAAATACAGTCGTATAAGCAAAAAGTAGTCAAGTCTATTGTATAGTATACATCCGGTAATCGTCTCAAACAACACCAAGGGGCGCAAGCAAGCGGAAATCGCAAAGAGGCTCACAACTTCTTTTCCAGCATGAGAATCTCCGGGTGTCTGTGGACGCTGGGCATCAGCCCCATGCTCACTGCTCTCCTGATTGCTTTTGACAGTTTCCTCTGGTTGACCCGTCGTAGACCTGTTTCTCTCGCTGGCTTGATGCGGCCCGTCTCGCTCACGTATTCGGACATCACGGCGAAATTCTATTAGACGGTGAAATTAGTATACCAATCATCCAAAATACTCCTACCAGAGAGAACGGCTGGCGGGTAGGAACTGCTTGGAAATACCTTGTACATGTGTAGTGGGTTCAGCGACAGAGCATCGAAGATATCAGTTGAAGGGCTCTGTCTCTTCCTCCACTTCTTCATCTCTGCCGGACTCAGGTCGCGCGGAGAGTATACATCGCCAGCTTGCCAGCTTCTAGTCTGCTGCTTCTGTAGGTCGATGATTCTCTGTTCCCGGGCTCTCTCTTCCTCGAATTTTTCGTTCCGAGCCTGTCTCCGCCTGATTCCTCGAAGCCTGGCGTCTACGGAGATGCATGTAATTAGACCCAAAGCCGTTATAAAACAAGCCTATCATGAGATCAATGGAGGTATATTCGCCTTACCTGTCGCTGGGCTCAAGGTGATTCCTCCAAAGCCTGAGTTGTAGCGGCAGGATACCAAGGGGGTGAGCCCTGTGGCTTGACAGAGAAGCGGGCGACAGGAGGTCAATTTCGTAGCCATTGCAAGATCTACCAGTAAATGCGTCTCCAGTTCTGCGTAGAAGAGGTCGTATATATGTTCGCCGCTTGTCGACTTCGAGTTGTTATGCTGGTTAAAGAAGTTTCTTTATGCCCAAGACGCCAAGACTTCTTTCTCATCTTCAAAGCCTCAAGCAAAAAAAGTAACCACCAAGCTTGATCAAAACGACTTGATGGGAAAAAAAGCGTAACACGATGATATAGAGCCGCGCGCGTTCAATTGAAGATAAGCAAGTATATACTATGACGCTTTGGTGGTAGAATGCATATCCGGTGAGTTTCGTGCCCCAGAAGGTCGGCGCGTTCATGCAACCATCTAACCACTATTTGAACAGCAGTGAAACCGGACAATCACATCAACTCGGCATCCTAGTATGGCCGGAATGTTCAATAGTTTTCTTACGAATAAGCCATTCGTAGCTTCAAGATGCTACAGGCATTTTATCTTCTCCACGAGATCTCACGCTCGTCCCTTTCGTCCCATCCTCTCCGTCCAGAGAAGGCAAATATTCGGCTTCCCAACCATTAGACGGGTAACTGAAACTGGTACAGGGAAATATAATGACTCTTCAGACCATGGATCCAAGGCTATGGTGCAGCTAGTACATGCTCTGGAGCAGCAGTCGCGCCCTCCACCCCCCTTCATTCTCGCGACGGGGTTCATGCGATTTATAGACAAACGGCTTGGTCAAGATACTCTGACACGCTATCAGGCAGAGCTCCTTATACGCACATTCCAGCATCTTTTAAGTGTCCCTTCCAAGGACCCCCAGGGCTCTCTACGCGAATTCCTGGAGCTGGAGAATTTTGAGCACACTTTAATTGCACTGTCAGGGGCGAAGTTCAGTCCAGACGCGGCTGAGCTAGTTAACGACCTTGCAAGAAGCATCATGGGTCAGATTCGTCGAGTTCGCCAAGGAAATTTTGAGCTGAGCCAGGAGCCCGACCTCGAGGTGTTTATATCGTACATCACTATTCTCTCGTCCACCGGCTTTTCCGCAGATGCGTTGAAGCTCACCATATCGTACTGGAAATCTATGCCAGTCTTGGGCAATGAATTATCCCCTTGGGTTGACATCATGAAAGGCTTTTCCAAAGAGGCCAGACGCTTAGAGGCCGAAAAGAGCATTCCGTCAAAGGTAACAATGGTACTTAAGGAAATGGAAAGATGTGGTATTACCTTGGGTACAGAGCTCCAGGAGCAAATAATTTCGATGCTAGGTGAAGGTGATTACTTCCACGCAATCAAGACTGTGGCTGGTCTTCCAGTCGAACGGTCAACCACCGCAAATATACATTTACTCAAGTTTGCGCTGCGCCATTCCATGTATTCATGGGCCGCCACGATTGCTAGCTCACTTCCCCCTTACCCAACTCCAGAGATTAGAGATGCCTTACTTCTCTTCTCCCTTTTGCGAGGGCGCTCCTTGGATTCAATCTGCAAACAATTAGATGAAATGACTGCCAAAAACCCGGAAATACGGGCAACAATGACCATTGACACTATCAACACGATAATCGAATACGCAAATCTGAACAAGCAGGCGGACGTGACCAACCAGGCTATTCAAATAGCCCAGACATGGGGCCTAACCCCCAATCCTCGAACATATCTTCTGCAAATACACTCACTAGTAAACTCTGGCCAAATCAAAGATGCCGCAGAATTGTTCCAAAACCTTGCTCCAGAGGTCGAATTCAATCTATCTGATGTCGATTTCTTGAATACATTCATCAAACAACTGTGTCTTTTGGAAAGTGCGTCCATCGATTTTGACACTGTAAACGCTCTTGTTGATACGCTGCAAGAAGTGGGTGGCCGGTTCGAACCAATGACCCTTAGCTTTCTCTGTAGGGCACTACTATACTGCGGTGATATAGAAGGGGTATCTACCTTACTTCGGCCCATAATTGACAACTACGATCCGTTAGAGCTCCAAAAAATCAGATTGCCTTTCCTCGACTATATCAAAGATATGAGTCAATCAGTTGACAGCGCATGGGAGGCATACGAGCTTTTAAATCTTGCTATGCCTACCACGCCTGTTTCAACTCGGACGATTATAATGAACGTTTTTTTCGACCGTCAGAGATCTGACCTTGCCTCGTTGGTCTTTGGCCATATGCGACAAAAGGGTGACCCTAATATTCGACCAACATCATATACTTATGCTCGCTGTTTCCAAGGAATTGCAAAGGCCGCTGATTCGGACAGTTTGCACCTAGTACACAACATGCTAAAACTTGATCTTCAGGTTGCGCCCACCACCAAGATTCGTAACAGCTTGATGCTTGCCTACGCTGCCTGTGGGATAGCAGACCAAGCGATGGGGATTTTCAGAGACATACTTCACTCGGAAGAAGGCCCGTCAGAACGAACGCTAATTATATTCTTTCGAGTCTGTGAATCGTACGATAATGGCCTAGAAGAGGCTACCAAAATGATGGAGAAACTGAAATCTCTCGACATACTAATCAATGATGAAGTCTACAATGCCTATATTGGCGCTCTGGGAGCTCATTGTGAGCTGGAACTCGCAACCCAGGCTATTAAGGCAATGGAGTCACAAACCGGTTCTGCACCGACGATACTCACGTATGTCAAGTTTGTTCCTTTTAGACTTGAGTCATTGTTGCTAACTGCAAATAATGTATAGGCTTGTAAATCTCTATAATTCCATACCATACCAATACTGGAAAGATCAGGCTGAAGAATGGGCGCAAGTCACGTACCCTAAATTATGGAAAACGATAGAGCAGTCCGGGCGGACAAAAGACGAGGACGGTCTGCAACATCTGAACATAGATAGGTCGGTTAAGGCTTAGCCGTGTATTATTAAATCCAACGAGTCATTCGCTTCACCTACAGTCTTCCCTTGCCTCTAGAGCAACAAGTATGGAGTATGTCACCTACACGAGCAGCTATGGAGTTTTGCGTCAAAATGCTGGGAATAATGAATACCGGTCTCTTCTACCTAGCAACATTTGATTAAAACAATCTTTCATATCCGCGAATCCGGACCTTGCATGGCTCTCAAGAACTAGATACTCAACAGAAAACCAATGCCAAAAAGTGATATACAGCTATTGGCTGGTTTAAGAGCTTCCGACATTACAGAGCCACGGTCGAAAGCCAAGGGCAAATATTATACGAAAGAAAAAGGACAGACGCCACTTTTTGAGGAAGTTTTTTAACATTGCATTAATCATAGGTCTATCTATCTATATGCGTCTTTCATCAGTTGAAGAAGAAGCTTATGTCGAAATCAGTGAACAACTTGAAACAAGGTCAAAGCCATATTCCCGCCCAAGAAAACTCCGCTTTTCGTTGCTATATGTACCTTTCCGTATAGCACTGTTTACAAAGTCAATAAAGTCGTGTGGTCTGAGAATCTAATGTGATCATATCGTCGCTCCATTGTCGGAACGCTGGTGCTGTGCCCCATATCTGCATATCCCACTACCCCGGGATGGAGGAGAGATATCATATCATTAGAAGCCCATGGCTCATAGCCAAAGTTGCCATTGAGTGGCGGATCCGCAAACGAAGGCGCACATATCTCTGGCTGCGGTGATGTGACGGCGTAATATGAATACGGAGACATGTTGGCAGGCTCACAATGTCGGATTGGATCAGTTAAAGGGGTGTGGGGAATGGATACTGGGCTCGGTGAACTCGTGAGGCTTGGGACTTGTTGGTAAGATGGAACGGTAGCCAAAGGGGAGTGAATATCGCTCGTTGGCCATACTTCAGGAACCGTTACTTTCGGAGGAGCTGGTAGCCGCGCTGGCTGGCTCTGAGTATGATCAGGGATATGCCACAAGAGCTTTGGCATGATCGTTTGGCAGGCGGACCGATTCTCCTCTGTTCGTGGAACTGGGTTGATGGTGGGCTTCACCACTGGACTTTTCTTCTTGGTTACGGTTCCGGAAGTCTTCACCACCGTTCCGTCTGTTTTATTGCTACCAAAGCGTTGTGTATATCTAGAAAAGTTGGATGCATCAGAAATTAGGCGATGGCCCTAAAGATGACAATGGTAGGGGGGAACGAACCTATTCTTTGCCGCAATAGGTGTCCGGTTGGGGAAATATCTATCCACAATCTCGGTCCATCTTCTTCCATAGATCTCCACGGCCTCTCTCAAAATCTCGTCCTCCAAGAGTGACCATCTGTCGTTATTTATCTCCGGGTTCAATGATTCATGCCAACGTCTTGAACATTCTATTCGGGGATTGAGAAAGGTTAGTAGCCATCAAACCTGGAGGTCGGGTACAGATTCAACATACGATCTGGCTGTCTAGATCCTACAACCTGTGAAACAAGTGCCCAACTAAAGTACAATGTGTTAGCGGAAAAGAGCAACGCAGCGGAATACCAGGAGGCTGAGGCTGCTTACCGGAAACCATGCTTCTGGATCCCTTGCAACAGCTTCTCATCTTCCGTTTTATTCCAGGCTCCTTTATTTAACGAGGGTGCCAGAATATAAACCCATCGTTTTCTGCAGTCCTTGTTATTTCGCTCTGGAATATTCGAGGCTATACGATGCCAGTTGATGTCACCACCTCTCGCCACTTGAAGGAGGATTGATCAGCTTCCGTCCGGTTCGCTAGTCATTAACACAGTGACCTACTGCTTTCATTGACCGCCCTCCTGAGGAGGGTATCCTCCTCTTTCGTCCAAAGCCGCCGTGCCCTTACTTTCATCATCGTGGGATCCGGGAACGGTTCGGCCCGGAAATGGGTATCAGTAGAGATAAGGTGTGCACAGCTTGTGAGTAGAAGAGGGATTGCCGGCTGGTTTATCAACTATGAAAGGCTAACACACTTTCCGAACCAGGGAGGCTGAGAGGAGAATAAGGTATGCAGCAGTTTATGAAGAAATCCAGAGATCAGGTGCGAGTGGTCGTGATACTGCCTGGGTATAAATCTTATCTAGGGAGACAATCGGCTTCTTATCATGCCTTCCAGTGCATCCGACAAGCGTCAAGTATACGAGCCGACAAACGCCAAGGGAGTTTCTAGAGGAGATGGTATAAACGAGCAGGGTTCGTGGGCCCAGCCTGATGTCCCAATCTGGCATCATTTATATATGTATATATGGCCCATGTATAGCATGTACCACATCTCATGTACGACGGCGGAGTGCAATTTTGATCTGCAAGGCTCATGCATGGGTGGACCGTATACTTCTGCATATAAGCTTTGCCTTGTTTGCAAATACTACGTCGGCAGCCATATTTATGCATATAAGAGATGAAATACCGGATCAGGCCTAGCCAAAGAGAAAGAGAAAGAGAGCCCCATGGACGTTTTCGATACTCTCTGCCTCGATGTTTTCTTGTTTCAAGGCATTATCATACGAAGGTGCAATCTCCTACCCGTGGCCCGGTAACTCGGTTACCATCAAACACCGTTCCCAGTGGACATACAGAGCTTATTCTCTCGCACGAAATGGAGAAGAAGGGAAAGAAGAAGAAAAAAGAAGTTGTTCGGTACCATGCCCCTGAAAGTTCCGCAGAGGATAATACAACGTCCAATGAATTCTAGTGGAATGCTATTGGCTCGCATAGATGTTAACCCAGCAAACTCACGGCGAACTTCTTACATATATAACTTGACCATACATATACTCCATACATAGTAGGTTATCGCCCTCTATTTGCTTGCTATTAAATGCTATATTAAAAATAATTTTTGTATATTAATATACAATGCGCTATAGACGACAAATACCACGACGTGACAGCATGGATCCATATATATATATAAAGGGGGATAACGACAACGACAAGGAAATCAGGAAATATACGGTGATACAGTTTCAAAACACTGGGAATCCATAGGATGATTAGCGCTATTATTTCTCACCGAGCAGGCTGCATCTTGACGTAAGTCATTCGAGGATAATCATATGCAGTGTATAATACATCTACATATACAAGCACCCCCAGCAAAAGCGCAGACTCGGTCGTCGTATTCATGGTCTACACGTGGGATAGGATCTCCTTGACAAGCAGTTCCCTGTCATGTTGAAAAAAAAAAAGAAAAAAGGTGTGGAATGGAAAAGAAAAGAGAACAAGTGGCGGGCGGGCGCATCTATCTTATTTCATGCTGGCCTGGCTTGCCATCCAATAGTCGACGCTATCCAAACACATTGACCACCATGATTCGAGAGCAAATGTCAAACCCGTTCCTGTGGCGGCTTGTTCTCGTCTAGAGCGTGAATCACGCTCTGTTTAAGCAACATCTTTGAAAAGCGGCTTTAAATCGATTTAGGTTCCCTTTTCCTCCGTATTCCCAATTCTTACATTGTACCCTTGACCACTCGAGCCAAGAGATGGCCCTTGTTGAACTTCGAGTTCTGCCTTACACAACCTACATCGTCTCCTCCGCACCAGACGGACCCCTGCTTTGAATCCCATGGGCCTCGCGAAGGGCTGGAAAGACGTTTCTTATGCAGCATTGTCAAAACGCCTCGCCATGCAACACTGAGCATTTAAGGTTGAATATCAATCAGTACGTTGCCTTTCGGCAAATAAATCCATTTTATTTTCCTGGTTACCGGGTTTCCCGCTGAGAATCTTCTTTATATCTGTTGTTCGGGGGCCGGTCAGGATGGTGATCATTATCCTATCCACTTTCCCAGCAAAAAGGGAAGATTTTTACCAGTTCCTTTTCTTGCACGGCTAAATTCCACGATCTCTCTCTCTCGCGTGCATGATAGCTCCATATGCTGTGTGGGGGACGAAGACGGATGGTCAGGACAGGGTGGAGATGACGCCCAGGGCTCGTTCGCAAAAAAAAATGCCTGTCCTTAATACCACGTATAGTACATATATTTATATATATACTTTGGTAGTGCACCAGCTACCGGCAACTTCCATGAGGAATAATACTTATTCCTCTGGCCTTAGTCAACACACACTCGAAGGCTCATGCAAAATACATTATAGGCTTCTTCCCTCGTTAGGATTTGCTCTAGAAGCAAAGGATGAAGTCCAGCGTCATGCATGAGTTCTCTGTTAGCCTTGCGCGGCTGAAACATCCGAGGAACTCACAAGAAATGATCTCCAGCAACCGAAACAAGCGTCTACTGTCTATCACCAAAGAAGTTGGCATCGATTCTCTCAAAACAGGTTATTGCGCTTAGTCGGAGGGACTCGTTTTCTTTTCTATTTTTATTTCTCGAAACCACTGCCAATACGAAGGTTTATTCGGCAGGTTCTCTGATGCACCAGTGGGTTTTTTATACGGGCTTCATCTACGAAGTGGTGCCCGTATTTACCCTTTTATACAGCACCACCACATATTTGTGACGGAGGTCTCCATCTCGGTATTTTTTCTCTCCTCTGGTCAGTCGTCTAGCTCTTGCCACGTCGGTGGAGAATACTATGCATGTAGTGTGTGTGTGCAGTGTAGCATGTTGCAACAAACTCCAGCAGGAGACGGATTATCCTCCCGAACCCGCGCGAGGTTTTGGCTGGCTTCGCTTGTTTAATCCTTGTCTGCTCCTCTACGTGCGTTGGGGCTGGAGAATATCAGCCAGCAAACCAAAGTATAAGCCCAGAACTGAGCGCATCGAGTGGCTTGATATGGCCAATTTGCCCCCTCCCCCCCATTATCCGTATCAGTCTTTAGTAAGGCCAAACGACTTTAAAAGAAAAACAGTTGCAGAAAAGAATCTCGGGTTTAAAGGCTTCCCGCCATGTGGTTGTTTCATTTGTTCCGACTTTATATTGAAAGCTAACGGTTAAGCATTCATAGTAACTGCCGATTTCCCTCTTGAGTCATGACCTTCCACGATATTTTCATGCAGAAGAGCTCGATAACAGGACGAATGTGAGCTATCTCAGCCTTCGACCATTAGGAACTCATGCCGGTTCAATACCGAGCAACATGGGTTTCTATTTGCTCAGGGCAAACGAGTTTGACTTTAGAAGAGCCGAGAAGCACCTTAGGTGGAAGGTGGAAAAAGAAGAAACACCTGTGCCCTTGCTAGCTCTCCTCCAATCTCTTTCTCTCGATGCTCTTGTTCTGTTTTCTTCTCTCGACCTTCTTGTTGCTAATAATAATAGCAGTAGCCAACCCCCCGTCAAGGGCGTGTGGAGGCTGCGCGCGCCACGAGGAAGCGGATAGAGAGTTCCCCCTGGCCCGCTGCCTCTCACTCCCGAACCTTAAGCAGCTTAAACAAAAAGATAAAAAACGTGCCGTCATATCAAAAAGTTCCCCTGAACCGCCAGCCGAAGTTGTCCACCCAAAAAGGCGGTATACGGGCCCTAGGATGGTAGTTTGGTCTCTCCTCTGGACTGCCACTTCAAGTGTGCCCAGGAAACATGATAATATTACACAATATATTGTTTGTTCTCCATTCTCTGTACTTCATGCAGAGATTAGCAGGTGGAGTTGAGTTGAATGTAACCCCTGCCTAGCCATTTATGTCAAAGCTAAACACGGCTGGACGATGCTATATTAACACTTACCCAACCGCTGCTGTTTTGCCCAGGCAAAATTTATATGTGGCCTGCGGATCGGAAATACGGATACTCCATACTTGATACGAGTAGCCACAAAGATGGTTCCATATTCTATGAATAGACAAACATCACCATCAGTCTTTTCTTTCTTCACTTCAGTCTGATCGTGATAAAATTTGATTATGGATGTACAGATGGGAGGAAGACATTCGGACAGCCGGCCCGGCACAGGCAGCTTGTACAGGTGTACCGGTGTGCAGGTGTACTGTGTTCCCTTCCCCCCTACGCAAGCAATCAAGAAGAGATGCAAGCATTCTTAATAAGGTGAAAGAAGAAACCTGTTTAGAATCTCCTTATACGGAACATCATGGCGATCATCTGTCATTGCCCTGGCTCCTCCAATCTGCTCACCAACAGGCAGGTTTTCAAGGGTGAAGACATGGATATACCCAAGTCATTGCCTTGTTCCATAATAAGACTCCCCAGCCCTTGGAAATTCCGCACTCTCTTCCCCACGTTAACCCCGAGGGTGCCATGTGGAGGCGTAAAATCTCGCCTAATACGGAGTACTCCAAAACATAATATCGGCAGGGGGCCCATCTGGAGTGCAACTTATCAAAGGCTAATTACATAAAAGAAACGTGAAGGCTATATATTACGTCTACTGCCAACTAGGATGGACGGGGAAGTGCGTAAACTGTTGCATACTCTACCTTGTTCCTATAATAATGTGTTATATAGCTAACCAGTTTGTAGGGAAGTTCCAAGATTCACGGCGAGAAAAATGGAAGAGATGTTCGCAAAAAAGAAAGAAAAAAGAAAGAAAAAAGAAAGAAAAAAGAAAGAAAAAAGAAAGAAGAGTAAACACAGACTGACCCTTTAATAATATTTTCAAGGCATCATCACCTTGAGATCTCGAGATTAAGGGCAATATCTACTCCTATCAAAGGAAACGGTATTTCCACACAACCATAGCGGCAGAATTCGTACTCTGTAGCTTGCCATAGAGTCTCGAGTTAATCCCACATCAACGTTAGGAATGAATACGTGATATACCCACGGGAGAAGCTTATGCCAAAGTACGATATCAATTATCGTGACACATAATAGCAGGACAAACTTGACATTTATTCTCAGTCAACTTATACAAAAACAGCTTCTCAACTCGCATCATTGGACCATTGGGCCATTGCCTGAGGAAAGGCGTCAAAAATACCAAAATTATCTACGGAAACCGTCACTTTCTGCTCACTTGCGCCCTTCTGTACTCTCAAAGAGCTAATTACACTGAAGGGCCTGCATATTGCTGTTCTATTCTTTCAGAACTGTTGATTATGCAGTGAGCTTCTCCTCTACCGTATCCCAGCGACGACACATTGATAGGATCACCCTGCTATGGCTTCGCAGTGGCTTCACTCACGTCTTCTATAGGCCAATGAAGCTATAACCTCACCTACCTAGTGCATTGGCGGCACGATGACTATACTCACTGCGAGCGAGTCTTTAATCAACGTCACGATGGCGGAGACTGTCTCTGAGTTATCCTTGCTTAAACCAACCAGCAATAGGTGCCCTGCACTGGCGGACCGTTTCGCCGGCGTCTACCTAGCAGCTAATATAAACCTGCTACCAGGGTGGGTACTGATCAAGCTATTGAAAAAATTTGCAACTTGCATAGACCGCTCCGGGCGCGCTTACCGCACACTCAGAGCCCGCAACCACCGAGCCGCCCGAGCAGGCATCTAGCAACTACGTTGGTACAGCTACAAGGGAATAGACGCAGACTGTGTTAGCGCCCATACTAGGCCCGTCAGATTGAGCTTGAAAGATGGCAGAGTCGGGGTCTACCACGATCCGGCAACGGTTCTTAAACGAGTTCTTCTGTCGCTTAGTTTTGGGAATGGAGTAGTGGAATTATTATATAGCGATTTCTATGGATATTCCTACATTAGACCATTCTGGCTTTGGGGCCACGATTGAGGTCACTATAAAAGCAGTTGAGGCATCCTTCAGCACCAGCTTTGCAATTGTCAAATAAAACGGTATGTTTATTTCGCCCCCGGTTTGACTCATTAATACAATCCATACACTGCATAGTGTGAGACCCAGCTTGTTGGTTTTCCTCTTAGACATAACCCAGTCACCTAAATGGAAATCATCAAGTCTATGGATCCTGCTGCACCTTGTGGCAAACGTCACCATCCTTCAGCTGAGCTTTCTTACCCCGTTTCTGGTGATGGTACCATCCAGCTGCTCCATCAATATATCCACATCCTCCATCATAGTCTGCGCCGGAGAACCGGCCCGCCATACCGACAATAGTGAAAATAAAATAAAATAAAAGATCCCTGCACAACCGGACGCATCGGTAACGGAGGTACAAGGAGTTTGACCCATCTAATTCTCACTTGAGGGACTCCGATGATACCAACCCAGCCCTCGCGATATTGAGCTCGGTACTAAGAATTGTCATATGAGTCGCGTGTCTGCGGATGATTAGATTATAGAAGGCATCCAAACGTGAGGACGCAAAGTCGGGTTATTTAGCATCTAGTTACCTAAGAGCAATATCCTGGTGGCTATAACGCTCCAGAACCAGCTTATGGTTGGCCTTCCCATTACCATTCAGTGCCACCAAGTAGGATGAAAGATTCCTAGAGATTTCTCACAGATAATACTACCACAGGCTTTATCTGCAAACAAAAGCCCAACCAAATAGCCTGTACAGATACCATCATAACCTCAGGACAGCGCTCCACTATTCTCTTTTCCACCGCTGCGAGATCAATTCAGTAGCCACGAAGCTCAACCTCCCCGTCCATCCGCCCAAGAGTGTAAATCTTGCTGGCCGCATTGATAAACCTCAACAAAAATGAAGGCCGTCTATCCTATACTCTGTCAACACCCTTATGTCATGTCTCTAACTTGCCTCCCAGATATGCTTGCTCCTTGAGGATCTCTCCGCCACGGCTTGGCTCCCTCCTCAGAGCCGCCGGGCCAATCACACGGCTTGCCGCTAAGATAAGCATCGTTAAGCTCTCCGCGGCGGAAACTATAACTCTATCCTTTGGCGTCTATACGAATGCAAGTCACATCAGAAAGTTGATCCTTCGCCAGCTGTGCTAATTTTTACCAGCCAGCCGTAGGTCGGATACCCTATTAGGATAGCGGGCTCATCGAGACCTGGCTAAATGGCGGAGAATATTTTTTCCAAAGGGTAAAGAGCGCTTATTTAAATCATCGATGCAGCCAGGCTGAACGTCATTTTGTGAAATATATGAAAGAAAAGAGAAGAAAGAAAGGCTGTCTAGTACAGCAGAGGGTCAGGGTCTTCAGGTATCCTAGGAAGACCGAGTCGCAACTCTCATTATCATGGGCAGCCATGTCGCCCTTCTTAAGAGGCTGGCAGCCATCCCCAATGGAGCCCAAGAAGTCCGGCCAAACCTGATTCTGGCCGTTGTTTGCTCCACCATGTTCCTTGATCGTAAGTCCTAAATATGTACGGTCTCTTAGGTTCTCCTACGCCCATGGCTCACCAAGTTTCTAGTATCAAATTTGTCGGCTGTTACAATAGCACTGCCAACCATTGGTGAACAACTGCACACTGACCAGGCACAGCTACAGTGGGTAATATCAGCTTATGCGCTGACGGTATATCTTCCCGAATAGCTTACCCTTACCCTTACGATTATACATAAATGCTGACGAGTCCTAGTTCGGGAGCTTTCTCCTGCTCGGTGGTCGAAGCGGCGACATCTTTGGCCACCGCCGTATTCTCCTTTTTGGCTCTTACTTCTTCTCACTGTTCACGCTTGTATCTGCTCTAGCGCCCAGCTTCACGGCTCTGGTTATCGCGCGTGCCTTTCAGGGAATTGGGGCGGGGTTCACCATCCCTTCTGCCCAAGCTCATGTGGCAATTTACTTCCCCTCGCCGGCAGAGCGAGCAAAAGCCCTTGGTTTCTGGGCGGCAGCCGGGAGCATGGGATTCATCGTCGGCCTGATCCTAGGTGGTGTGCTGACTGCACTACTCAGTTGGAGGTGGATTTTCTGGATTACTCTAATTCTCTCAGCAATAGTTGTGCCAGCCGCTCATGTCATCCTCCCTCGAGCAATTACTGCTCATTCTCCAGCTTCTCGTGAGATTACAGACCAGGAACGCGAGGAGAATAAGCTCTTCTATTCCATAAAGACACGCCTTATCCGCTTCGATGTGTTAGGCATCTGTCTGGGTGTCCCTAGCCTCCTCCTCCTAACTTATGCACTCACCTCCGCCAACACGGCTGGCTGGAGCTCACCCTCCATCGTCTCGACACTGGTCATATCAAGCGTGCTGCTCCTCGTGTTTGCACTGCACGAATATCGGGCACCCCAGGCTCTAATCAACCCCCGTCTCTTCAGCCCAAGCTTCACACTTACCCTCGTCTTGGCCGTAGCAACCTATGCCGTCCGCCAGGCTTGTTCCTACTTCCTCACACTCCAACTACAGTCCTACGGATCGTCACCTCTACACACTGCTCTTCTCTTCCTGCCTGTCGGCATATCCGCCCTCATTACCAACACAGCTGCAGGCCGTCTGGTTCCTCTACTAGGTGCCCGGGCCATGTTCGTCCTCGGCTGGGGCCTTTGCATCCCTGGGGTGGTATTGTTTAGCTTCATTACCCAGGAGACATCGTACTGGCGCTTCACCTTCCCGGGCATGATACTATATATTGCCGGCCTGGGCGTCGTGTACATCACTGCGAACTTCGTGGTAGTGTCTAATGCAAACAAGAGTGACCAGGGCGTGGTGGCAGGCGTGTTTAACGTCGCACTCCAAGTGGGAGGAAGTGTCCTGGGTCTCGCAGTACTGACAAGCGTTGCGAATGGAATTAATGGACGGTATAGCAGCGGAAACGCAGAGGGTAAACTTAGCCTGATCGGCTATCAGAGTGTGTATTATTCGTGCATCATACTGTGTGCTGTGGCACTGGCGTTGAGCCTGGTGGTCAAGATACCAGATGCAATGAAGGGGAGCCTGTGGAAGAATCCAGAGCAAGAGGCGAGGGCGGAGCAGCAAGCGCAGGCGCAGACGGCAATGGAGATGAATTGAACTTGTATAAAAAATTGACCGGGTGGTAGAATTCTATAGTAAATATTAGCTAATATTATCAATCTGTTTCAGGCTGTTTCATATCTAATACTCTAAGCCGTTGGTTATAAATAGCAATAGTTCAGCTGTACTTGGGTGTCTTATTGAAGTTCTATACCATCGGATGTCTATTAATATCGTCTCTAATAATCACCAAGGGAAAAGGCGAGTACAAATAGAGCTCTTTGGGCTTTATTCACTTATCTAACTATCATACGTATATTTTATCGCCTATGTTCTGGTTTTATTCTCTCTTTTTGTGCATGTATCCGAGTACCTGTCGAGTATACCGTCAAGTCCGCGACAGAGAGACGGGAATGTAAATTCAAATGTCAACATTCATGTACAGTGTGTGCTATTCATTTCTTTTTCACATGGAAGGAAAAACCAAAAGTCATAGTCTTTTTCTTTTCTGTTTTATTTGCTTTTCTTTTTTTTTTTATTTTCGGAAGTTGTTCTAGTCGATTCGATTCGTGATAAGGAGCGGCAGGGACGGGACGTTAAGGGAAGGGAAAAAAGAAAAATAAAACATGAGGTCTTTTATTGGTCTTGTACATTTATCCAAAAGGGAGGAAGAGGGTCGGACCGTGCCCTGCTGCTGTGCCGTGTTGAGAGAGTCTAGTTCTCTTCTTTTGGCATACGCTTGCCCATGCTGGAGAGGAAATTAGCTGTTGGCCCTGTATGGATTAATTGAATAGTGTAGCACTTACAAGTCGAAGAAGGCAAACTGGCTAGGGTTAGCGCCATATTCATACACGAAGCGACTGGCAAGGTAACTGCCGAAGATGGATCGGAGGTAGTTGTCAGGAATCTAGCAGGGAAAGTTAGCATCACTCAAACCATGAGGTAAAAGCGGCCACTTACGCGCTCCAAAAGAGTCTCCAAGCCAATCTTCTCGATGAGGAGCTTGGGCAGAGCATCCTTGAGGGTAGCCTTGCGGAGAGGAATGTTGTCCCACAGCTCGGAGTTTTGCAACTCTTCGTCAAGCTGGGTGATGGCTACACTGAGAGTGTCACTGAGCACACTGCGGGGAATACCGGTACGCTCGTTCTCTCTCCAGATAGCCTCGAACTCCAAGCGAGCATTGCGCTTAATAGTTTCCTGGACCTCACGGACGTAGGCATCGTAGAATGGTGGTGCGGTTCCATCCTTAGCGACACACATGTGTTCTGTGAAGCCGGCGTCGTCGAAGGAGAGGGAAGCAAGAACCTCGAGGGAGGAGGAGGTGACACCACCCTTGTTCGAAGAGGCGTCCTTGTAGATGACACATCCAGCCTTCTCGAGACGGATCTTAGAGTCCTGAGTGACGAAGAGGTTGGCACCCTCAACGATGTATGGGACGATGGACTTGCCGTCGACGATGAGGCTGGAGACGTTGTTGAGGTTGATGGACTCTGGACGACCACCGCAGGGGACGAAGATGTCGTACTTCTCGGGGCGGAGATGGTAGGTGTTGCGGAAGGCGGTACCGTTGTTAACGACCTCGCCGGAGGGGAGGGTGACATTGCTGTCATCGCAGAGAACACGGTATCCGTCCTTGGACAGCTTGGAGATGTCGTACTCACAGATCATCTTCCTGCTGCGGGCGAGACGAGTGAGCTCGGGGCGGTCGAGGCCGTTGGGGTCAGCGAGGACACCAGATCCATCGACAATGGCAACGTACTGCTCCTTCCCGAGCAAGATACCGTTGGAACCGAGATCTCCGTCAGGACCACCGGTCTGGAACAGACGGACCTTGGTTTCGTCAATACCCATCTTGCGGTATATACCCTCGACGTTTTCACGGACAGACAGGGTGGTCATGGCGAAGCGGTCGTGGGGGATACCACCGAGCTTGGGGCTCTTTCCGGTGAAGAAGGACTTCCACCATGGAGCACCACGCTTACGAGCGTGCTCGGTAGCCCAGTCGACAAGAGGAGCCGAGTTCTCGTCAGGGCCCATGAAGAGGATCTCATCCTGGCCATGGAGGTCGACGATGGGGTCTTTGATTCCGGGGCTGGCTGGGGGCAGGAGGAGATCGAGGATACTGTCGATGTACTTGTGGAAAGCGACGGCGACCTTGTCCTGGTGGTTGACGTCTAGAAGCAAGACACCCTTGGCACCGCCCTCGGGGATATCCTTGTTCTTGCGCTGCTGCGTGTTGGCGAGGTTGTAGTTCTCATCGAACAGGGAGCGAGCGTTGATAGCGTAGGCCTCGTTGTCGCGGGACTTGACGATACGGATACCACCACGGGCGATATCGCGGAATCTGAGGTGGAAGCCACGGAACTCTGAGCTGATGATGATGAACATGCCGTACAGAGGATCCGGGTATTCGTGCTTGGGGAGGAAGTCCGCGCTGAGGCGGAAGCTGAGGGCGACCTTGGTGGGGGTGTAGAAGTTGGTCTTGAGGACGGCGGCGTTGAAGGTGAGGAAGGACTGCATGACCATTCTGTCGTTCTCGCTGACGACGGTCTTGGAGACGAGCTCCTTGAGCTGCTCAGCGTTGAGAACCTCGTCGACCTGCAGACGGAGGTAACTGAGGGTTGGGAGGAAGTCATCCTCGGCCTCACCTCTGGTCTGAACGTAGTGGGTGTTGGCGAAGTTGAGGTAGAGTCTGTGGATGAGATCGGGGTACTTCTGGATGATCTCGAGGATGTAGTCGGAGGTGAAGGTCTCAGAGCGGAGACGCTTCTTGAGCTTGGAGAGCAGCTCAGCGTGTGCGCTGTTGCTGGAGTCCAGGATTGCGGCGAGAGAGGTGTACTCGGAGCCGAGACGGTTGAGGAACTGCTGGACGAAGACCCAGACGCAGTGGGCGTAGATGGTCTCCTGCAGGCTGAGGCGTCCGCTGATGAAGTGGCCCTGGAACTTGTTCTGGGGGATACAGTAGAGGAGGGAGATCTCCTTGAGGATCTGATGGACGGCAGCCTCGATTGGTGGGTGTCGCTGGGAGGTCTCGTAGCCCGGGGTGGGGCGGAGGTAGAGGGAGACGATGGTGATGCCGTTGGAGAAGTTCTCGAGGTATTTGCGGGAGCTGGTGAGGCGGTAGTAGTGGTACAGATCTGAGAGGGCGCTGAAGAAGCCCATGGCGGAGCCCTGGCGGTAGGCGATGACGAGTCTCTTCTCGCGGCTGCCTTCGATCTCAAACATCTCGATGACGGGACCGGAGCGGGCAACAGCGTTGATGAGGAGTTCCTGGTAGATCGCCTTGGTGTTGTCGGTAGCCTTCTGCAGGAAGAGCTTGTCACCAACGACCTCGATGTTGGTCTCCTCGGGCCCAGGGTTTGGATTGCCGAATTGGCACTTGTAGACAAAGTAGCAACGCAGCTGCTGCTCGCTGTTGTCCGGCAGCGGGCTGGACGAGCGGAAGGTCTCGACACGGAAGCTGTCGGCGGGCGTGGCGCCGTTAATGTACTTTTCGTCGATCCGCTGTTCGTAGCGGGGGCCGTCGGTGGTGGTGACCCCTGGCCTGCTGGTGTCGATGTAGACGGCGTGGTCCTCGGCCTCCTTGTCGAGCCTGATCTCTAGCCGCTTGTCGTCACGGGCGTAGGCGGCCACTTTGGCAGCGTAGAGGGAGAGGATATGGCTGGTGATGGCCTCGACGGTCTCCGTCTGGAAGTACATGTCGTCGATCCCGAGCAGGTTGTAGAACCAATTGGTCTCAGAGGCCACAAACTCGTACGGAATGAAGCCATTGTTCTCCAATTGCTCAGACACTATCACCCAATTAGCATTCCAACCCGTCATCAACCATCATGCAACTGACGTACCGGCGAGCATCTGGGCCTCCTTGCCCTCGAACTTGGCTGCCACATAGCCGGGGCCCTGCTCAGCCAGGACACGGTGGGTGCCACCAGGGATTCCCAGGTGAGTCGGCTGGGGCGACGGCTGGCGGCCTGGGGTACGCACGACGTTATCGAGCTGCTTGTTCAGGGGACGCTGGAAGCCCGTTGGAGTGCCAGAGCCAGAGTTGTCTGATGCAGGCTTTGGACGAGCAGGAAGCCCGCCATTCTGAGGGGAGTCCGACATCTTTCGTCTTCTTCTGCTTCGACTTCTTGTTTTGCTGGTGTATTCAAGAGCTTCGTTCGACTTCTTCTTTCAATTGGGGTTTGCAGCTATAGGAGCAGCGGGAGGAGTGACTGTGTAGAGCTCGCAGCCATGGGATTATATCAAAAACAGAGAAGACGTCGAAGAGATGAAGTTCTTTTCTTCCTTTTCGGGGAGAAGAAGGAGGGGCAGAAAAAAGAGAGCAGCGGAAGGCGGTAGGAAGCTCCCTTAATAAGCTAGTTTCGCGTGGGGCGGCTAGCGGAGGAAGGGCGAAGCGCCCGGCGGCGGAAAGACGGAAAACGTCGGGAAAAAAAGGACGCAAGAACACATGACTTAAGCCATGGTGACTAAGCAGTCATGTGGCAGTGAAAAAACCCAAACCCCGTGACTTTCCCTGCTTAGCTAAGCGTCTAGACTTTCTCCTTTTTTTCTTTTTTGCTTCTTTTTTCCTTTTCAGCGACTTTTGCGAGACATCGAAAAGCGTCACTTTTTGCTCTCAAACTCGCCTTGTCGGTTAATTCTCCGATCTTACCAGGCTTTGGGACCTAGAATCCTCTGCTTACACGGTTACTTCTGTATCTTCGGCGCACTACTATAGTATGGACGCGGCATGGAGTCCACGGGCTATGGATAGCTCCGTATACTACATATATCTCAACTACGAATTCAACAACTGCCGAACAAGCAAGATCCTTCGCTGCTGACAGTGACAGGCGGCTCTAGACTGCTCGCTTCGACGGGCTTGCTCTCCTCCTGTCTTACTCTGCGCTGTCTGCTGATCCGTTTCACGTTGGACGTCAGAACAGCTGCGAAGCCACAGCAACACCTCAACAAAGGGCAGGACTGGAGAGCTCTGACTTACAGATCAAAGACAGACCGGCCAGGCTTACTGATCGCGACCCGTTCCAGGCCCTGTCCGTTTGTTGGCTGACCGTTGAACCCGTTGGCCGTTTGCCCTGCTGGGATGTAAATAAAGGGCCCAACAACTTCGCCCTTTCGTCACACCGCCTAATATAAAACTCCATCCTCCCTCATCCTCCTCCTGGTTGTATTATGATATGCACCCCGGAAAGAGTGCTCTTTATTCATAACCCTCCGCAAGTAGATCACTCTGGGGTAGGCCACCGCCTGACTATTGAATGCAGGCTGCCTCTTTTTGACTCGCCTCTTTAATAGTCAAACATGGCTACGGTCCTCTCGCCCGTACGAGTCGGGGATCCTGGATTTACAAGGCATTCCAGCTCACTTGCCGTCTTTCCTGCCGTCAAGTCGTGCCTCGCCTGATCGCCCAGCTCAAGTCTAGCCCCGCGGAGCTTTTAAGGATACATACTTACGCTTATGCAGCCCGAATCACCAAGTCTCCTTCCCTTCCATGGATTTATATATGCACGATGGACGACACAGGGCGTATCCAGCCCACTCTCTCCCATCACGCAATATCACAATTACATCCTACAGCGTCAATTGCACAGATTTACCAGCACATCACAGCAACATCACCAGCACGTCAACAGGAGCCCTCCCTTTTCCCTTCCTTTCTCCCCTCCTTTTCTCCGTCCGTTTCCCCTTAACTACGTAATCAGCGCCTCCGTAAACAGAAAAGTGAAAACTGGAGCAGCCCCGGCAACCGGCTGGCTGAGCCGTCCTTGTCGCCCAAGCCCAGCTCCTTTTTTCTTTTTGCTGCCTTTGTCCTCTTCCTCTCGCTCCCTTCTTCATCCCTGACGCCCACGTTCGGACCGGTCGACGGGCTGACAGGCTGACAAGAGCTGACGGGAGCTTACATGGTAGCCAACCGGATACCGCGCAACCCAATCCAGCCAACCATTATCACACTCCGCATACATATACACACTCACTCTCACACATAATATATGTATCCTCCGTGTATATACACACACACCTGGATGCATCCAAGCATGCATCCATCCATACCTGACGCATATACGTACATTCATTCGCGAAGTAATATAATTTTAAATCCCTCGTATAAATCAATCAGCCAGTCAAGGAAAAGGTGCGCAGGGCGGAGCAGCCGGACTTGGTCATCCTCCCGTTTGATGGCAGTTTCTATTATTCAACCTCCTGGTAAGTACTTTTTTTTTTTCTTGTTTGCTGGGTACCTTGCCATGGCCTTCCTGTTCCCAGTGGCTGGTTAGTCATTAATCCATACATAGTATAATGTTGGGTACGGACTTTGTATCGTGTACGGAATAAATGGGGGTATTGCCAAATTGGCCAACACAGGTGGTGGTCGTTGGATGCAATTTATGTGGCCTTGGTGAGGTTTTGATAGTCGTTTTATTCGCCGCTTAAGAATTAGGATATAGCCACTCGATGTAGGTCTTTTTATAGCCACCACGTACTCTGTATAAGATTAATATTTAGATATAGTACTACTTGTTAACGTATTCCACTACTCAACCCACTTAATAAATGTTTTAGTAAAATATAAAAAATATTCTAAAAGGTTATACAATATAAAAAGATTTAGCATTGAAAAACAGGTTTATAATTATATTCTGCGTGGTAGTTAAAGCAGCGAGATAGGCCGTCTATATCGTCGTGCGCTAGCACCAGGCGCCTTACCGACCTCGAACGCTATACCGGATCGGGGATTTGGTGAGGCATGCCGTGTTTCACCTTTTTTTTTTTTTAATTTTCCCAGCATGTCCTTAACTATTCATGTCGTTTACATTACTACATAGTATGTATTGAAGGAGAAAATAAAAAAAACTTATGCGCTTTTTGCGATGTAACTTGCTTCTTCCCTCCCCCTATTTTTTATTATTATATCTGTTTGATATTTAAAAGCTTTGTCTCTTCTGCTTCTTTGGTTGTTCTTTTTTTCTTTTCTTTTCTTCTTCACCTTTCTTTCCCCAGACTTTCTCCGCATTTTTTTTTTTTTTGACGCTGAACCTGGACTGAAGGGCCTATTATAGCCTCATCCTCATATTTAGGCAGCCATTATAAAGCTACCAATATATTCGTCAGCCCGTTGATAGTCAAGAACCTTCGTTTCAATCGTCCAAAAGACACGTAGCATCTTTCCATCGTTCTCAATATCAATATCGAAAGGGCAGGATTCCCTTCAACTACCAAACCAAACCATCATCACCAAAAATGGCTTCCACCATGACACAGTCTCCCCATACCTCGCTGCCTCACAAGATGCATGTCTTCTCCAGCACCGGCAACAGCTCCAGCAAAAGCTCCAGCTCAAGCTCAAAGCAGCTCTCGATCTCAACTCTCAGCCTAGACATCCAGCGTGCTATGCAGTCTTCCTCGAGCCAGCCAAAGTACATCTCCGCAGGCAATGATGACTTTGAACACCCACCACCGCCTCCTCCATCTCCAGTCGGCTTTCCCACCGCCTCATCTGGCTGGAGGTAGACGAGACCACCAGATGACCCAGGAAAAACAAATGATAATTCACAATTATTTCCTCTCCTGACGCCTCGGATAATACGGTCGTCGATGAAGCAATATGGCCACTCTTTTCAATCCTTCTGCTGTCTTTCCTTTCGGTTTTTTTTTTTTTTTTCAGAACCATAATTCTTAATTGGCATTGGGTCGGGATAGAACGGAGTTGTGTTTAGATGGCTTCAACTTCCTTTCTTCTTCTGCTGCTTTGTTTCTTTTTTCCTTGCTTCTTTTTCTTGATATCCCTGCCCAAGGAGCTGGTTTTCTTCACGTCAGTATTTTTTTTTCTCTCTTTCTTTCGGAATGGATGCTCAACCACCTTGTACGGGCCCGTTTGCTTCTTTCTCCTTTATCCGTCTTCCGCACATCCTTTTTTGACTACTGCGCCCACTATGACAGATAATTTTTTTTTTCCTTTTATCAGTTTTATCCTCAAATAACCGATCTCTTCCTCAAGTTTGAACACGCAATTGTAGGCGGTAGTCGAGAGTATTCCAGTGACCGGTCATAAGGCCGTTCAGGTATCAAGAGCCTGCAGGTTCACTAGCCGTAGGCGTTGTCGATCCCGTCTGCACCCCAGACCCACGGCCACCCTGGTTAGAAGACGCCTGGCTGCTCCGCTCAGCATACATCCGCTCCAACGCAAGTAGCGCATCTCCATCGCCCTCCAGCGCCAGCTTATTCAACCTCTCAGCCTCTGCAACCGCTGCTTCAACCCTATTCCACCCCGCAATCTTCTCGTCCTGAAGCTGGCTCTTTCTCGACGGAAACACCGTCCTGACAGTGTCCGTTTCGCCCCTGGCATGTTTCGCCTTCGCCAGCCGCGCCAGGAATCGTGCCTGGTTGCTCGCTGCCACCCTGGATGCATCTGCCGGATCGTTGCCTAACACGCTCTGGCCGCCAGCACTGGATATTAAATTTGCCTTTTGGCCCACGATCCTCACCCGGTTGACGCACAGCAGCTCGCTACTGTCCTCTTCATGCCGCCATACCGGGGGAAGTGAGCCAGGTAGTCTCTCCGAGGCACGAGAAAACATCAGCTCTGTCCCTATCATGTCCGCCCAGGAGCAGCTGAATATCTGGTTGCCGTACGAAATTATCGGATTGGATGTGTGAAGGTCCATTATCTGGATCCTGCTTTGCGATTCTTGCTCTTGGTCGGTGCTATACTGCTGTCCGTCCCCGTCGACTGACGGGTTCAAAGACGGATCAATCGGTGAGTCCGTGGGACTCGCCGTAGACGATCTCTTTCTCGGTGGCCGTATCAGCCCGTTGGATGAAGATAGCTCGAGGTTGATATAAACTGTCTATATTGACATATCTCTTAGCTTCGAAGTCCATTCGCTGGGTGTCGTGGGTTCTCTTACCTCTGCTTCAAACGTATCATACTCATATTCATATTCCGAATCATCGCCATCCTGGTCTATGGCACTCCCCTCACGCTGGTCCATGGTCGTGAACGTCAACGTTGGCTTGATATCTTTTTTTCTTGTACCATTGAAAGTATCGAAATTGTTTGAGCCTCAAGTTACATTTTTAGCTGCTTCATGAGTTACGTCATCAGCATTGAAAGATTGCGATAATGGAACAGAATAAAACACATCGAGTGCTGTGACTTTGATTTTATTATATCTTACCCCGAGTGTACAGCTAATATCCAGCCTTTTTTCATATATACTCCGTACAGGATGTGATTTCTTGATATATTGCTGAATTAAGCTACCAGACTGCATGTAAGATGGCAAGTGAATACATATATATTTACCGCGATGACAGGTTACTATGGACATTCAGACTCAGCCTTCTACATCTAAAACAATGAAATATGCAAGTAGAATCAAATATACAGTCGTTGTTGTCTACAAGTAGAAAAGAAACACCATGGCCTCTACAAATCACACCGTATGGAAATAGAAGATGTGAGGGAGAAAAAACAGCAAGAAATCCAATGAGTGAAAGAAGACTCGATAAGGGGATGACAGGACACAAATGCAGGCTAGACAAAAGAGAAAAGTTATGCGGCATGGATAGGTTTTATGTACGCGGAATGGTAGAATAGATTTGATTGCTAAGGAGTGGTATATGAGAACGAGTGTATGTATGTGCGCGTGAGGGTGAATCAGGGGTAGGCTTGGTTGGAGGTCAGAAGGTAATGCTATGCAAGATGTGAAATTTTAAGAGAGCGTGTTATGCAAGTGTGCATGAAAGTAAGAAAATATTCAAAATATGTATGACGCCTTAATGCAACAAGGACTGATTCTGTTGGTGTGGGTGGTTCGTAAATGATACATCGCTTCCGGCGCTTCGAGGCCTTTCGGGGCTTACGCCACGATGTTGAACCAGCCGGTCTGTACTCTCACTGTAGCCATGCTTTGGTTTTGATGGCGGTGCATCGTGGTAAGACTCGTATCGAGAGACATAGTTTAGCTTGCCAGCTTCTTCGTCGTGTGCATATCCATGGCCTTTGGATCTGAGCAGGATTGAATCCCGGGGATCCAACGGGGTAAGGTTATCTAGATCTCTGTCGATGTTTTCTATATGAAATACATGTTAGCCATGAAAACAAGGGGTGACGGTAAAGTGTAAGGAAAAGGATATGCTTACGCTTCTCCTTATGACGCTCCTGGTGTGGGTTTTTGCCAAACAGAGCCATTACGCCATTGACAACTATAAGGATGCCTAGGACGACGGCAAGAGTTGTCTGGACTGCAACAAGTGCAACACCAGTCACGGTCTTGGTTGTCTTTGAGATGCCGAACTCGTCGACGAAGACTATGATGCATCCAATGGACAACACTCGGACAACCTGAATTGAGATGTTGATCCATTGACCAGACTTTGTCTCGAATGGTCTAGTCCACAGCAAGAGAATAAGCATGAGAGCCTCGACAATGAACTGACCAGCAGACTGTACGAGGCCATGTCCATCTCCGCCAGCAATCACACAGCCACGAACAAAAAGGTAGACGATAACAGGCACAAAGATCCACCAGTAATCCTTCTTGTAATGGTCGTAAAAGAGGCTGTACTTGCGCCAAGCTTCCTTGTCTTCATACAGAGCCGAAGCAGTTCCCTCGGTCTTCTTAAGACGCCGGGCAAGGGACCAGATGCGGAAAGTGAAGTATCCAAGAACACCTGTGAAGAGGGTAAGTGTTGTTGCTGCAAGGGCTTTCGCTGCCCATGAATCACCACGCGTGAACTGGAAGATGCAGTAGAGAGTCCAAACCCCGTAAAGAAGAAGAATCAAGTTGGTGATTGTTCGCGCAAGGAAACCCCAGTAATGTTTTCGGAAGTTTGACAAACGTTCCGGAAACGTGGAGTAGAGTGCCCAGAGTTCCAGGATGACTTTTCCCAGCAAAATGCCCGCAGCGATGGCAGCGATGACAATGGCAAAGATCAACAGGACTGTCATAAACGTATTGGCTGCTGGGATGGAGAGTTCCTCAACACTCTTCTTGATTCCGCTGACTTGATTGTTGACTTCCTCTTGAAAATCACGGGCAAGAAGCTGAACATGGCGGGATACGAGACTGATTGAGCGTTTTTCAGTGGTATTGGTGGCATTGTTTTGCATTTGGGTTGCACTTCGGAGATAACTAACACTGTTTTCGGTGAGGTTTCCGCCTGTATGGTTGCGGAAACTGTCGATGGATTCCTGCAGCTGAGTCCAGGGAATAAGGCCCAAACTGAAGCCGAAGTTCTTGGTAAAGCTTTTGTACGCAGCAGGATATTCTACGCTGAGCATCCCGTTCAACGCAAAAGCCTGAAAGACACCTATAACCTGGCCGAATGATGGACTTGCGCCAGGAGCGCCTGGGTGAGCAATAGCGCCGGCAGCACCGATACCAGAGACGGCCAGGGCAGCACCAGAAATGCCCACAGCCACATACGATACCGTGGGGGAGTTTAGGGTTTTTCCATTTCCAACAGTCGATTGAACACATGTGAGCTCGTTACCGCCGTCTTTTCCAGTTAGTTTCACAGTAGCCTGCGCTTCCAAGTCTGGCACATTAAAGGCAATGGTCGGAATCTTGTCTCCAAACTTGTCGGAGATCGTTTGCTGGCCTTTGGCGCCAAAACTACCGGCAGGTACTATATGAACCGTCAGTATCCTTGGATTATCCAACCTACTTTGGGTGATTACAGCATGAACATACCGGGACAGAGCTCCGCTACGAAAGTGTCACCCTGGCAAGGATCAAGGTGCTGTTTGAATATCTGCCCATATGCATCGATGGTAATGTCTACAGTGACATTCTGTGTTTTGCCGTTTGTCCCTAAGATGTCATATGTGATGGTTTTGGCAGCGCGGTCAAGTACAAAATCTAACCGCTGGACCTTGATATCACTGTTATCAAGACAAGTGGAAAATCCGTTGTTTTTGAGTATATCCGCGGCAAATGTGTATCCGGCGTTTAGAGATAGGAACGTCCACGCAACCGTGGTTAGGGATATGGACTTCATGCTGATGGAATGCGAGTCAAAGCTGGAGGTGTGGCCAAAAGGAGGTGTGATAGTGACCAGCCCTGGCAGGCCACTTTCGGTAGAGGGGGGGTTGGCCGAGAGTTGAAGGACGCAGATGTGAGTTCCGAGACTGATAAACGAAGGAGACGTGAGGTTGAAAAGAAACAGAACGATAGGAAGCGCTGGCTAAAGGACTGGAAGACTAGCAGGGTCAACCCGCATAGTATGATGCAAAAGACGGTCAAAAAGAGCAATGCCGATGCTATTCTAGTGCGCTGGGAACATTGAGTAGATAAACAAATAAGAAAGACGGTAAAGCGAGGCCCGTTCAGACACAAGATGGTCTTCCTCAGGGGCTAAGCGATTGGCCGACTGTCCATATAGAAAGAATGGAAAAAAAAAATATCAACAAAAAACGGTTGAATATCAAGAACTGTCAGAAGAATTCGGTATATACGCAAAAAAAGAAGGTTAACAATGAACGGAGAAGTTTGATTTTATTTTTATTTTTCCCGTAAGAAATGAATGTGATATGGCATTGTTTCAAAATGCCATTGCACTGGTCCTGGGGGTGTAGAAGGAGAAAGACGATGATTGGAGAAGTAGTGGATGGCGAGTGTAGTTTCTCTGGAGGGGAGAGTAAGCGGGCCAGTGCAAAGGAGCAGCCAGTCAAAGGCCGTCGACACTCTCCTTTCGCTGCTTGACCAAGACATTGAGGGCGTAATTATGGAGCCCCCAAGGAGACACTTTCGCGCCGGCCTTCAGTCATGCATCCGCCACGTATCCACAGAGGCACCAACACATCGCTGCTAGCGGTATGGATCAGGGTACATAATCTGTGATGCTTCCATCGGGTTGAACATGCCTTTAATTCAGGTACCATCTTGCAGGAATAACCACTCACAAAGACGTCGAGTTCGTTGGAGAAACATGTTGAAAGGTCGTTGCAGTAGTGTGGACCGGGATAAATTAAGGATGAAGGATTACATAGGAAGAAATGTAAACCCCTGTGCGATGCGGACCTCTTGGTTCCACTGTACATAGTAAGGCAAGCGGCAAGCTAAACCTCAAGCCACAGCCACAGCCAAGACGGTGCTGGCCTGGACTCTTGGTTAAAGGCTGAAAAAGGATCATCGGCGTTCATGAACAGTTGTTTCTTCTCCTTGGATTTGCCCTGTCAAAAAAAAAAAGGGTGGTGCCGTTTTCACCTCATGCCATAAGCCCAATAGCGTTTAATTTAAGGGAACCAAGCCGCCTTCTGCCGTCTACTCGAAGGGAGCAAATATAGATAAACATATGGAATCCAGTTGATGAATCGAGGACCGGAATGAGGAACGAGGGGTCCCGTTTCTAATAAAGATTCCATCGGAATATATGTACGTACACTCCGGCATCGCGGTACAGGGTTGTTGTAGTACATGGGAAAGGGGGCTGAGTCTTCTTGTCTCCCTCTTCTTTTGTTTCGTTTCCTTTCTTCTCCGTGGACCAGGAAGATTTATATCGGACAGGCTACTTCTGAGCCTTGCTCTGCTGCTCTCGCATGGCTGCCCTTGCGCTACGACTTCCACCAAGTTTCGGTCCACGTGGTGCGTCCGTCTTGGTTGTTTTGGTATTTCGGGTACGAGCTCCGCGTCTTCTTGAGTGAATGGCGTCTAGGAAATCTCTACGGAACTGATCTGCGATTCGATCATCTGCAGCCTGATCGTCTTCAATCGACAGCCTCTGGGGTTCTTCATAGACATCGACTTTAACCCAGCAGTATTAGCCATGTTACTTTTTAACTAGCGTGGGATGTGCAAAGCCAGGACTAAACGGGAAAAAAACTCACGTTTGCTTTCGCGCAGGACTTCTTCTACCAGCCGATCGCGCATTATATCTTCGCTATTGCGCCTCCTCCGACCACTGCGACTCTGCTTGCCTTTATTAAGCATGTCCTCGTCTTCGGGAGGCGCGGAATCACCCTTGGCAAGGTTCCTGGTCGCAGCCTCTGTCCTCGCAATGTTCTGGAGCTTCGAGTCTGGTCCAAGATCAATCTCGTGTAATTTGCCTAGAGTCGCCGGCTGCCTCTGGGTAAGCAGCAGCTCTGCAGACGGATGTTCCGCCGTTCGCCGTGATTCGTTATCCGTAGGATTGGTAGGATCAGTTGTCTCCGACGGTAACGTCCCATGGCGACGTTTAGCCATTTCAGCTTCTATAAACGCCATCCTTATACTGTTAACTACTGCAATGTTTATATGAAGATAAAAAAAAACAGGAAGAGTAACAGAAATGTATTGCGTACATGTGCTTGTCAACGTCCACCTTTTGGCCTGAATGTCCGACGAACCGATCTGATATACCGCTTAATCGACCGTCGGCCGCAGCCTCAGCAGCCGGCACAAGAGCTTCACTCCGCGACGAGCGAGACGTGGAGAATTCTATGCCGCCTCTGCGTGCTCTGTGCAGCTTGCGAGGTCGCACTATATCAGCGACACCTGTATCGTCTGTCTCTGCGTCATCTTGAGCCGGCGACGTTGATGTATTCGACGCGACCAGTGTTGATGCCTTCGCCTCGCCTTCGTCTTCGGCCCTCGTATCGTCAGCACGTCGGCGCATGAACTTTCTCCGCTTCGCAGGGTTGAACTGGGGTGTGTCGACGTCCATGATGCGTATATAACAGGTTCGATATCTCTTGTCTCGCTGGTTGTCACGAAAGATGGAAAAAGATCAAGTTGAATCTTTGATTCTTCGTCTTTTTCGGTCTTTTTTTGCGCCACTTTTAGTTCCCGATTATATAATCATTATATAAGCACAATGTGGCATAAGTTTGCGAACACTATCACAGTGAAGAGAAGAAGATAGAAGGACTAATTATTCCATGAAGATATATATTACTCCATGGGTCAAAGTAAGTATAGAGTAGGAGAGAAAGAAACCCCCGAAAGCTATGTACAAATTACCATTAATAACCAGCCGGAAACAGGGATATAGACAGATATCTTTTATAGCCATCGTCAGAAATATATACCCGGCTATCTCAAGGCCACCTTTGCACCGTACTTGCTCGAGCAAGTGACGGTGAGCAGCTCCGTCCAGGGATGCGGATCTCTAGACTCGATTGTTCTGAATCTCTGCATAAGCCTGACGGTAGCATACGATGCTTCCGTAAGTGCGAATTGTTCTGATACGCGGTTAGTAGATGCATAGGAGGCAGTGACAAGAAGGAGAAGCGACATACGGCCAAGACAGATTCGGGGACCACCGTTGAATGGGAGATAGCCCCATCCAGGTCTGAGGGTCTCCCACCGCTCAGGTTTGAACTCGAGAGCATCGGGCCCGTAGATGTCGGTACGACGATGCATGGAGAAGGCACTGTATACGACGGAAGTTCCCTTGGGGACGAAGACGGGGGACTGGCCGTCTGGTCCACCGCCGCAAGGGAGGATGGTATCACGGATGGCACTGCGAGCGTTACCCGGGACCACAGGGTATAGTCGGAGAACTGCTCCTGTTAGCACTGTATAGAGGAAGGGGAAAAACAAGGGAGGAAGACGGACCCTCGTTCATGGTGTAGCGGAGATACTTTAGTTCCTTGATCTCCTCAAAAGACGGGATACGGCCATCGAGCGTCTGGATCTCGGCCTGCAGCTTCTCCCAGACATCCTGGCGTTTCGACACGGTGTTCCAGAAGAGGGTGAGCAGACTGGCAGTGGTATCACGGCCGGCCAGCAGGATGTTCATGAGCTCTGATCTCAAAACAAGCGGATCCTGCGTCTCCTTGACCAGTTCGTCCAAAAAGACGTACCGTCCGGCCTCGTCCGTGCCGTCCGCTCCCTTCTCACGCGAGTTATACCGCTCGATACCCTTCTTGACATAATGGTCTGCGAAAGTATGCACGTCTCTGACGCCCTGCTTGTACTTCCCGCTCGCGAAGGCGGTGGGCAGGCCGACCCTGACGCGGCGACCGATGTAGCCGGTGCAGTAGTCAAAGGACTGGCCGAAGATGTCGCCCTTGGGAGCGGTGCTGCGGTGGCCAGATAGGGTGCTGGCAGACTCACCGAAGAGGAACTCCGTGGCTGAGTCGAGGGTCATGCCGAAGAAGAGGTTCTGGAGGTCGACCGTCGAGCCGTCCGTGGGTATCAGCTCGATGAGCTCGCGGACGTGGCGCTCGAACATGTTCAGGTCTGCGATCTGGGAGCGGGAGAAGTTGGGCCGCAGCATCGATCTGGAGTGCTCCCAGTCGCTGCCATCGTTGGTGAAGACGCCGTTGCCAAAGAGCTCACGGAAGCTTGCCTTGCGTCTGGGAGGGAGCTCGTAGTCGCCGAACTTGACCGCCAGCACCGTCTTGACGTTCTCCGGCTCGCACGTCGTTATTACTGCGATGGTCAGCACATCTTTATACGCCTGCAGATATGGGGATACTGACTCGGAAGGCCGGTGAGCCTGCTGGAAAAGGTGTTGCCGTACTTCTGGTATCGCTTCCAGATGTCCTCGAGAAAGGTGTCGTGCTTGCTGCTCTTGACGGCCTCGAAGACGAGCCCCAGGCCAAAGATGGGATCGAAGTCGGGATAGGCTGGCGGCGCCTTGCAGCCATGTTCCTTTGCAGCTCGACGGCGAGCCAGCGCTGCCTGGACGTAGAGGGCGAGGCGGTAGAGGACGAAGCCTCCCAGCAGCACCCAGCCCAGCGACAGCAGGTTACCTTTACCAGCGAGCATTTCTCTTGCTTTCTCGATTCCAAGTCCAGAATATATAGTCTTGATGATGGACTGGCACACTGTCTCGATCTACACATATATATATATATATTCTACATCCACTCCATGTATCCACCGCGGACACTCCGAGCAAGCCACAAATGCTCGGTTGTCGGCTGAACCACATGAAACCAACACGGAGCAACTCGACTTGCCGTCCGGGACGTCGTCACCGATGCACAAAACTGCTGGCATTGCATTATCTCAGGCTCTGCGTATCCTTCAGGCTTGCTTGCTTGCTGGGTTTTCCCCTGTTGGACGTGGAGCACTCAGCTGCTTATGTAAGGAGGGTAGGTAACATGTACCGTCACATGACTACGATTTAACCTTAGTATTAATAAGCGGACGACTAGGTTGATGTATTATATAATAACAGCATGAGTAATAAGTCATGTGACGTTTTAGCCAATAATATTGTAGAAAACTAAAGCTCGCTTACTTCTGGACCCACTTTACAAGATATATAAATCTCCAAGCTTCTTTTCTTTTTCCACTTTTTCTCCACATAGTACATGTTTTTAACTACCCCCCCTGTTCTTTAATAATTTGCCAAGTGGACCTCGATAATTAGGATCGCCCCGTGAAAGCCAGCATGTCTCGCGTTGAGTTTACAGACGAGGAAAAGACATCACTCAAGGTAGCACGGAAAGCTCTGAAGGAAGCACGCGCTGGGCGCAGGGAGGAAGTGGACGGCTCCGACAGATACTGGGACTTTGCCCAGCTGCAGCTAGATCAGGAAGAGGCCATCGCGAAGACAACATGGCACGCGAGAGAGAGAAGTGCCACAGACCCATCAGATCCGGAATTCCAGGAGGCCAAGTCCGTATACCTGTACCAGCAGGATCGCAGAGCACTCCGTCGCAGGTCACTCAGGGAGAAGCAACAGACATTCCAGAAAAAAAATACAATCCTTGAACTATCTTCAAAACCAAGCTCTGTCGCTACTATTTGCGCCGCATACGTTGAGCTGCTGATGGATGTCAAGACGAGAACAAGCCGTCAGGATCAATCGTCGTTCTCATCACAGGTCAAAAAAGCATATGGAGGCACGACGGGAACGAAGAAGGATCCACATAACTGGTGTGTGCTCGATGGAAAGATGTATCATGCAAGCATGTTCAGAGCGGCCCACATATTTCCGCTGTCGCTGGGCCAAAGGTCAATGGCGTACGTCTTCGGTCCAGACGCCAAGGGTGAGATAAACTGCCCTAGAAACGGCCTGCTGCTCCCTACCGAGCTCGAGAGAACGTTTGACGACCACCGGGTTGTCATCGTCCCAGCGGAGTCGCACCCAGACGGCCCGCGAGAGTGGAAGTTCCTCGTCCTGGACAGGTCAGGCCTCTGGAATTCAACCGTGCATGGACCCCACAAATACTCCGACATCCACCAGAAAAGGCTCATCTTCCCAAACAATTTTCGGCCGCGCGCGAGGTATCTGTACTTCCACTACCTCTGCTCAATGATATACCTTTTCCGTCAAGACAAGAGGACCGGCGTGGTTCGAAGCGACCTCCCAGACTCGGAGATGCCAGAGCTTACTGGAGCCTGGGGCAGCCACGGCAGCTACCTGCGTGACTGTCTGATCTCTGGCTTCATTGACGAGCTAGGGCATGAACTTCCAGAGGGTCTGAAAGAGGACATGCGGTCGAACTCGTTTAGCAGCCAATCAGAAAACGAACTGGAAGAAGTTGTCAGCTCACTAGACGACCTGGATCTCGACAGTGACGAAGATGAGAGCGATGAAGAGGAGTATCTGCCATTTGAGGCTAGCTCTGATTCTGAGGCGGAGGATGAGGGTGTGGAATGAAGTGGTTAGGACTTGTAAGATTGTGCTTGAGATCAGAAAGTTGTGATTTGTGTCTATTGAAAAGTAGGATGCTCAATTATAGATTCGACACATCTTCATCTTCCTCTTCAGCGGCCTCCAAGTGGTCTACCATATCACAACTACTTCCAACACCAATAACCACTATATGTTGGTATTCTTCAAGAGCATCAAGGAGACTTCTCGCCGCTGCTTGGTGAATATAATAGCATCAGGTTGACCCTGATTTCCTGTGATTTGCCTGAAGACTTTGAAGCATCTGTGGAGCATATATCTCTGGCTGCAGCACCATCAACAGCAATAACAATAGCGGCAGCTTGACAGACTGGAGCATACCGGTATAAGGAGGGCCAAAATCCAACGGAGTACGTCTTCGGCCCAGATGCAAAGGGTGAAACCAATGACCTTCGAGACAGGGACTCGCCGTTTCGATATCAGACCAACAAGCTGGGCCGTGAACTAGGACATTTAAAGAGAACATGCAGTCAAGCTCGTTACAGCGATGGAGGTATCAAATTAGACTACTGGCAGAACCTTTGAACCGGTTCGCTTGGAAGATAAAACATAGAAGATTAATAAATATAGCATCCACCATGCGTCCTCATTGGATGTGACTATTTTTAAAATCATGGCATATCCCCGTATCCGCGTCCGGCCCGGAGGATGGCTTTACTATTTGAGTAGATGATGAGTAGGGAAAACGCCCGCCCAGCCGACAGACAAGATAACTCCGCTCGTTTGAGAACTCCAGCGCCCAAGACATAAGGCCAAAGACAAGACAGAAGACAAGACAGAAGACAAGACAGAAGACAAGACAGAAGACAAGACAGGCTATGGATCGTGAACTTGGGGATAGAAAAGAGACATGACGCTATATGCTTGCTGCGGGTACGGCGACGGCGACGGCGACGGCGGCACCGAAGATGCCGCTCTCCGGTGCTGGGTCAAGGGATATTACGGGGACTGATGGCGAGTGCGTGTCTGAGCCCGAGTCTGCGGTGTCTGCCTGGCCGCCGACGGCCAGGGTGAGGCTGTTCAGGTATGTCTGGCATGTGCTTCTGAAGTTGGGATACTTGTTGATGACGGTGCCGTCGCAGGCGATGGTGACCGGCAGGCTGGCGAGCTCAGTCTCTGCGGCCGCCGGCTTGGCGAGGCCGTCCGAGTCCGGCGTGGACGGCAGGACGGGGGACTCGCTCTCGTTGCGCAGGCGCCAGAGGCTGTAGATGGCGGTGGCCAGGTATGCGGCGCCCCGTCTGGAGACGCACTTGCAGGTCCTCTGCAGGAAGAGCAGGTCGGCCGTGGCGGGCGGGACGACGAACTCGTGGCTGCCCTGGAGCATCGCGGCCGAGCGGTCGAGGGCGGGCGAGCTGTCGGCCTCGATGCAGGCCACGATCGCGGTGTCGAGGGAGTAGGGCGAGCGCATGGAGGGCGGCAGCTCGCCGCCAAACAGGCCCGCCGTCTGCACCGCCTCGACGATGATCAGCCGCACGATCTCGCCGATGTAGCGGCCCGTGACGAGATACTCGAGCGGCTGGTAGTCGGGCTTGATGTGGCTGCGGTTCAGGTCGTCGTCCCAGCGGGTCATGGGCAGCACGCCGCCGCCAAACATGCTCATCTCGGTGTTGATGATGACATGGCTGGCCCGCGCGAACCATTCGGCGGGCCTGCGGCCGAACTTCTCGAGCCCGATGGCGCGGGTGGGATAGTGGATGGCGACGTTGGTGCCCGTGCCGAGGATGAGGGACATGCGGGTCGACGGGTCGACGTAGGCGCGGGACAGCAGGGTGGCAGAGCTGTCGTTGACGATGGCCTCGATGCGGACGTTCAGGCGCCGTTCCCGACACGCGTCCATGATGAGCCCGCCGAGGTCTTCGCCCACCGTCCCGTTGGAGCAGAGGAAGCCTTTGCCCATGCTGAGCACCAGCCCGCTGCGGACGGAGGTCTGGTCGATCGGGAACGACCACGACAGCCCCATGGGCAGGGGGGCGGCAGCGTCCTGGCCGAACCCTTCGCCGCCCGCACGCAGCATCTCGTCCACCTTGAGCGCGATCCACGCGAAGAACGCCCTCCCCTCCAGCAGCTTGACGGACTCGTCGATGACGGACGACGCCATGCGTACGATCTTCATCCCTCCGTCGTTGTTGTTGTTGTCGTCGTCGTCGTCGTCGTCGCCGCCGCCGCCGCACAGCTCGACCAGGGCGACCCTGAAGGTCGAGCCGCCCACGTCGAGGGCCAGAAAGGTGCCCGTCTCCGTGCCCGTGGGCAGGGTGTGGTTGAACGACGGCAGCATGCAGACGGGCGACGACTTCGCGCACCGGTCCAGCTGCAGCCGGATCGCAGCGGCCATCGAGGCCAGCCTCTGCGTCGTCAGATGGGCCGTGAACTCGCGCTCGATCTCGACGGCAAACTCATCCAGCGAGCGTCTGCTCCGCCGTCTCTTGAGCGAGCCCTGTTTCTCGCACGCCTGCGCCGGCCGGGTCCGCAGCCTGAGCAGACGCTGCAGGACGGAGATGAAGCTGGCGAAGAGCTCTCGCAGCCGCAGGGCAACCTGTTCCAGTGTCTTTCCCATGTCGTAGAATGCCAATTCGGTCTCCGTAGTATCGTTGGTATGTCGGCCGTCTCGACAGTTATATAGCCAGTCTCGTAGTCCAAGGAAGCAAAGGGAGGAACGCTGTAACTATAGTCAACAGACAGCAGTGAGGCCGGGATAAATACCATACGGTGCTGTGCTGGCCGGGCGTTGCAGTCGACCGCTCTCCACCTCCCATTAACCATGCGGACGTCGAGCGAAAAGGAGAGTGTCGAGAGGAAGAAGAAAAGTGTTCGGTGGATTTGCTGCTACTGTGTGTGTTGACGGTGGCCGCGCAGGGTGACATCGGGTGGATGTAGGATGTCGAGACAGCAAAGAGACGCATGCAACATTACATAGGGTCTTACGTATAAGAGTTACATGGCTGCGGGTTAAAATGGCAGATGGAGATGAGATGTAACATGGGCAGGCATCCAAGCATTTGTATGGCGATACACCGGATTTAGAGTATATAAGAGTGATACAGCATATACACAAAGCCAGCGATGAAGCAGTAGACGTAGTTCGTATGTACAGAGGAAACAAGACGATGACTCCGAAAGGACGCTGGCCGCAGACGATTCATTAGACGGCCACACAATAACAGACGAGGTCAACTGGCCCCGGCAAAGTAGCGCTTGCTCCGGTTTTTGGCCGCCATGTCGTCGACGTAGCCGGTGTGGTGGACGACGTGCGGACGGTAGACGGCGTCGACGGGGGCCTGCCACTCGTCCAGCGCGAGCGGGAAGTACTCGTACAGCGCCTCGTCTCCCGCGCCTATGATGGCCGGAACCAGGGGGTCCGCTTCGGCGTGGTGGAGCGGTGCAGGGCGCTTGCGTGCCCTGGACGGGTCGGGCTCGTCGTGGGCTGCCTCCGAGAGGGACGCCGGCGGAGGGACGTCTATCGAACGGGGGGACCCGGCGCTGCCCTCCTCGTCGACGAACGAGAGGGCGATGGGCGCCACGCTCGAGCTGAGACGGCGTCTCTTGAACGTAGACCGGTCCTGGTTGGCGTTGTATGTAGACCTGTCCTGGTTGGCGTTGTACGTGGACCGGTCCTGGTTATTGCTGTATGTAGGCCGGTCCTGGTTATTGCTGTACGTAGACCGGTCCTGGTTATTGCTGTATGTAGACCGTTCCCGGTCGGACTCGACCTTCAGCTTGCCCGTCTTCGAGGCGCCGGCGTTGCTCCTCGCCAGCGCGGCGGCCGCCTGGGTGTTCTTCCGCGAGGCGGCCGCGCTCCCGCTCAGCGGCAGGTCCTTTCGCGACTGGAAGTTCCTCGGGCTCCGGCCGCGGACGATGATGGGGCCCGACTGCGTCTCGCAGATGGATATCTTCGCGCCCGTCGACAGCGTAGCCATGATCTTCAGCCGGAGCACAAAGTGCTGCTGCAGCTCCTTGCGCCGCCCGTTGTTCGCGGTCGCTATCCGGAACTGCAGCCTCTTCCACGCGATCGAGAACGTAGCGTAGTCCGAATCCGTGTCCTGGCCCGTCATCGTATCCAGCCCGATGGCAGGCGGCTCCTTTTCCGTCTTGTCCTCTGGCTGCTGCTGCTGCTGCTGGCCCTGGGCCGCGTTGGCCGCGGGCGTCTTCCACGGCACCGAGATGATCTTGACCGGGTTCCCTTCCACGGACTCGGTGGCAGAGACGGTCAGCTCCTGCGCCAGGATCGGTATGCGGTCCCCTTGCTCGGTCATGATGTACCGCAGCGTCCGCGGCAGGGTGATCGAGCCCGTGATCTGGAACAGGTTCCGTCTGTAGCAGGTCAGCTCCGCGACCGGAGGAGGGCCGCTGTGCTGCTGGTGCTGGTGCTGGTGCTGGTGCTGGTGCTGGTGCTGGTGCTGGCTGAGGGGGGTGCCGCCGCCCGTCGTCGCGCCGGGCTCTCCCGTCGGCGAGGTCGTCCAGGGCGACTCTGCCAGGAAGAACATGCCGTGCAGCTGCGCAGTCATCGAGAGCGAGGTCCGTCGTAGCGAGTAGTCGAGCAGAGTAAAGTTGTATACCGGCATCGAGAAGGAGAGCAGCTTGTGGCCATGGTCTATCGAGGCGTCCTCCTGCTGCTGCTGCTGCTGCTGCTGCAGCGGATCAGGCGCCACGGCCTCGAAGGCCCCGTGGCCGGCGGGAATCATGTCGGCCATCTCTGGAAACGGCTCTTCGAACTGGTTGCTCGAGAACCGTCGCATCGACATCGGTTGCGTGTAGCTCATCTCGTCCGCGCTGCTCAGGTTAGCAACCGCTCGCACGTATAACGCCACACATAATATACCCACAACCACGCCGTCAACGGAGAAACACAAACCTGGGGAAGCCGTCAGGATCATAAGGCGAGGGCTGCGGCAGCTCCATGGACGCCATCTGGTGGTTCAAGAAGTCGCCGTGGGCGATGTTGGGCAGAGGCGAGCCCATGTACGGCATCGCCATCGCATCGTAGCCGTCCATGTCGGGGTCTCAGCAGCGAGGCAGCGTAGGCAGCGAGGCAGCGCACTCCTCTATGGAGGTCGAGAGGGGCAGTCTTTGGTATTGTCTCGTCTTCTCGTCTTCTCGTCCCGTCTTCTCGTCGTCCCGTCTTCTGGTCTTCTGGTCTTCTGTGGTGGCGGCTGAAGATGCGAACCTCGACAGGGAAGACGATGATATGCTGCAGTTATAAGCCAGGATAAGCGAGTTCGCTCTTCTCTGTCGGTCTTCTCTTGTCTCTTCGAGTAATATAAGTTATCGCTTTACTCAATATCTAAAGTAAGCCTAAAAAGATCTTCCGCCCTAAAAATACTTGGCCAGTTAAAGGCTTGACCAGAACCTCGCCTTCAAACATGGACGTACATACGGACGTACATACAGACAGACAGACAGACATACATACATACAGACAGACATACATACAGACAGACAGACATACATACGTACAGACATACATACATACAGACAGACAGACAGACAGACAGACAGACAGACATACATACAGACAGACAGACATGGTGTATATAGCGTAGATGTATAAATTCTAGAAGCACTTAGCACGCCAACTATAGCCAGGGGCGCCGGTGGAATTCCCCGCTTGCATCTAACTAGAACAAGCAGGTCGCTGTAAGCCTTCGTCTGGCACTATGTTATACATCTGCGGTGGAGCTCGCCGTCTTTTTCCCTATCTATGATGTATTGTCCTTTTGCTGGCGGGCGTCTAAGCGATACCTGGAGAAAGAAGGGAGAAACGCCGCCAACTCCATGTAATGCTACATAACAGAAGATAGAACGGAAGAGAGAGGGAGAGAAGAAAAGAGAAGAGAGAGAAGAGAGGGAGAGAAGAAAAGAGAAGAGAGAGGAGGAGAGAGGAAGAGAGAAGAGAGGAAGAGACTACGAGCGTAGCCAGGCGGCGGCATCACAGGTCAACTCCTCGAAGCTGTGCAGCACAGAAAAGCCCATCGTCGTCAGGCTGTCGAAATTGCCGTCGCCATCCACCTAGAAGAACCGGTCAGTACGCTGTAATCGAGGTATGCTTCGACCCAAGATAGCCTCGGGTCGTTTTCGTAATTTGGTGCATCTTGATTCGACGGACAAGGATGTGCAGAGGGCCTGAACGGACGGCATGGAGAAAGGGGACGAGAAGGACAAGGCAGATATGGGGAGGTGGAGGCCAGAGGAAGCCATAGAGAAGAGATGGAGAAGAGACGGAGAAGCGATAGAAAAGAGATGGAGAAAGACTCACGCAGTCGAGGATGACGGTGTCTCCGCCCTGCTTGCGGATCTCCTTGATGCCCAGCACGATCAGGCCCTGGACGAGCGTTGCGTATTCTCCGACCGAAGGAGATATCACGGGCGACGAGATGCCTCCGGCTCGCACGCGAGCGTCCTTGACGGCTGGAGCCACCCGCGCCAGCGACGAGAGGGCGTTGTACACCACCACGCTGCCCACCATCGCCCCGTCGGCCTGTCGTTTCGCCCGTATGATGCCGCAGTGCGGTCGTCCGGCCAGCGCTGTCTTGTACGTCTCCGCGACCCCCTGGCGCGAGCTCGTCTTGACGTGGTCCACGATCGCCTCCCCGTACTCCCAGCCAAACACCAGGTCGTACTCCACCTCCGTCGAGCTGCTGAGCGACCGCTTCAGGCCCTCCGGCTGCGTCCAGCTCTGCACGTCGTGCAGCACCAGCGAGCACATCGGCCGCGAGAGCGCCAGCTCCCACCCCAGGCTCGCAAACCAGCGCCGGAGCTTTCTCCGCTCGACCGGGTCCGCCCTGGGGATGCCAAGGTATATCCCGGGCAGTCGAGACCCCAGCTGCAGGTGCTTTACCCCTGGCCGCTGTGTCAGCGTCTGGATCGCGCGGGCGTGGAGGGAGCTGCCGATGCCCAGCTTGCGTCGTGCCGGGTCGACCAGAATCGCCCCAATGACCCCCGTCCCCGTCGACTGGAAGAAGTACGTCGTGCAGAAGCCGTTGATCGCGTGCGTGCTGCTGTTCCTCACCACCAGATGGCACTCCGTCACATCCGCGTTCCTCAGCAGGAACGTGTCCGCCGTCACGCCGGCCAGCTCGCCGCGGTTGGGCCCGTCGCCGTCTCGTATCGACGCCAGCAGCGCGTCCAGGGCGGCAGAGTCTCGCTCCTCGTTCCACGTCTCCACCAGCCAGTGCTGGTGTGGCTGGCTTGTCCGCCGCACGCTCTTGCCCAGCGTCCCTGGCATCCGTCCGGTCGCCGCCAGCTCGCCGTAGAGCACCTTGACCAGCGTCTGCAGCGCCGTCTCTGTAAAATCGTAGGTGCACACGTACGTCCCGATCGACTGGTCCGTCGCAAAGTCGTACGGTGAGCTCACCGCGACCACCAGCACGGGCTTCGGACGCTGGTAGCCGCCGTTCCTCGAGTTCTGCGAGCTGCAGAGGAGCGAGACGTGCTTGGTGAAGCCGTGCTGGTACAGGTTCCTGTTCGAGTCCGCCGTCACGACGATCACGGCGCTGGCTCGGGTGATCAGGTTCTCGTGCATCGGTCGAAGGCCGCTCGCGCTGTAGGACGTGTGCAGAACCCGTCCGTTCCTCCGGCGGGCTAACGAGCGGCCCAGATCGCGGAACACGCCCTCTCCGCTCTTGATGGTGGCCGGACTCGAGCCTCGCTCCCAGTTCGAAGAGGCATCGATCGAGTGCGTCGACTCCCGGCTGCGTTCGCCACAGGCCGTCGTCTGGGACGCTGCTGCTGAGGCCGGCAGCGGTTTGACCAGCGGAGTGAGCAGCAGCAACTCCTCGTCGGGCTCGAGTAGGCTGGAGAGCGGAAGCAGGTTGGCCCTGTCTCTGACCACGGTGATTGACTTGTGGTAGGCCTGCGTCGACAGGCTGGTGTGGGAAGGCTGCAGCTTCGCCAGGAGACTGAGGCCGGGCGGGTTCAGGGCGTGCTCCCAGCTGGTCCGCCTGGCCTTCATGGCAGACACTCTCGCCAGAGACTGCCGTATCCTCTCCTTGCTTATCATTCCGTTCTCGACCCCCAGCCTCAGCCCGTTGATGGCCTCCTGCTGCACCGTAAACGACCTGCACAGCAAAATCAGGTCGCATCCGGCCTTGAGGGCCATCACCGTCCCGCCCCCAACGCCGATATTGCTGCTCAGCGCCTCCATCTCCAGACAGTCGGATACGACCACCCCCTGAAAGCCAAGGTCGGAACGAAGCAAGTCTTCAATCACCTCTTCGGACAGACAGGCATGCATGACGTTCATCCCACGAGACATCATCGAACACCCGCCCACAATCATCGAGTCCAGCCCTTGAGTGATTGCGCTGCGGAAGGGGACGAGAGCGCTGAGCCGGAGCTGCTCGAGCGTATCCGTAATGACCGGCACGTCTGACTGCGAGGCCAGCAGGTCCAGGTTCCCGTACGAAGGGAAGTGTTTGCCGCAAGTGGCCACCCCCCCGTCCTGATACCCCTTCATAAACTCGACGCCGTATGCTGCCACTTCCTGCGGATCGTCTCCAATACTGCGGACACCCAATGGCTGGTTTCTTCCGTTCGTCAGGACATCCAGCACCGGCCCCAGGATCCAGTTTACTCCTACAGCACGGAGCTCCTGCGCCGTCGCCTTTGCTACCTCCCTGGCCAGCTTCTTCGATCCCGTGGCCGCGACCCCCATGGCGCTGGGGAATTGACGAATGTAGACATCATCGAAGAGGCTGTTGACGCCTCCGTTCTCCTGGTCAAGCCCAATTAGCAGAGGTGACTGATGGCCGGCCTGCCGAGCGATAGTCTGGAGCTCAAGGACGAGCTTAGCGGTGTCATCTGCGGCTATCCGGAAGTTAGTTTTCTGGCCATCTTTTCACCGCAAAGTGCTTTGTGACCATGTGCTGAGAAAGATGAGCTACAGGACGTGCACGAAAAAGAAGAGAGGGGGAAAAACGGTGGAATCAAGGGATGATTGTACACTTCAAGTTCTTGGCTGTCAATAGAATGGCTCCGAGATGGTAGTCTTCGATAAGAGAGCGTATCTGGGGGTCAACGGTGGTACCATCGAACCCCATGACAAAAAGCTGTCCCATTTGCCTGTATCCAATGTCATGCATGACGATGTCTCAGTCAGCCCTCTGTCTACCGTATATTCAACTGGTGCGAGCAGGACAGGTGCAGAAAGGGAGGGGTCCCATCAAGCTATAGTTGAACCAGGCTATAGCACTGTAACAGCTGGCCATGCCACCCGCACGGCACATGCATGGCCAAACAAAACACAAGCATAAAGTTGCTCAGTCGCAAGGGTATAGACGAACCTGTTGAGGTTTGCATCCCACTCGGGGGACATCTCTGCGCTGGCCGCCATGGCAGGCCGGGCATGCCGTGCCTCTCTCCCCCCCACGCCACCGGCCACCCGCAATCCAGTATCACAGCAGCAGAGGTAGCTTTCGTGGCGCGCGTGCGTATCTGTGCTATGCCGGTAATGTTATGTACGCGCCTTTCGAACCGGAGGGGCCGCCCTTCGGGCGACGCTTGCGATCGATCGATCGGTATAGCTGAGAAGTGGATAAGCCGGGAGAGATGGTGGGTGGTGTCTCTGCGCCCAACGCAACCTTCAAGAACGACCTGTCACCGGGAGGGGCCTTGTCGCCGTCACAGTCGCAGTGCAGGTCCCGAGAACCACAGCGTGTCCAACATGCAAGGTCTGGCTTGTCGTCGCGTGCGCTTCAGCTCTTGCAAAACGAGGCTTTTGCGCGCAAGAAGAGGAAAAACAACCTTGAGGATCCAAGGATGAAAGCTCGAAAAAGAAGGTTGCTTATGTAAGAAGATGCTGATTAAGGCGTCTTACTTAAGAGACTTACATAAGACCCTTACATAAGACGCTCTTACTAACACGCAGCGTCTCCTTCTCAACACTTCGTATCTTATATCTTTATACTCATCAAGTCACTTCACACTCCATGTTTGTTGCTGTGCTTTACTTTTACATGAAATGCGACGTTGCAGTGTAAGATGTGTATTTACATTACACCGTAATTATGCATACCACCTCGATACGTCTGTTACTAGCTGTAACTTACGGTATACTTTATCAACTTTGGACTTTTTGATATGAAGAAGATGAGAAGGAGAACGAAGACGATGACGATGATGCAGAAGAAGGACGATGCATGGCCACGGCGAGCGGCCCGGAGAGGCACAGGACAGCAACCTTGATCCCTCACCTATAGAGAGAGAGGGATAGAGATGGATGAGCGTGAGGAACTATTGAGTTCTATGATGTACATGTGTACGGAGTAGCATTATGCTTCCTGGATGATGTTACCCTCGTTGTAGGTTACAGTGCAAAGCAAACCGGAGGATAGTGTGGAAGAGCCGAAGGCGTTGGCCGGAAAGGCAGAGAGGATGCCCGGTTATATGAAGAAGCGCTGCTGGCTGCTTTCATCTCTTCATCCTCTCATCCCAGGCTTCATCTACCAACCACCAGAGAAGAGCTGTTGACGGTCTTCTACTTCTTTGAAAAACAGCCAGACAACCAGACCAACATGTAAGTGCGGACACCGGTGGCCCGATGACGATGATAACATGCTGACGGCAGAGCAGGAGAGTGATCATCAGGAAGAACCCCCAGGCTGTGTCTGAATATATTGCAGACTACATCATCAGTACGCCTTTCCTGTTTATTTCAGCTTTGCTCCCGTCAAGCCATGATCTGACGACTAGCCAGGCCGAATCAATGCGTTCTCTCCTTCGGCTGCCAGACCGTTTGTTCTTGGTCTGCCCACCGGAAGCAGCCCTGAGATTGTATACCGGATCCTGGTCCAGCGGTACAAGGCCGGTGAAATATCCTTCAAGCATGTCGTCACCTTCAACATGGTAAGGTCACCATTCTACACTTATAGAAACCCATATGCTAAGTGACGGTGGACAGGATGAATACGTCGGGCTCCCCCGGGACCACCCGCAGAGCTACCACAGCTTCATGTACAAAAATCTCTTTGCCCACGTCGACATACCACCCCGAAACATCAACATCCTAGACGGCAACGCCCCAGACCTGGCCAAGGAATGTAAGAATTTCGAGGCAAAGATCGCCAAAGCAGGCGGCATAGACCTGTTCCTCGGCGGCGTCGGTCCAGACGGCCACATCGCCTTCAACGAGCCCGGCTCCAGCCTCAGCTCTCGCACTCGAGTCAAGACGCTGGCCTACGACACCATTCTCGCCAACTCTCGCTTCTTCGACAATGACCTGTCCCAGGTGCCTCGTACCGCACTCACAGTCGGCATCAAGACCATCATGGACGCCCGCGAGGTCGTCATCGTCGTCACGGGCGTGCACAAGGCCGTGGCCCTGCAAAAGGGTATCGAGGGAGGCATCAACCACATGTGGACTCTCTCCGCCCTCCAGCTTCACCAGCATCCTCTCATAGTCGCGGACGAGGACGCAACGCTTGAACTAAAAGTCAAGACCGTAAAGGTATTTCCCTACAACCTCTCAACTATTTATATACGCTGACAGGATAATAGTACTTCGAAAGCATCGAGCTCTCGGGCACCGACGCACGCACTCAGGGACCTCCACTCGTCCATCCGACGAAGCCATACGTGCCCGTCCCCCCGCCATCAGACCTCAGCACTCCGGTGGGCTCGAAGCGCGGTCTTAAAATCGACACTGCCTTCCAGACCGGAGACGGTGACCCCGACGAGCTCACGCCAGACAGCATGTCCTCGCGCATCGTCGACTCTGCCATCGCAGGCCTAGACGAGACCATGACCCGAGGCGGTGACCTGATTTTCGACAGGATGGGGTCTAGAATTCCCACCCAGGGATGAACATTTTTAGTAACAGGAAGTGAAGTATGGGCCGGTCTCTCTCTTATCTCCACATAGCATTGTAGTATTTATGGCATATAAAGTATTCTGTCCGTCCATCCATCGTTTCGTCATGTTCATGGCCTTTATGTTTTGTGATGTTTATGTGTATATATCGTGTTAGCGCTTGGTTTACTTGCATTTTGGCGTTGGAAAGGGAAAAGAAAAAAGGAGCATCGGAAGGAGTTTCTGTATCATAGTTAGCTACTTTGTATATACACGAACGACTATCACATGCGGTGAAGTAGCTCTTTATAAGTCTCGTCCGAGTCAAGTGTAAAGCTACAACTTGGTAAAGCTGGTCGCTACCACACCGCTCATGTCGACCAGGGTGCTCTTCGTCCTGACCCAAGCCTCGATCCCTCGCCGGCCGTTCTCAACGCCAACGCCGCTCTGCTTCCATCCGCCAACGCTCATCTCTGCCGGCGACTCTCCCCACGAGTTGATCCAGGTGATCCCGGCATCGAGCTGGTCGATGACTCGATGGGCAAGGTTGATGTTCTGCGTAAAGACACCAGCCGCTAGGCCGAGGGGAGTCTCGTTGGCCCGTCTGACCACCTCGTCGACGGTCTCGTAGTACAGAATCGACATTACCGGCCCGAAGATCTCTTCCTGCACTATCTTCATCTCGTCCCTACAGTCGGTAAAGATGGTGGGTGTGATCCAGTATCCCTTGTCGAAGGAGGTAGAGGAAATAGACCGCGGCTTCTCGAGGCCGCCGTACAGCAGCTTGGCTTTATCCTGTTCGATTCCATGTCTGATGTAGTCTGTCACCTTTTTGTAATGGACCGCAGACACGAGCGGGCCGAAGTTGGTCGTTGGATCCATCACGTCGCCGGCCCGAATGTACTGCATCTTCTTCACCAGCAGGCTTTCGAAATCGGACTTCATGCTCGACGGAACGAAGACTCGAGTCCCGTTGGTGCAGACCTGGCCGGTGCTGAAGAAGTTGGCCAGGATGGCGCCGTCGACGGCGCCGTCTAGTTCTGCATCTGGCAGGACAATAAAGGGACTCTTGCCTCCCAGCTCCATGGTCACGTATTTCATGTTTCCGGCCGCAGAGCCAGCGACCTTCTTACCGGTTGCGACCTGGCCGGTGAACGAGACCTTTGCGATCGCCGGGTGTGCGGTGAGATAGGCGCCTACGTCTCCGGCGCCATGAACGACATTGAACACGCCGGCCGGGAGACCAGCTCTGGTGTACAGGTCTGCCAGAATCTCGCCGTGCAGCGGAGTGAACTCGCTAGGCTTGTACACCATCGTGTTGCCAGCCGCCAGACACGGAGCTGACTTCCACAGCGCACTACCAACCTATTAGTAGCTATAGTAACAACACCAAGAACAAAAGAGACGTACATCTGGATGGGATAGTTCCAGGCACCGATGCCAGCACACACTCCCAACGGAGCTTTCTTCGTGTAGACCCAGGCATCGTCTCGTAGCTGCACCGTCTCGCCGTTGAGTCCGCCACCGGCGACCATGCCGGCAAAGTACTCCAGCACGTCTGCTCCCGTAGTGACATCGACCGTACTCGTCTCTGAGAAAGGCTTGCCCGTGTCTGCCGTCTCGACTCTGGCAATCTCGTCGTTCCTCTCTCGCAGCAGCTGAACCGCCTTCAACAGGATGCGCGCGCGGGCGACAGGAGGCGTCTTCGACCATGATGGAAACGCCGTCTGCGCTGCCTTGACGGCCTGGTCGACATCTTCGTTCGAGGCGACGCTCACCTCTGCCAGCACTTCTTCAGTCGCTGGGTTGACCGTCTCGAAGGTCTTGTTCGAGGTGCTGGCCTGCGGTTGGCCGCCATAGTAAAGACGCTGCAGCGACATCTTCATCTTCGTCCAACTACAACACTTACAACGTCGACCGGACAAGCAATTATCACAACGAAAACAGCTTCAAAAAGCCCCTCAGAGTGATGTCACTTTGCATGCGACCAGCTTCCTTTTCGTCTTGGCCAGGAAGAAGAAAAGAAGCAAAAAAAAAGAGGCCCATCTCCGAAGGTCGTGTTAGCTGTGGTCAGCCCATCGATGGGTACGGGCAGATCTAGCGATTCTTACATCCAAATGGATCAAGTGGAGGAAGAATAAAAGTTTGAAAGATGAAAAAGGGAAAAAAAAAAGGGAAAAAGGGACCTTGACGGAGTCCGCCGTTGGTACACAAGTGGAATGATATATAGGGATGGTTGTTGTGCGGTCAATATCTATCAACCCCTGTGCTGGATGCTGTCAACCCCCCAGCGTCTCTCTGGACGATTGCTGGCCATACGAAGCGCCGTTTGATCCAGCTCGACGCCATGATTTGCGCACTGAAAGCCCGCCTGGCGCAGCTCTCCCACATAGTAAGCTAGCTGATACGCGGAAGCATGTACAGTTACTCCGGTGGCCAGGATTATATCTCCAACTCGCCGCCTGTGGGGGATGCAAGATGGCCGTGATTGGTGCCGGCGGGACAGGTCGATGGAGCAAAGATGAAAGTCATCCAGAGTTCGCTTCTCGGCAAACTGTTTTTCTCTCGGGTTCATCCTTTGATGTGGATGGCGGGATAGCTATATATAGGGAGGGACCTCCCCTTGCTCCAACATCAAGTTTTGATAACTGTCGCAAAGGGCTTTGCTCGCGCTCATTGGGATACTCGCTCGAATTTCACGGATATACAACGTTCTCTCGTCTATTCAATCTTTTGCCTAGACGCTACAATGGCCAGTCCAGTCACTCAAATTGCGCCAGGAGATGTCGACAGCTACGACTATGTCATTGTGGGCGGTGGTACCGCTGGCTGTGTGATCGCTAGCAGGCTGGCAGAGTATCTGCCTAAAAAGAAGATCCTGCTGATCGAGGCTGGGCCTAGCGACTACATGGATGACCGGGTTTTGAAGCTGAAGGACTGGCTGAGCTTGCTCGGCGGTGAATTCGACTATGACTACGGCACCACCGAACAGCCCATGGGTTCGTTGATTCCCCCAAGATTAACCGTTCAAGAAGACAGAAGCTGATGCAGCGGTGTGTATAGGAAACAGCCATATTCGCCATTCCCGTGCAAAGGTGCTTGGAGGCTGCTCGAGCCACAACACCTTGATATCTTTCCGTCCATTTGAGTATGACTGCAAAGTATGGGAGAGTAAAGGCTGCAAAGGCTGGAACTTCGACACTTTCACTCGAGTGATCGATAACCTCCGTAACACCGTGCAACCCATCCACGCCAGGCACCGCAACCAGCTCTGCAAGGATTGGGTGCAGGCCTGCTCAACCTCTCTCGATGTCCCCATCATCCCCGACTTTAACAAAGTCATCCGTTCAGAGGGCAAAATGACCAAGGGAACCGGCTTCTTCTCGGTCTCTTACAACCCAGATGATGGACGACGAAGCAGCGCAAGTGTTGCCTACATCCACCCCGTCTTCAGCGGAGCGGAGAAGAAGCCCAATCTCACCGTCTTGACCCACGCCTGGGTGTCAAAGGTCAATGTCTCTGGGGATACAGTCACCGGCGTGAACGTCACACTTCAGTCAGGCACCAAATTGACCCTCCGCCCCAGACGGGAGACCATCCTCTGCGCTGGCGCAGTCGACACCCCCCGTCTCCTCCTGCTCTCTGGCCTTGGACCACGCGAGCAACTGTCCTCCCTCTCCATTCCGGTGGTTAAAGACCTACCCGGTGTTGGAGAGAACTTGATCGACCACCCAGAGTCCATAATCATGTGGGAGCTTAACCGGCCCGTCCCACCAAACCAAACAACCATGGACTCAGACGCTGGCGTCTTCCTCCGCCGGGAACCAATCAACGCAGCCGGATTCGACGGTGACAGCGCCGACATTATGATGCATTGCTATCAGATCCCGTTCGGTATCAACACAAGCCGTCTCGGCTACGATGTCCCCGTCAACGCTTTCTGCGTGACTCCAAACATCCCCCGTCCTCGCTCCCGAGGCAGACTCTACCTCACCTCCGCCGACCCAACCGTCAAACCTGCCCTGGACTTCCGCTACTTCACTGATCCAGAAGGTTACGACGCCGCCACCATTGTCGCAGGCCTCAAAGCATCCCGTAAGATTGCCGAGCAAGAGCCATTCAAGAGCTGGATCAAGCGTGAAGTCGCTCCGGGCCCGGCCATCACTACCGACGAGGATCTGAGCGCATACGGCAGAGCGGTACACCATACCGTCTACCATCCCGCCGGTACCACCAAGATGGGTGACGTTCAGAACGACCCCATGGCCGTCGTCGACCCGACTCTCAAGATCCGTGGGCTGAAGAATGTCAGGATTGCGGACGCTGGTGTCTTCCCTGACATGCCCAGCATCAACCCCATGCTTACAGTCCTGGGTGTCGGAGAGCGTGCCGCCGAGCTGATCGCTGAAGAAGCTGGATGGCGCCCTTCCTCCTCTCGTCTATAACCAATTAAGACTTAAAACCGTTTACGAATTTGGATGATTAAAAAAAGGGTTTGCGTGTGTTTTTGGTCGACTTACATATACCATCCAAGCTGTCATTGTTTTGTTTAGCATTTCTCCCAGTTTCGGGATCGAGCTAGTACCTCATATATAGAAGCAATAACGAATTTCATGTCCACTTTTTCATATCTCGGCAAATATACCAATAAAAGTTTTGAGATCTGAAGATTCCAATATAGATACCATGGCATTCCTACAATGGAAACGATCAGGTAAACACGACATTTTCATTCACATATCTAACTAACTGTTTAATGTACACTATTTTCGTCTATTATCATAACCTCATAAACAAATATCATGAATGTAAACTACAGCTATTTAGCATGCCTTTATAGGGGGTTTAATGCAAAGCAACATCATCAGATACATTAGTTGTAAAATCAAACCTTCTCCTTATCAAACACTTTGACACCAAACTTCCAGACCTGGTCGACAGTCAAAGTGCCCATTTCTCCATTTGCAGGCCTGTCTTCCCCCAAAACCACCAGGTCCGCATCCGCACCGGGAACCAAGACCCCCTTCTTATCCAGGATACCCAGCATCCTGGCCGGAGTCTCGGTAACAGCCGCAATCGCCTCCACTGTCTTGGCTCCAGCCCACAGGCGGAAGTTATTCACACACTCTATCAAGGTAGCAGAGCTTCCAGCCAACCGATCCGATCCCTCTAGGGTAAGCATTGCGCCCTTCTTCACGATACGGTCTCCGTTGGTCCATTCATAAATCCCATCAGGCATACCGCATAGCTTCATCGCATCTGTAACCAGAATCATGCCTGACGGATGAGCGTTGTACGCTATCTGGATGCTGGTTGGGTGCAAATGGATCCCATCGGCAATAATACCGTAGAACGGACGACGCTTTTCGCACTGGCCCAATAGACCGAAGATACCTGGGTGACGATGGTAGAAGGGTCTCATGGCGTTGAACAGGTGCGTGATCATGCTTGCACCCTTTTCGACTGCGGCCATGGCCTCTTCATACGTGGCGTCTGAGTGGCCGATTGAGTAGAGGATGTTCTGTGACTGGATTGCGGGGATGAGGGAGAGCATGTTGCCTACTTCCGGAGCGGCGGTTATCATTTTGATAGGCATGGGGCCTGGTGAGGCTGTGTCTTTGCAGAAGTTTTCTAGCCCGTAGCATTCTATGAGGTCGTTGATGTCATTTGCAGCGATGAGGACTTCAGGGCTGTGTATGCCATTCTTGCCTGGACTGAGGAATGGGCCTTCAACATGGGCGCCAAGAGACTCTGCGCCGTCTTCGGCACGACGGAGATGCCCTGATGGACCTAGAGATTGGAGCACCTGTTGGCCGTTCAGTCAATGTTTCTGTCATTCAGATAGACCAAGGGAAGATAACCCACCTTTGGGTAGACTTCTTTACTCTGGCTGGTGACGGTGGGCAAGTAGGATGTCACTCCCATCTTGACCAACGCCTGGGCAGCCTCCCTTAGCCCTTCGTCGAACATCTTCTTGGTAGGTTGGGGGACCGAGAAATCAAAACCGTTTGCTCCGTTTATCTGCACATCTATAAAGCCAGGCGCTAGAATTCGTCCACCCAGGTCTACGACCTGGTCCGGACACACCTTGTCTTCATAAAAGGCATGCTGGGCCTGAAGTATCTTGCCAGAGACAGAATCAACCCAGATATCCTGTTCGATCAGCTTCTGCCCGCAGGGGATACGGCAGTTTGTAAACTTGGTGACGCGGGGAGCGAGGGCTTCTCTGGTCACGGAGGGCATATTTGCTGGACAGGAAGTACAATCTTTAATGAAGAGGGCAGCCAGCAAGGTAGGTACAAGTCAAGATGTTTCGGTGGTAGCCGTAGGACCTACGAACTACGACAGAGCTCTTGATGCCGTGGCCGGATACACGGGGGTTATATCTCTCATCCATCGTAGGTCTGGCTCTGGGTTCTCCGGGGAGACCATTATTGGCCCCCCGGATCCCCTCCAATAAGCGGTTCATCTCGAGGCAGATGCCTTGCCATTTCTAGGTTTTGTACCATCCATCTTCCATCTTCCGTTTCATCTGCTGAATGACCTTGAAGTCGCAGTCGCATTTTGTATAAAGTAGCAGAAGTAAAAGCGATGAAGTCATAAATGCGACATGAAAACCTTATTTTCGGCGTTTAGCTGGAGTTAATACAGGGCGATACGAGCGATACAGTGAAAAAGACGGTTTCATGACCGTATGGTTAAATACCGAAATATACGATAAGACGACGTTACATTATTACTTACTAAGCAGGCACATGACTTTGGATGTAACCAAAGAAGGAAAAAGGACTTTTCGACGTTGCAGAAGAAGAAGCGAGGGCGGGATGAAGAGATATCACCTTCTTGCAACCCAAGAGGCGGACGACAACGTATATACGAGCATCCATGGCTATATGGATGATCTTCATGTAGCGAACTTCGTGGGTGACACTCTGGCGTAACAGAAGTTGGAGTAGCAGAACTTAACTGCTGGCTTGAGATACCAAGAACAAAGTCGTGGAAACCAAACATGCCGAGGATGAAGTCGGCCCTTCAGAGTGAAGCAAGCTTTTATACCCCAGATAGCCGCGGGAACTAAGCCAGGGGAGCTCGCTTACTGCCGACCTAGGCGCGCGGGTAGGAGGCTCTCTTTCCCCCTATACACACGCCTATCTATATACTCTATAGATATGTGTAGTCTGAAGCTATAATATCCTCTAGATGTGGCTGGCAAAGTTTACAGTGGTGATTTGAGTGAGATAGTGAATATCTAATTCCATCACTCTATCAAAGAAAAGAATGCCCCCATCTATATTATATATAACAGACTATGGAACATGATAGAATAGTATTAGCCAGATCATAGGATATCTCACCTTTCCGCCTGTGTTGCTGCCATAGGGATGGCACCAACAGCAGTGTCCTGTCCTTCTGTGCTCAAAGTGAGGTAAAGAAGCTATAGAAAATGCACAGTCTGTCTTCTTTATTGCGGTATCTACCGCTGCTGCTACGACTGACCCTATATCAGAACCTCTCACTTCCTCGCTTACTCCCCTTTTTCTTCTCTCTTATTTCCTACAAATACTAACCTCCTCGTTTACCTCTTTTTCACTTCCTACAAACTCTTCTCTGCCTTGTTCTTCTCCTGCTTAACGATCTTTCTCCCTCTTGCTCTTGTCTATTACTCGTTCTCTTCTATCAAATAGATCTATCACGACTCTACTGCTTCTCTAGCCAAGGTAAACAGAGTATACCCTGATATCAGATAGTCCGGATTCACACTGGTGCTAATTTTGTGACTATTAGAACGCCTCAACAACCACCTACAAAAGATGGCATCTGTGGCCTCTGGTCCGGATGCTGCCATCCCTCCAGGCACCTACCAGCACACTGGGCCAGCATGGATGTACAAGTCCCCCAAAATCGGCCACTTCCGTATCCCCTGGTTTGCCTCTCCTACAGCCCAGCTTATTCTGGTCTCTCTTGTCTGCTTCCTTTGCCCTGGCATGTTCAATGCAGTCAATGGCCTTGGTGCTGGAGGACTTGTTGACCCGCGTGATGTTGACAAGGCCAACGTCGCTCTCTACAGCGCTTTTGCGGCTGTTGCTTTCTTTGCTGGCTCTATTGCCAACCGTCTTGGACTTCGTTACACCCTCTCCTTTGGTGGATTCGGTTACTTTCTCTACGTTACCTCTATCTTGTCCTACAACTATAACAAAAATGCCGGTTTCCTCATCTTCTCTGGTGCTCTGCTTGGTGTTTGTGCTGCCTGTCTCTGGACTGCTCAGGGAGCCATCATGATGAGCTACCCTGATGAATACTCCAAGGGACGATTCATCTCCTGGTTCTGGGCTATCTTCAACTTGGGTGGAGTCATCGGTTCTCTGGTGAGTTGATGCTCCCTTTTCTAACATAAAGTGACAGCTAAAGCTAACTACTGAAAAGGTGCCCCTTGCCAACAACCTTCACAGCAAGTCAAACTCCGTCCAAGACAGCACTTACATCCTGTTCATAGTCCTCATGTTTGCCGGGTTTGTTCTTAGCTTTGCTCTCGTCAACGCCAGAGACATCAAACGTTCCGATGGCACCCGTGTGATCCTCATGAAGAACCCATCCTGGAAATCTGAACTTCTCGGCCTTGTCACCGTCCTCAAGTACGACTGGTACATTGTTGCCTTCTTCCCTATGTTCTTCGCCAGCAACTGGTTCACCACCTACCAATTCAACGAAGTCAACTTGGCCAAGTTCAACATTCGTACCCGTGCCCTCAACAACGTCCTCTACTGGCTCTCTCAGATGGGCGGTGCCTTTGTCTTTGGATACTTCCTTGATTTTTACCGTATACGCAGATCTATCCGTGCTCGTTACGTCTTGGCCTGGCTCTTTGCTCTTACCATGGCTATCTGGGGTGGCGGATGGGTATTCCAGAGATCATACGACCGTTTTGACATCACTGAGACTAACCGCATGGACTGGAGAGACCGCGGCTACGTTGGCCCAATGTTCCTTTACATGTTCTACGGATTTTACGATGCTGCCTTCCAGACCTGTGCTTACTGGTACGTCCTTGTCTGCTCCTATATGTTAAAGCATTTCTCTCCATACTAACAATATTAACCCCTGAATAGGTTCATGGGTGCCCTAACTAATAACTCTCGCAAACTTGCCAACTTCGCTGGTTTCTACAAGAGCATTCAGTCCGCTGGTGCAGCTATCGCATGGCGGTATGCATCTCGCTTCCCTACCTACGTTTAAAATAAAGACTAATACATTTGCCTATATAGTATTGATGGCCAAGCTGTCTCTTACCACACTATGTTCATCTCTAACTGGGTTCTTCTTGCCGGTTCTTTGATCATTGCTGCTCCTGTTATCTGGATGAAGATTAAAGACACAACTGATATCATGAGAGACCTCAAATTCTCAGATGAGAACCTGGAAGAAGTTTCTACCGCCGCAGCCATGGAGTTGCGCGGTAAGTAGGTGCGTAAGCTAGATGCTTGCGTTCTAACCTGTCAAGCCATTCATGATCGCAAGCTACATTCACAGCTATAAGCTGCCTTTTACTCTCATTTCTTTTTTGATATAGTCCCGTTTGATGACTTTATCTTGTTCAGCTTTTAAGCTCAAGTTTAGGGCATTGGAATTTCCCTCTGTCAACTAGCATCGTTTGTACTGCCCTTAGCTTTCTTTACAGCTAGGAAGAAAAATCCAAAAAATATGTTCTTTATAAAACTTCATGGTATCCTCTAAAGTCAACGGCAGCTTGGTGCATAGTAGTAAGGAATACTCTTGCCCTTTCTATGATGCTAAATATTTAGCATCATTCGGATTAGAAATACGCATAGAAATAAGGGCGTGGTAAACCCTTTATCCAGATGCCTACGGTTAAGGAGAATAAGGACAATTTTAAAGACATTTGCTAAGGTGTTTTATGTACATAATCCTCATTTCTTATCTTCTAAAGTCTAAGGTTCATGAAGCCAAGTCTGTCTGTCTATATCCATTGTCAAATCTGTATTCTCCACTTCCTTGAGCTCGTCTAATTTTTTATCATTATCATCAAACTCTCCCTTGATAAAATCATTTCCAATCTCAGGTAGTGACAGATCAATGTTGCCTACATCGTCTGTCGTAAAAAAGTCCGTAACAGCGTTTTCTTCAAAGTTGATCAATGCATCCAGATCGCTCTGGGTGATATCTACTTCGTGCGCAAGAGTCATGAATTCGGCCAGGCTAGGTTCCACAGGATCCGTACCGGCATTCAAAATATTTTCTATAGTTGTATCCTGGTTTATATTTTGAAGGCTTCCGTTCTCGCTACTTGTGGAATGCGGTGGGGTTGAAACAACGATGCCCACGGCATTGGTATCAATGGGTTGTTCGAAGTTACCAAGATCAGATAACGCTGGGTCTATGAAGCATTCTGGACTGGCGTCCGGTGGAGGTGTGAGGGTGTTTGCCGGTGGTTCTGGTTTAGCTTTCTGCTGTTTCTCCTGATCTACTAGGTCCATCGATATGTGAACGCCTGCCTTTCGCATGGCAGCTTCGAGGAACGAGGTTGCAAAATCCGCGGATGCGTAGATTTCACGCAAGCGCTGTAGAATCTGCATGCATTGGTAGAATCGTCCAAGGCTGGCGGACCGTATGTTCGAATCGCTCGATTTTATATCGAGTAAATGTATAATGACGGCTGGAAGAAGAACGGTGACACCGCTTGTTGGTAGATAACGGGTTAAATCGAGACTGTGCAGCTCCTGGGCAACCTTTGTGATTTCCACCGCCGCATGTCTGACTTTTGCTCGAGAATATGATTGCAATTCTGCTTCCACCGTAGGAAGGGAATTAGCAGGTAGAACCTGCGGTCGATGCAGAGCGCTCAGCGTAGTTAGATATATCATCTGAAGCAGATTACGATGAAGCTGAAGCACCTCCTCTCCCTGGGTAAGGTTCCATGAGGTCGCAGGGCGGTAAACCGCCGCATCTGGTAGCCCGGACTTCCAACTGTCCAACGCAATATCACAAGCCCTGACCTCGCAAGCTTCTGTTGCGGTCTTCTTCGGCACTAGCATCATAGTGGTTTCAGTTGTGCCGCCCAACCTATGGCCAAGAACGGAGTACTGTGCTGATAGGACGTGGCTGATACAAAGACATAATTTCGTCTTCTCAATGAACATCATCGCAAGGTCCTTTTGATATTCGCAATTATGCGTTAGTTCGCAATCCCCAATGACCTGAAGAACCTCGGCGGAGAACGGTGCAATTTCAAAATCATCCACCGTCAACAGGGGAACATCACAGTCTTCATCTCTGATTCTCGTAGGCCTTCTCATACCCAGAGCAATGAGCCGGTCTCGGGTATATGTGCTCCACCATATCCTCTTCCAGAGCTTCTGCCGCTTTGGATTCATGTTTGAAGATGTTGGGTCTCTGTGAAGGCCGATGGTATGAGCTAGGGATAAGCTGACGCCCATCCAATGCCATGTATCTTTCTGGTCATCTGGCATTTCATACCAATGTGTCATTAAGAGTAACGATTGGACCAGAGATATCCGATCAGACTCGTAATCAAAGTCATAGAGAAGCTAGACAAGTCAGTATTTTACATCTTAGTCCTCAGCAAATCGGCACATGTTATACATACCCTAGCCCTTTGAAAGAATGCTTTGCGAGCGGCCTTCCGCGACTCAAATCCAGCAGCTTGCAAGTGCCTAATGCCTATGAATGCGGTTCCGGCAAACATGACGGCCTGGAACAGCAAAAGACTCAACCCCCCCGATGCATCGTTGCGTACTATAACACGCAGGAAATCATCCAAGTCAAGTAAAGGCATGTATGCATGCACATACTGAATATAACTCTTAAGCAGCTCGTTTCGAAGAGAGTCACTAGGAATAGTCAAGGCCCCTTTTCGATCCAGATAGTCGATATCCTCTGCCATGAATTTACCGGGAAGGGGCCGGATGTAGTCCGGAAGAGTTGTTCTAGAAGAAGGTCGAGGCGGCGGTGACTGTATTTGTCCAAAGCTGCTAGACATGGTAGGGGTAGCAGCAGCTTGAGAGGGAATACTGTAGAGGAATGGAGAATTGATAGCTGTGCTGCTCGATAGTCGTCTTCGTCTTTCTTCTTCCTGCACGCGCTGTCTTCTCTGTGTTTGATCTTTCAAGGAGGTTGTTAGCAGCTGTTTTTAGACCTTCAAGTAGAAGAGCAGGAGATGGCTCACATATCAGATGCGGTACATGGTGCTCATTCTCTGGGTATCTTCCTGGAAGCACAGATGGCCATTGATCGGAGATGGATGGGAACGGGTTGTTAGAATCGGCCTTATTGGCAAATATAAATGAATGGTCTATCGATGAATCTCTTGAAGCTTCCGCTGGGGCCTCAACATGGTGTTTCCTGTATAATTCTTAGCCTGGCATTCCGGGTTTACTGGTTATGTGTGGAATTAATGACTTGGTGAAGGCTACTGACTTCTTCCGTTTACTCTCTGCAACGACACAATCGACATCATCTAAGCGACAATTGGTACATGGAGAGCCATTCTCAACCACATCACAACGGACTTTGCGGGCTCGACAGCAACAGCAGGCCTTTGAAGCTCTTCTCTTGACTGGACGGGAGGAGGTTTGTAGGCCGGCAACGTTGGATTTCCGTTTATTCTTAGACGAGTTGTCAAGAGATTCGGGGGATGAGACCATGGCGGCAACTTATGTGTTATTGCATGTAAGTACTGCGGACAAGAGGGTGAACCGCGGTTACAATATCTGACTGTCCTCTAGGCGCATGCAGCAATAATATAAGGAAACAACAAGAATGGGCGGAGTAGATACGAGCAAACTTAGGTATAATATGACGAAGGGCACAGAGAGATGCTTGGTAGAAAAAAAGGGAAGACAAGAAAAGTAAGAAGAGGAAGAACAAGCGTGGGGTGCAAGTGGGATGGAGCTTTCTAATATATGGAGGCCTCTATTGTCAGTACACCATCATAGATAACCCTTAGGGTTTCTCGGACTAATACTAGAAGGAAAATGAAGGCATCATTGGCCAGTAAGGGGCGAGACCGTACTTATACTTCTTCCCCAGACCCTCCCCCCCTGGGAGACATAGTCGAGTTTGGGGAAATAATGTACTTGGACGGTGGGGTAGCTGGTTTTTCTAATGTGGAGATTAGAACGATTCAGCGAAGGGGTTACCCCGACGAATATATCACTCACAGACATATATCCGTGTACTATGCATGTATGATGCTTGAGGTGGACCGGGAAGCGCGGCCTATAGAAGCGAAAGAGCTATTGCAGACCAGGTATGTTCCTGGGCCGAGCTTGGGGGGTGTCCTTTTCTTTTGGAGGTCTGACACGGCAGATTCCAGTCGGCCGGGCGAGAGCAAGTGTCGGCCAAGATGACTATTGGCCCCTTTCTCATGATGAAGCGTATTTATGGAGTAATTTTATATTCTCCGTATAAATGGATCTGGTGCTGCCGAGTTCCCGCGAGTCGGAATCTGCCAAAATAAAGAGAAGCTATCTTGTTTTGAATTCCATCCAGGGTTGGAACAGGAACCCAAAAGACGTGAATCGCAGTTTGAGTTGCCCTTCTGAGGCTACGTATGTATATTTTGTACGGAGTAGTTTGGCGGGATGACGGCATGTCTGTGTCCCCTCGTCTTGCAGGAAAATAAAGTGCTCATGGATCGGACGTGAGAAAAAATGTCAAGTGGTCACAGGCAAGCTTGACGTGGAAGCTGCATGCCACCCTGTACGACCAAGCTCCACCCTTGTAGATGTGCATCACGCCTCGTGGAGTTAAATAGTCATCGACTAGTTCTGGATTGGTGAGGGTGCCGAAACACCTGGCTGGCGAAAGGGGCGAAAGAGCCCCAACGAAGGCGGAAAGCGGCCCCGATCACCCATCCACCCCCCAGCCCATCGATTTGTCGGTCAAGTTTGAAAGGCCGAACAAGAAGGCCGTTATAACATCATGGTGGCGGGCCTTGCAACTCTCATCTCGACGGCGAAACCTCCGGCCGAGCCTCCGTGTCTTATTGGTGGATCAAGGCAAAATCGAATTGCTTAGCCTTTCCGCAATACGAAGATGTTCGGCCTCTTTCGAGCTCTTGTTTCGACCCTTGCTCGGATCACGGCACCGTTCAAGCCAGACCAGGGCGAAATTCGATATTCTACTCTGGCAGCCAACCATCCTGGCTGAGAAGGATTATGCCTCCGCAGCTGGCATCCTAAGTATGTAATAGTCGAAGTCATATGCTGTGCGATGCACTGACGTTCTTCCCAGACACTGCCAAACCCCTGTCGCAGTGATGTCTCGCACGAGTCGCACCTCTCTCCCTTCTATGTGCATCCTCGAGCGTCTCTGCCTCCGTCCACACAGTAACGCCGTCATGCTGTGGTGTCGACCTTGACGTCGACGTCGACAGAAAGGAAGAAAGGAAGAAAGTCGGTTCAAGTTCGGCATGTGACTGGACCGTCGCCTGCTAGTCCAGGAATGGCAATTGCTAGCAGCGAGATCGGATTCTCCACATAAAAGACACGAAGAGATGCCGCGCATTAAGTATCGTTTTATATGTAAGAGCGAAGTAATATAAAGTCAACCGTGGTGGAGGATGGGATGCATGCATGCAGGGAATATCACGGTCAGCGATGTTTCGTGTATACATTAGCTGCATACTACTACATATGTCGACGAAGGCCTCGAAGCAGATATATGGACCGGCCTGTCAGTGCCATCGTAGCAGTCTATGATATCAAGCCATCGATAGCCAAGATGGACTCTCACGCACGGCTGTGTAGGTCTCTCTCGTCCACCTATGTATGTACTCAGTACTTAGTGGCACACAGAGTGATATATGGCAGCCAAGGTCATACAATATCCGATGAAAGGGCCAACTCACTAACATTCTCAGGCCTGTGCCGGGACTTGGTTCCTGAAGCCGTGTAGCAAGGAAGACGAGACGATGCTTCGTGTCGACGTACGGCGTATCTCGACCTTGTCGTTCTCATCGTGAGAGCAGAAAAGCTATTTAGCCTCTTGCGCTAACCCTGAAGAGGACGAAGACTTCAGCCCTTCTCGCGTACCAAAAGGCAGCAACATTTCAACTGTGGCTGGCGCTTCAGATATAAGATACCGAGAGAGCTCTGGAGTTGGATGTTTTGATAGAATATACTTCTACGTCAACATCTACACGATGAAGATAGCAATAGTTGGTGCCGGTATCAGTGGCTGTGCGGCCTATCTTGCCTTGAAGAAGAGGCTCCCCCCTGGAGAAGAGCATGAATACACCCTCTACGAAGCATACGAAACCTCTGCATCGTCTTCACAGAACTACGCTGATGGAGAGATACACTCTGCGAGTTTCGTTGTTGGCGCTGGGCTCGCCATCTGCCCAAATGGCTTAGCCTGCGTCAAACGGCTGGATGAGGGTATATACCGTACCATCGTCGAGACAGGATACCCATACGCATACCAGCAGATGAAATCCAGCCATGGATGGAATCTCATGAGGACGGAAGCCTCTGGCTCGGAACCCAAGATCAACTCTGTCTCGCTGAGTCGCCATGCCTTGTGGCGCTGCTTTCGAGATCGTGTTCCGGACGAGATCGTGGTCAACAAGCGCATAGCCGCCGTTGTTGCGAAGCTGGACGGACGCAACATCATCAAGTTTGCCGACGGCAGCCCGGACGCAGAGGCTGATCTTGTTTTGGGGGCCGATGGCCTGAAGAGCGTCACCAAGCCTGCGTTATTTCCCGAGGATAAAGAGGACCTCTACCCACCGCACTACGAGTGAGTAATTCTTTTTTACGACTGCATACCATAAGCTTCCAAGGGGCCGATATAAACCATGTCTAACACTGTCTATCAATACCAACACTGACAATGTCACCAGGGGAGTCGTTGGCGTCGGCGGTTTCTTTCCAGCCACCGAACTTCACCACCTAATGGAGCCGGGAACCATGAACCTGGTCTTCGGCGGAAACGGCTTCTTCGGCTACTGCTATACAACCAGCGACAAGGACGAGCCAAACCGCCATATACCCCAAGGCGTACTCAAGCCAGGAAACTCCGTCATGTGGTGGTCTACCTACGAAGCCAAAGAATGCCCCGATACCAAATCCGTAGACAAAGCTAAAGTACTGCAGGATGTGAAAACAAGACATGCCTCATGGAAGAGTCCCGTTGTCCAGAAAATACTGGCCTCGGCAGATATACAGAACATGTACCCTGTATGGACCGTACCATCACTGCCAACGTGGGAGAGACACGGGGTCGTGCTGATCGGAGATGCAGCCCATGCTCTCCCACCTACTTCGGGCCAGGGGGTGTCCCAGGCCATGGAGGACGTGGAGTGTTTCTCCATGCTGCTGGCACACAGTCTCAGCAAGCAGCCGGCTGAGGAGAATATAATTCAAGCTCGAAAGACGGCCATATCGTGGGCAGGCAAGAAGTTTATGGATATACGGATGCCTCGTGTGAAGAAGATTGTTGATGAGACGCGGCGGTTTCAGAACCAGAAGCGTGATCTCTCTCTTTTTCAGGAGTGGTTTATGTATTTTGTGCTTTTTCTCATGAGTGAGTGCAATGTGCCTTTCGAAGCCCTTAGAACGTTAACTAACCGGCTGCGTCCACAGGCTTTTTCCCCACACCATCGTGGATAAAGGAAGTATACTCATATGACATTGAGAGTGAAACTCGTAAAGTCATTGAAATGGCTTAGGTTTTGATTCTATCAAAAGGAAATTTCATACATCTCCCCTTATACCATTGTATTAGCACACGACATACACTACTCATCGAGTACATTAATCAATCATATAAACATGCCAATTTCATTACTCTGAGGTATCTAGGCGAGAAAGCCAGTCATCAAAACAAACACCAACATAATGAAAGGAACTCGTAAACGTTAAAAAAAAAGCAAAAGAAAAAAAAGCTGATAAGCAAACATTTTCATTAGCATTTGCGGCTTCTCCCCAGTACTCAGTTACTGCCTCGTCCCATTCTCTCAATTGAGCTCATAATGCCACTACGGCCTGGGGTTTTTCCAACAGCGATACCACTAGCAATGTTCTTGGAGCCAGCTGGAGCCCCAAATCGTGGGATTCTAGGGGTATGGCTCTGTGGAAGCTGTCGGGGCTTGGAGGTGGTTGAACTCTTTAGTCCAATACTGCTGTTACTGGCAGCTGGGGCTGGCTGTGAAATGGACGCCTTCTCAGTCCTTTCCTCTCCACTAAGCTCCTCAGAAAGCGATGCGGACGGTTTCTCGGATGGTTCTGGGGCGGGTTGGACCTCCTGTTGCATTTGTAGCCACTCGTCCACCACCGCAACAAGCTCTCCCTTCTCAGCCCTTTCAGCTTTAAGCTCGGATCTTAGGGCTTCGCTATCTTGCTTGAGAGATGACATCTCTTGCTCAAGTCCCTTGATTCGAGCCTCTAGCATTCTTTTCTCGGCCTCTAGGCCTTCGTTCTCCCGAAGCATTGTGGCATCTCCTGGTGAAGTCTCTCCTTCGGCAAGTTTAGATTTCACTTCATTAAGCTCAGCCTGAAGATGATTGACCTTCTCCAAAGCATCTTTTAGTTTGGCCTCGCCCTCTCTAACACGTTTCTCCCAACGAGCTTCATAGCTCTTCTTCAAGGCGGCTACCTTGGTCTCATGCTTCCCTTTGTATAGGGTATGTAGCTCACGAGCGACTCTTTCAACGGCATCTTGAACCTCTCGGGCGGTCTCATCCGAGTTTCTCGAATTATGGTTACTCGGCCCGGCGGAGGCCTGTGTATTGGTTACGTTGTTCCGTGCAGCCGAAAGCTGGCTTTCCAACTCGACCGTCTTTCCTTCAAGCTGTTCCCGTGCCCTCTCGGCCTCCTCTGCTCTCCGAGCGAGTCTTTCTCTTTCACTTTCCCCGTCCGCCATCTCAGCCTTGACAGTCCTCAGCATATCTTCCATCTCCTGGCTTCTTCTTTCCCATTCTTGATGCTCTGCTTCAAGAGCTTCCTTTTTAGAGGTTTCATTCCTGACCTGCTCCAATGCCTCTCCGACGCGGCGTTCGGCATCAGACACCGACTCCTTGAGGCTCGCAACTTCTGCGTCTCTTCCATTTAGAGTGGCCTTTAGTGATGATATCTGCGACAAAAATGAAGATTTTAAGGACTCCAACTCTCTGGGAGTAATAGAAGGAATGGACCTAGGAGTAGGAGGGGGTGGTATATCAAAATCCAACAGGGATAACTTGTTTGGCGACCTGAAATTTTCGCCTGGTTTCCTTGTCGAGCTGCGTCGAGCTCTATAGGGAGACTGAGAAGTCAAATCCGTTAGAGAGCCGTTGGTAGGCAGGTTCATCTGGTCCGTGAACTCCAAAAGGTTGGCGCTATCCTCAACTCGCATGTACTTCCGTACTGGAGAAGAAGAGAGATTAGAAGAGGAACCTTGTTGGCCATATGACGACTCTGGGTCCCGTTTGTTTGAGCTTCGTTTCGCCGATCTAGGGGTCACCTGTGACATATTTTCTCGGAGATTAGGGGTATGTTTTAGTGGAGAGTCGTTTCTGAGCTTGGAGAAGAGGGTCATGTCGGCGTTAGGAACAGCTGAAAAAGCACTGAGGCTCGTATGGTCTCCCACGCTGTCATCCCCCTGGATGCTGTCACACATCGAGCTGTCGCCTTCATTACGATGGCCTACAATGCTCATGGTTTCGTGGTTAATCTCTTCAACAACGGTGGCCAAAGAATGCCGGGAGGATTGTGGTTGAGAAACCTGGCTATCCTCAGCGTCATGGTTAACGTTCATTCCAAATGTATCAGCTGGTTGGTTGTGATGTATCTCTTCATATCCTTCGTTCATGTCCAAATCATCTTCAACGTTTTCTTCGTGTGTCTCTCGCGTAGGCTCATTTTGGGAATTGGCCTCGGTTAGAAACAGGTCATCGGAGCATTCGTCAACTCGATCCGTATACTCAATATTAATTGAGTCTTGAAATGGAGAGCTAGGGGGGTTCTGAAAGCCGGACTGGTCGTGATGGTCTTCATGAATATCAAATACAGGGGAGTTTCTGGTTCGTTTTGACGGAGTTGTGTTTTCATCGTAGTATAGGTTATCCAGCTCCTCGACATCTCCTATAGGGCTCTTCGACAGAGGTGAAGCAAGCGACTGCAGCTGTGGCGGACGAGCATTGAGCCTTGAGGGCGATAGGGCTGACAGTGGACTTGCCATTGTCACTGTCGGTATGTTTGTTGTTTGTTGTACCTTTTAGTTTTTTTTATACTGAAGATTCAGCATTGAGGTATCTGCTTAGGATGTCACAAAAGGTTACCAAGAAAACCTATGCGTCGTAGATGTCCTGTGTGAGAAGCAATATATATTATGTGTCCTTCAACAAGATGTCATACGAAAGAAAAGAAATAAAAGCGAGCTTTCTGATGTTTTGACTTTGCCCCGGCAACCACGTAAACAAAGAGATGACATAAGCCATGACATAAGCAAATTGTGGAGTTTTAATACCATAAAATACCAAAATTACAGCACGGGACCAAAGCTTGGCGCTTAAAGCTTAAGTAAGCATAAACCTTATATGCGCCGCCTTTTTTTTCCTTTTTCGGTCATTTTGACTTCAACTTTCTTTTTCTCTACTTTCGCTGCGACTTGTCAGAGGATCAGAATAGACCAGATATCAATATGTCAACCAGGTTATGCGACTTCAATTGCAGCTGTTGACGGCGGAAGATCTTCATTTACTGCTAGCTCGTGGTTTGTACAGCTGGGTTGAGGGTCCCGGCTGCCCGTACCATGTACTATATGCAGGGAGTCGGCATTCTCCACCCAACCCGGATTTCACACTGTCCTGACCACCAAAAGAAAAAAAGAGGAAGACATATAGTATGCCGTACCGTGGTACCAAGTATCAAGCTATATTCGCCGGTGACGTCCGACTAGAACTAATGTATTCCATGGACGAGGGCTCCGAATCAGGCAGACCGCCACTTGTGATCAAAGTTTCCTCTTCTTTTCTCCTGACAACTCTTCTTCCCACTTCTCAACTCCACCGTCTGCAAAGCACCACACGCACACACAGCAAACACCACTAGACCGGAAGCCATTCGTCCCTCTCGGTGTTTGATCCCTCATCCGCCTGCTCTGGCTGTTGAAAACCGGCCCGGACAGCCACTTGTGAGCCTAAAGCCGTTGGCCAGAGGACGGACGTGACTCGAGAGCCTGACTAGACATCTCGCCCCTCCAACATCCCCCTCGTCTTCATTAATATACTTGGCCATCGCTGGCAAATTTCCCCAAGTTTTATCTTGATATTGATTTTCGAACCGGCAGAGTCTCGTCTTCTTATCTCCAACTGACAACAGGTATTGGTTGAAAGAGGAACGGGGGTTGCGTGGGAGGATAGCCGTAAGAACCAGATTAGAATATATAGAACCATGAGATTAACACGTCAGGCAAGACACCATAACACTTCTCCTCCCACTTCTTCCGCCGACGACGCTTTTCCAACCCTCCAGCTTTTCATCTTAGGTTTGTCTTCTGCCTTCACACCCAGGGCTTGGTGATTTGTGCTAACACGCTCATAGCGGTATGTCGCTTCGCAGAGCCGATCGCGTTGACCTCCATCTTCCCATACTCCTGGGTAATGGTTAAGGATTTCAACATCGGAGACAAGAGCAATGCATCTTTCTACGCTGGAATTATTATTTCCGCCTTCGCCTTGTCGGAGAGCCTGACTGGAATGTTCTGGGGGAGTCTTTCGGACAGAGTGGGTCGCAAACCTGTTCTTCTTTTAGGATGCGCTGGCACCGTCCTGTCTCTTATGATCGTTGGGTTTTCCCGGAACTTCTGGATGGCTCTCCTCGGCAGAGTTGTTGGAGGCCTTCTAAATGGCAATGTCGGTGTTATCCAGACAATGGTCGGTGAAGTAGTCAAGAAGCCGGAACATGAACGTAAGCCATATTTATCCGTGCCTCTTTTACTTCTTTATGTCTGCATGCTAACTTCTTATAGCGCGAGCATACGCCGTTCTGCCATTTGTCTGGTCTATTGGCACAATAATAGGCCCAGGTAAACCTCCTTTCCTGCCCTTTACTGATCCTTACAGTAACTGCTAACTTTCTTCAGCGATTGGAGGTACATTTGCACAGCCTTATAAATCATTCCCTTCGCTGTTCCCTCGATCAGGCTTATTTGGTACTTTCCCTTACCTCCTCCCTAACATAATATGTTCGCTGCTACTATTCATCAGTATCGTTTCTGGGTACTTATTCCTGGATGAGACGCATCCTGACCATCAGCCCCAGTATATTCGAACTGAAAATACTGAGCAACATACCGACGAGGATGAGGGAGAAACTATCGGTGCACCTCTCTATGCAGTTGCTACGGCTGGTTCAACAGCCCACGCAGGTGCAGACTTGACGGCCAAGTCGTATGGCACCTTTAACGAGGTTGACATGCACGAGGATGAGGAATGGTATGTCCGGCCAGACGGGAAATCCTTTCCCGCACCAGACTTGGGAAAAGTCTTCACAAAGCGTGTGACAATGCTCATAATCGCTTTGGGAATCTTCACCTACCATTCCATGACATATGACCATCTACTTCCCATTTTCCTCCAGGATAAGCGAGACGGACTCATAAATCATCCAGTTCTGTCCCCCTTGGATATCCCTGGAGGCTTAGGTCTATCGACCCAAACCGTCGGATTAATCATGGCCGTAAATGGAGTCATTGCCTTGATAATTCAGGCTGTTATCTTCCCCGTTCTTACCGAATGGCTGGGTGTATGGAGCGTCTTCGTTCTCGTCACCATCCTCCATCCGGTGGCGTACTTTATTGTCCCCTTCTTGGTCTTCCTGCCGACCAGCCTCTTATACCCAGGCATCTACACATGCCTCACAATCCGAAATCTCTTCTCCATCCTAGCCTACCCAGTGCTCCTCATATTGATCAAACAAGCCAGTCCGTCGTATGCTGTCCTCGGAAAAATCAACGGCCTTGCTGCTTCTGCTGGCGCTGCTTGTCGAACACTTGCCCCACCAATCGCCGGATACCTTTATACTGTCGGAACCCGAGCCGGATTTACCGGAATTGCTTGGTGGGCTAGCAGTCTAGTTGCCATATTCGGAGCCATGCAACTTTGGTTTATGAGAGGTAAACCACATACCAGTGTTTCTGTATTGGCTCGTCCGCCGTGTTTCCCTAGACATGTGGAAGCCCATCCCCAAGTTATCCATGTCCACGTGGAAGAGGAGGAGAGCCAGCATGAACGTCAGCCTTTGGTATGAATGAAATGTTCAAATACGCAGTTATGTGGAATATAAATTGTCTTTTTCCCGGTTTTCGTACAGGGCCAGTTTAGAGGTCATCCATCCCGTTTCGCTTACCGTGTGTCCACTTTACCGTTCAAAGACGTGCAGTTTATGATCTACCCGCAAGACTTGGGAACGGAGAGTTTTTCGCTATCACTTTCGTTTCATTTTATTTAGCCTTGAAATTCGTTGGCGCTATATTTCAAAGATGTTCGCAGTTGTTCCACATTATTCATGTTACCCCTATATCCCAAATAGTTTGATATTACTGATAAATCCGAAGTACAGTTTCAATAATTTTATTATCATATTATAGCGATAGTTGATGTTTCTAATGATGGCTAAATTGAGATATTAAACATATGCTGTGCTGTCTTATGGGTATAAAATGTTCAGAGTCGTATACATCAATATATAAACAGCTTCAATGACCTCGAGCACACCACTGGCCTATGTGGGTAGTCATCAATAGTATATAAAACACAAATTACAATGCAATCCGAGCTGCATTTTAGCATGTAAGAGCCTAAATAAAAGCGCCAGTTCACCATTGCCTCCAGAAACATACCTACCCAACTTCAAAATTTCAATTTAAAATCATGGCTTGCATACCTATCTACCTTCTCCCTCCGACGAGATAGGGAGATAAGAACGCCTTTCCTTAAATCGCTGTCCAACAAAAACCACTTGTTAGTTGAAACAGTTGACGGGATTTTACAACGATGGCAAAAGAGCATGCATACCTGAATCCATACCTCTGCCCATGGCTTGACGGCAGCCCACGCTAACAAACTAGAAGTCGCAATGATAAATATGAATACAACAGCCCTGTCCTTGTTCGAATCACGCTCTATAGTTTCATCAACATTAGCAAAATGTCCTCCCATCGTCCTAGGAAACACTCACGGAAACAAGTTGTAAAGACATTCTCCTCCCCCGCCCCCTTACACTTCGGCAAATGCTGATCTAGACAGAACCGCCTATTACAGTCATTGCAGCTTCGGCCTCCGTGGTCTTTCGCCCCATCGCCTTCCTCGTCCTCATCAGCCTTAGGCGGCGTTACTTCATTGTCTCGACTGCTTAAAAAGGCACGAAAGGACAGCCTGTCCCTTGATTCTGAAGGCGCAATCGATTCCGGTGGGCCGAGGGGTATGATGGTACTGTTTGACCAGCAAGTGCACTTGCAGAAGGAAGTTGGTTCTAGGCAGATGGATTGATCTGTTAGCTTGGCTGTATGGACCGCAAGGTTATCTGGCGGGACGTACTTTCGGCAGAGACGAGTGAGAGTATCGACGCAAGGAAGAGGAACAACGCCTGAACCTGATATCTTCGCAGTATCATGATCGCAGCGTTCGGCTCGTCTTATGGACTTGGTCGTCTTTTCTTCCAGCTTTCAAACATTCCAAGTTTGCGGTAAAGCGACGATCATGTGGCATGGCTTACGTAAGGCGTTATCTTATAGATGAAGAATCGAAGGCAAGTTGAAGGCGAAGGTAGGGGATATTGGATGGCTAGACTGGATGGTAGAAGGATTAGATGTACGGTGGATGGTTGGACGGGATGAGGTTTCATATTGCGTCGTGATATAAAAAATCAATGGCTATTCTATTGATTCATCGTCTCCCTCTATGGCTCCTATTCTCTCTCTGTCGCCGTTCCTTACCTGCTTCCCTTCTCCTTCGTTTCCAGGCTCGATTGTTATCCCCCCGGTTCTCCCAGAACCACTGGGCAAACTCGCTCTCCTCTGCAGCGTTTCCCCCACGTTTGGTACCAGGCTTTGTAGGAGAAGAAGGAAGCTCTCCATCCCCAGAGGCGGCATCCAACTCGTTACCGTCACGTAATTCATTCGCATTAGAGTCCTCTCCCCAGAAGGTTATCTTGGTGGGAAGTGCAGTGTCCGGCGTAGGAGCCAAACTTCGCATGGACCGAGACTGTAGGTCTTGTACCGTGAAGGGTGTCTGCGGCTCTGCATATACTCTGTCATGAACCTCGGCGTCACTGCCGGAGTCATCTGCGTTTCCAAAAAAGCTGAATTGGGTGTCGATTGTCAACTGAGGGTTTGGAATTGAGATTCCGGAAGGCTTTGGGCGTTTGAACAGTGCTTCCAGTGGGTGAACTTTGGGGGTATCTTCGACGGTTGGGGCCGGAGTTTCCTGCTCTATAGCCTTAGACTTTTCACTCTCTGACGCTTCAGAGCTGGAGGATTCGTCGTCAGGCTCAGAGTCTGAGCCTGACGAGCTATCCGACCCTTCTGAACTGGTATAGTCCTCGCTACTCGAGGATTCTACCTCTGACTCGTCACTAGCTGCCGGCGGGGCTGCTGTGTCCTTCTTTTCTCCATCCAACTTGGGCGTCTGCTTGGCCTTCGCAGACGGTTGAACCAGAGGTTTCTCGCTCTTCTTTGGTTCCTGCTCCTTGACGTTGCCCTCCCGATCTACCCATCCTTTTCCTTCCACATATTCACTAGTAAGCTTTGATGGAGAAACATCCCCCCCCGCTTTGACGAAGCTTGGATGCTTCACAGTCTTTTTAAACTCATGGACTGTCACGGAGTCGGTCCCCTCTCGCTTCTTGCTCGACTTGGTCTTGGTAGGCTTGTTTGCCGGAGGAACAGTGCGAAACAAGCACTCTGAGCCATTCGAGTATTTCGACGGCTGCTTCTTCGACTTCTTCGACTCCTCGTCCTTCTTTTTCGACCTACCCGACGAGGCACGAGGCTCAGTCCATCCTCGCATTACTTTCCGCGGCGACGGCAGCTCGTAGCCTTCTATTATATGGTCAATGGCCTTCCGTTTGAGCGATACACCGCCCTCTGACGGTGTAGCGTGTGCGCTGGCGCCTGGTTCGACTGGTGGCTGGGCGACGGGCGCTGGCCTGGCCTGTTCTATCCGAAACTTCTTGCCCTTGAGAATTGCGCCGTTGAGCTTCTTGGTGAGCTTCTCTGCTTCTGCCTTGGGGAGAGTGACGAAGCCGTAGTTGTTCTCTGGATAGGTCTCTATCGTATGAAACGAGATGTCGGTGGCAAGATGGCGGATGGAAGGCTGTAGCACCGTATCCAGGATTGCGGCGTCTAGAGGCGTGATATGCAGGCGTCTAACTGCGTCTGACATCTGCGCGGGCTCTGACTCGGTATATGTATCTATCACCACCAGGCCTATCTCCCTATAGCTCTGTCATTGGCCCTTTGCCCTCTCTCTATCGTGTCTGTATCTCTCTGTATATTCCCTGTATCTTGTTGATGTTTGGTGAAGAAATTCATATGAAGTCACTTTTTTCCTCTTCCTGCCAAGCTCGTGACCTGAACTGAAAAAAAAAAAAAAAATAAAAAAGAAAAGAAAAAAATATTCTCCGGTCAAGTCCGCCAAAGACCAAAGTCGAAACAACTTCAAACCTGCTCGAGAGCTCGACATCCTCTGCTCTCTTCGTCTTCTGTATCGCTGAGCTGGTTGTCTCTAGCCTTTACCTTGCGCAGGCCGCTTGTTGACGTTTGACAGAGTAATACACATAGCAGGACTCAGCTACGAACCAGGAGTTGACGGCGTCATCATCCTTTGGCAACAAGGAAGCTGGAACGACGGCAACAATAATAACAAGATCTGGAAATGCTAACCAGCATCTCCTGGCATATACGGACCGTACCGAATATCATCTTTTACTCTAGCTGATTGATACGCTTTCCTCGTCTCTGCGGTTCGCATGGCAACGCTCTCCCGTTGGAGCAACGCATAATCGCCAGAAGCCTACAGGACCCTTTTCCCTTCGATACAAGACCGAAAGATCTTCTCCAAATAACTGGCTTGACCAGTTTTAAGAAGTGATTAGCCGGCCGATTATTCCGTACTCCCTATCGTCGATAAACTCTCGTTGCTTTCAGAAATCATATCCGTGAGAATGGGAAACGCGGCTACGAAGGAGGCCAGGCCTTCAAGCCTCAGGCACGGACAGACGCGCTCGCATCACGATACAGACTCTTCCCGTGCCAGAGGCTCGCCGGATCGCTCGTTCCTTGGGGGGCTCTCTAGCAATGACAGGGGTGCGTCGTCAGAGCCCCGGCGGGAGACAAGACAGGAGAGGGAAGCTCGAAAACGCGAAAAGGAGCGAGCGGCAAGGATTAAAGAGAGGGAACGAAGTATGAAGGAAGAGCATGTTGATGGAGGTTATCTCGTTACGCAGGGTGTCTATGTTGGTACCGAAGACTTCAACAAGCCCATTGTCAGGCAGCTGATGGTATGTTTCAAAACTGGGGTCCTTTTTTTTTATATCTCCTGCTGACGGTACAGTCAAGATCGAACGGCGAATCGCCCCATTCTGGAGGGGGTTGAATGAATTCTCTACCTCCTGGGCAGAGCATCAGATCATGGCTGCTGCTCGTGGTCTCCCCATACCGCCAGCTGATGAAGTTCCGCCGGAGCTCGAGTACAAGGCACCACCCCCAGTCTCGCAGGAAGATAGGCAGAGCGACAAATTCCTCAACACCCTCACCATTCCGATCGCATCGAGATCTCAGTCTTTCAACTCTGACAGCTCGGCGGGAGCTCGGAAAACCACTCCCCAGTGTCAGTCTTCAGCCAACGCAAACGCCTCTGGTTCCCAGCTCTTTAGAGGGCGGGCCAAGACTCTGGCGTCGTTAACAACCTCGTCCAAGTCCAATTCAAATATGGCACCGCGGGAATTCCAGCTACCGAACGACCCATTTGTGAATGGCCAACCAATCGAAGTCTATCTCTACAAAGATCCCATAGAATGTCCCATCTGCTTTCTCTACTATCCGCCATACCTAAATAAAACTAGGTGCTGCGACCAGCCTATCTGCTCGGAATGTTTCGTACAGATCAAACGAGCAGATCCACATCCTCCTGAACACGAACAGCCTGGAACAACCTCTCCCGGGGAAACTGACTCACAAACAAATGACTCCGATCACCAGCTTGTAACCGAACCAGCAGCATGTCCCTTCTGCGTACAGCCTGAATTTGGTGTAACTTACGCCCAACCACCGTTCCGTCGGGGTCTCGCTTACGCCCCAGGGCACAGCAACACCCACCCCTTGGCGAATGTAGCTTCCCCCATGTCATCGTCAAGTTCATTGAATTCTGCGAATGCCAGCCCTGGTACGACCACAACACGACGACGTGCCACATCTTTATCTGCAGATGCACCAGGGGTCATCACTACAGATAAAATCAGGCCCGATTGGGCACAGAAGTTGGCTACTGCGCGAGCAAATGCTGCAAGACGGTCAGCTGCTGCCACGGCTTTGCACACCGCAGCATACCTAATGAATAACAACAATAACAGCACGTCCGGGTCGAACAGCGAATCAAGAAACCTGGCAAGCATTGGAAGGAGGGCCCTCTTGCGCAGAGGGACTGGGAATGATAGTCCAACCAGCCGAAGCAACTCCACTCACATCAATGCCTTTGCTTATCTAGCTGAAAGAAGGGCAAACGAGCGACTCGAAGGTGATGACCAACCCAACATTAGTGCAAGGGGTAACTCAAGACGAGAAAGGAGCAGAGCTGAAGAAATAGAAGAGATGATGGTCATGGAAGCCATCCGTCTAAGCCTTACATCCGAAGAGGAGAGGCGGAAGAAGGAAGAGAAAGAAGCTAAGAAGGAAGCCAAGAAACGAGAGAAGGATTCGAAGAAAGGTGGAAAGTGTGGTGATGAAGCCTCCAGTAACAGTGGTAACAATTCTACACTCAATGTTGCTGCACCGATAGGTGTTGCCTGCCCTGAAGCCGGACCCTTGGGAAATACCTCTTCAACGGACAAGGGTAAAGGCGTAGCTCGCCCAGCTTGCCAGGTAGAATCTTCCCGTATTCCCGACCAGCCGCCCAAGTTGACTTTGAATATTCCTCTCGACGGCGAATCCTCCGTGCAGGCAGGGAACTCCCCAAAAACGCATCTTCGACCGCACTCGAGTGCCTCATCTTCCGACATCTCTCTTGTCGAATCCGCATTCGACGATCAAAAGGATACCGGCACCCCCAACGGCTCAGCTCCCAACATCGACGCCGTTTTTAATTTCCGCAGCCTTGCCGCCATGGTTGGTGACGCCGAGAATGCGGACCAGGAACACACTGAGCGCTCGAGCTCTCCAGTCCCCATCGGCGGCCAGGCTGATGACTCGAGAAAGAGTGAACCCCAGCGTGAGGGCTCCAAGCCACGAGGTTCCCCATTGGAAGTGAAAGAAGCACAGTCCCAGTCCACTGAAATACCTTCTCAGTCTCCCATAAGTTCGTCTTAGGGGGCGTATACTACTACTACTACTGCCTATATACAAGTCCTCACTGCCGAGGCCATCGTCCTGTCCGACACTCCTTTTCCGGTTGACTACGCCGCCCTTTTTTCTTTTCCTTTGTTGTGACCGTGGTGGATGGGTGTTTGACAAGCGGTTTCTTGAGGGTAAATTGCATAGCTCTGTCACTTATGGAGTTCAAGGTTGGAAGTGTCTTGTTTCTCTCCTTTTTTTTTGGGTAGGAATTTGGTTAATCTGTGAATTTCTTTTTACTGCTCTTTTTCTTTTGTCGGCTTTTGGTCATTTTTTTGTATAGATATATTCTTCTAGCATTGCAACTTCTCCTACCCGTTGGGCTGTCTATACACGATTAGCTTGGTTGTCTCGTCAGTCTCAGCGCAAAAGTGATATAACACTCGAAACAGATTCAAAATTCGACTGGACCAATATATATATATATCATATATATAGGATAATGACCAGGAGGCATACTTATATGCATATTCCCTTGGTGCATAGCTCTCCCACCAATCAGCAGGATGTACATACAAAGTACTCCCAGGAGCCCGTTTGTTCTCGGGCTTCAAAAAGGCCAAACGCGATGGCTGATATTACATGCAGCCAAGATCAGAATAACTAGTTTCTATTTATTCCCGTTTAAATAGATAAACAAGGGTTTGGTTCAGTCTCCCTGCTGGCCACAAAGCCCGTCTTTTGCCAACTACTATCACAGAGCCCTGAGAGAGTGTGGCCCAACGAGAGAAAGACCAGGAATCCAAATACTCGCCATCTTCTGCTCTATCTACCATGTCTCCAGGATTAAATATCGGATCCTCTGGCAGCCTTAACGATGAAACGGCGGAGTCCGAAGCTGCTCATCCATCTCAACCGGGGTCATCGCGGTCGCTATCTCGCAGCGCTTCTCGATCGATGAGGCCTCCACCACTGCCTCATTCCCCCTCTTCCTCCGGCGTAAGTGGACTGGGCGATAATACAGGCGTTGGCAGCGGTCCGGGTGAGTGTGTTGATTGCTTGACTAAAAAAGAAAAAGACTGATATAAATGGGTTGTAACTAATATACGGACAGGCCCGCTACGCCATCCTAGACCTATGACCATATCAGACATACATCTAGAGCTGGAGAAAGAGCAAGAGGCAGTGGTATGCATCTACCGTGTCCTATAGTCATCTCTTCACGACGTTATCGTTCCGCATACCAACTTCGACACAGGTAAACCGTCTTACGCGAGAGCTTTCTCTCCTCCGTGCCCAGACAGCATCCGTGGCATCGACAGCCTTTTCGGCATCGACAAACGTCAACGAGCAAGGCGACGGCGTGACATATAACGCAGTGTCTTCTCCCCGAACAAGATCTCGCCACAGATCATCGTCAACGCTCAGTTCTCGAAGCATCGGCGGCACCTATGTGCCAGGAAGCGCGGTTGCAGCTTTGACAAGCATAGTACCATCTCGGGATAACGGTGCATCCTCGTCACGGCAGTCGATCGACCTTCAGCGCCCGAGTATCAGCCGTGAAGTGTCTGCTTCTTCTCCCCGGTTGCCCGAAGTGTCTTCCCCCCTTCTACTTTCACCACAGTGCCCCGAGGAGCATTCCCGCCCTTCGTCTACGCGAGAACACCGATCAGAGTCTGTGTCGAGCACGTCTCGGTACGAGGAGGTTGCGCGTCATCGAGCCGAGCTCGAGGTGGTCAAGCGGGAGAACGAGAGCCTGAGACGGCGTGTTCGAGAGCTCGAGAAGATTCTACGGGAGCGTCGCAACGTCTAGCAGGATCATCGAGAACCAGGGACAAGGATAGGCCGGCGTGCAGGTTGCTTGATGGATTAGGGACGAACTCCTCGGACAGGGCTTCTTTTATTCATTTCTCTTCTCTTCTTCCATGACATTATACCTGGCACTGGCCAGTCTATCCACACCAGGAATAGAAATTGACCGGCATTACCAACAATACTCCAATCAATCCCTGATACTGTCGATGTATAAGGACTCAATATCAAAAAGCACCGCCTCTTCACATGGAAACGCAGACGTCATACTCGTCGTTAGCGTGGCTTAAACGCGAATACGAAGCCCGAAACGTCACTTGTGGCGCATGAAACCCCGCGGTTAGTTTTTATGCTTGTTTACAGCTCTTTTGCTATAAAAGCCAGCCAGCGACCCCTCGACGGCAGCAGATCCAGAGCACAAACACAATAATCACCTTTCAAGACTTCTATAACTACCTGCAAGTACAGAGAATTCTACTGAACAATGTCTGCAAGTACCGTTCATGTGGCGAATATCTCGCCCAAGACCACCGAGAAGGAGGTCAGAGATTTCTTCAGCTTCTGGTCAGTATCGCGATAATATATATATGTAGAACGGTAGTTCGATGCTAACGCTTCTCTCTATTCAGTGGAAAGATCACCTCGCTGTCTCTCACCCCAAGCAGTGGAGATGCTGAAGCCACCCAGTCAGCAACAGTGACATTCGAGAAAGAAACGTAAGATATGCCCTCGAGCCATTGACCGTCGACAAGCGCTAACTAAAGCACGTACAGCGCCTCCAAGACTGCTCTTCTACTAGACCAGACACAACTTGGCCCCTCTGCGGTCCATGTCACTGCTGCACCCAGCATCGATGAATTGGCAGGTGAAAAGGCCACCACCGCCCATGGAGCCAGAGACGAAGCCAGCAACCACCTGGACCAAGAGGACAAGCCACGCTCTCGAATCTTTGCCGAATATCTTGCCCACGGCTACGTGATCAGTGACCAGGCCATCGAGAAAGCCATCGGCCTAGACAAGGCGCACGGCATCTCCGCGCGATTCAACACCGTCCTAAAGAACTTTGACTCCAAGTACCATGCCACCGATAAGGCCAAGGGGATCGACGAGAGCTACGGTATCACCAACAAGGCTACTAGCAGCTGGCGTGGACTAAGCTCCTACTTCGAGAAGGCCCTTGATACCCCCACCGGCCGCAAGATCAGAGACTTCTACCTTCAGAGCGATAAGCAAGTGAGAGACATCCATACCGAGGCCCGTCGTCTCGCAGACCTGAAGCATGCTTCTTCCCCTGAGTCGGCCGGAGGACAGAAGGCAAAGACGACAGAGAGTGTCCCAACGGCCCCGACAGGCGTTCCAGTCGGTGACCCGTCCGCTCCGTCAACTGCTCCAGGCACAACAACCACTGAGTCAAAATAAGTATAATGGACATACTCTCTACTCTTTTTTATTCTCGGTGATAGTCGTTTTGTACCCTTAACCGTTTCCTCTTACACACATCCTGCTAGTTATGAGTATAGCTCTTATGAAAACAGGCCAGTATCGTCTAATCAGCGATGGTTTATAAATTAATTCAGATTCGATACCAATTTCACTTCAATATAACTCATGCATTACCGAATCCCTGTACATGAAAAGTTGTTTCCCTTTCGTATAAAGAACGAAACAGCATCACAGGCAACAACTAATAACCCGAAAACCCCAGCCCCTTAAAGTCGTCACTGAGTCTCCTGTGCTTCAGCTGGGATGTCTCTGCAAGTGGATGGACCGGGTTGCTTTCCAGTCCCGCCACGCCGGCATCATGGCCGTGTGGATCAGATGGATTATCGATCGAAGACGTTCCATGGCTTGACTCTTCGGCCTTGCCAGACCATGTTGGAATATCAGATTGCTGGCGTCCACTCTGTCTCGACGGAGGAGGGGACTGGCGGCCTGATCTTGGGGCCGACATGTTGTTCTTTCGTCTGAACTCTTTAGATCGAGGTGTGTATGTATCAAGGAGACTCGGTGTGATTCTTCACGTAGATCGATATTCTTTTCGACTTATCTGATTGACTTGTTCTGAGATTGTGGATGATGGTTTTCACTCATGCTAAAGAGCAGCGCTTCCCGATTATATATAGGTTTCCGGCCAGCTTGAATATATCTTGATTTTTACCATATGACGTCAGGATATCAGCTTCGGCAGACAAGACGGGCCGCCATGTAGCTGGTAAGATGCCTAGATGATAGAAATCCAATGAGATATAGATCCATCTTTTTAAGCGTATAAGTATGTTATTGTATTTCCGTAGGCTAAGGAAGTTGGTTTAAACATCGCGTCCTGGGATATAAAAAGCAACGGAGAACTGTGTAGAAAACCCCCCAATTCTAAAAGGGCCGAATAAAGTGAAACATTCTTATCATTCTTTTTTGTTATATTCCATTTTTTTTTCTTGTGGAGAATTTTATTTTCGAAATCATTAGCATTAGTTACCTTCTTTTTCCCCATTTTTAAGAACCTCCATTCGCTTTTTCAGCCTTTTGGGCCTCCAATGCTATTGAAGTTGCCTCGTTAATCACGCCTTGGATTATTTGCTGTTCCTCGGGGTTCAAGATTTTCGTCAGGTTCTCGTATAAATGTGGTTGCTCTCGTTGGAGATCTGTGGTGTTATTAGTTTCGACGGCGCTAATAGGGGTTGAATAATCGATGGCCAACATACTCATTAACACACTCTTGAAGAGGCCGTAAGGTTCAATTTTGTCAAGCGGCGACTCTAGTAGGCTTGCTTCATAAAGATCATCTTCGTCATCATCCTCGGGAACATGCCCAATTTTCATAGCCTAGGTGGTGACTATTAGATTCCAAGACGTTAGGAGATAAACTTAGTCGGCAAGAACCTACCTCTTGATGTAAAAATTCAATGTAAGCTGAGCTTTCATCAGTCACATCAACTTCTGGTCCTTCAGTCGCGTCCTGCTCTGACCATTCCACGTCACGGCCGCTCCAGTCGTTATCACCATCATCATCATCGTATGGGAGATCAGCGTCTTTGGCTGCTTCATCCCGCACTGCACGAAATATTAGTGCTGGATTACAAATATATATATAATATATTTCACAACGACACTTACATTTTATAGCGTTTGGAAGGGTTTGGAATAGGCGAGTGACTCCCTGGAGAAGGCGTGGCCATCCAGGCTGGATGCTAGCCGGAACATCCTCCGCTCTGAGAGTCAAAAGAGCACAAATGGCAACAATCGACAGTTTCTTGTCATGAACCCGCTTGAAGTTGTCGATATTCGAGAACCAGGTGCTGAAAAATTTGTTCGTCCACTGGCCACCTTCAAGTACTTGGAGTGAGAGGCCGGGGTTATAGTAGATCGCATTGATAACCATTTCCATCAGATGGATTAGGTATGATTTAGTCTGGGTCTCGTCGTTGCTCAAAACCTGCATTGCCAGGCCGATGAACACAGGGATATACTGATCTGTGTGACCGCGCAGATTTAGCATGATGGCCTCTGCAAGCTTGCAGCCACAGATCCTATCTACACCACCGCTCTTCTCATCCCGGAAGATGTCCTCCACCATACTGACGACGGCAGCAAGGTATTCTGGGTTCTGGGCTAAAGTAGCAGCACCATATGTCACAAAGTTATCGAGAGCAGGGAGCATATCTAGAAGAATGAAGTTAGAGACTTGCACCCCGTCATAGCATAGCAAGGTCGACAGAAATACACACCTTCAAGATAAAGCTCGGCGCCGGCCTTGAATGTCTTGTGGATGAGCACAAAGGCCTGCCACATGCTTGGAGAAATGGACTTGGCGGTAAATGTGCACGAGTCGATGATCTCAAAAATCTCATTGTAAAGGTCTAAAATATACGGTTAGACGGGTATATTGGAGAGATATGAGGGGTTTACTGACCAAACAGTTTGTTCTCCAGTGTGATTGTGATCACAGGCATGAGGACACTTTCGAGATGTAGAAGAACGTCCGGGGTGCTCTCAAGGGTAAGAATCAAGGTACCGATAGTCTGTAATACGCCAATAGCTGTGATACTCTTGTCATCTAGTAGATCTCCATACATATCGTTCTCTGGCTTGCTTGACTTCCTTTCGAGGAGACCCTGGACAATACGCAAATACGTATCCCTGAGCTGCTCGCACAAGGCAACGGCAAACGGTGTAAGCTCGGCAGAAAAGACTTCAACAAAATCTTCCATAACATTAGTGAGGGCGTCAACATCGACCTCGTTTGCAAGTTTGAGAAGTTGTTGCATAATCTGGGGGATATTTGTTCGCATCGAGGTCCGGATTATGCTATGGCGGATCAACGGCTGGAGAGAAAGGGCGGCCTCCACCCTTACAGGCAGATCAGGGTCGGCCAGGCAGTCGAGAATGTTGCGGTAGATTGTCATCAGGTTGCTGGGGTCCTTGAAGTCCAGCTGTTCAAACTTCTCTAGAACATCACAGGCCCGTGCCCGTAGGTATCCATGTGGACTGCGGAACTCGGGGAAAACGTGGCGAACAAAGAAGTACTCCACTTGATCCGCAATGGGGCTCTTTTTGCCTAAGATAACAGACGAAAGGGTTCCGATCATGCGAAGAGCACCCTCCTTTTCTCTGGGGAGCTTCTGGCCATCGGGCGCAGCTTCATACTTGCTGACAATTCCATTTACAAATGTGAGGATGGAAAAAGTCTGCTTCTTCCTTGTTTTTGTCAAAGAGACGAGGAAATTTGTAGCAGCGACCCCCGGAACGGTGGCTTCTTCGTAGACATTTAGCTTTCGATGCAAATACTCTGATGGGTCGGTCTCAAACATTTCAATATCCTCGTCTGACAAACATAAAATGGGGAATATGAAATGTGCTAGGAGATTATCCATGTGTGGTTTCAGGATCTCCCAGGTGACCTTTGGTTTAATACACTCCTGGAGGAAAATAAGGGTGTAGGACAGAGATGGTCTGCTCAGCCATTGCCCCTTGGAAACCCACTTGTCGATTTCCTGAAGATACCCGTTCAAGATCTCAGGGGCGAACGTGGTGATGAAGTTCTTTGCAAATTCAGTGTACTCAGGGGTGCTTGATTTTGATATTGCCGAGGGATTACCATAACTAGGTATACGTGTTAGCAATACAGACGAGTCGCAAATTGACCCAAAGAAAACCGAACAGCCCTAGATCTTTCACATACCGAATGAATAGACGATTCAGGTTGGCGTAGGACCATTTCTTGCACTTCCACCAATGAGATTGCTCCCGTTCATCTGTGTCATCTTGCATAGAATTGGCTGGGGGAATCTTTCCTATCACTCTTAAGAACAAGGTACACCAACCGACCGTTGCCTGATGCGTGGTAAGAGCAACGGGAAGTTCAAACTGTCATAGTTAGTAAGGGGTTGACCCCGAAAAATTAACGTAAAGAGGAGCAAGGGAATAACATACATATATAGCATTTTTAAAGGCCTTGATAACCGTCCTTAGCATTTCCCCAGCTTCTACACTTTCCTCTTCAATCAGGCGTGTCCCAATATTCAACAGCTGAGGAAACGAAATTTCCACAATTTTATCGAAATCGCCTCTCATCTCACCGCCCTTGAATCGATAAACCCTACATATGGCCAGGAGACATTGCAGACCAGCGAAGACAGAGTTGGCGTCGCTGCCATTTAGAAGCTGAAGCATGATGTCGATATAATCTGGCCATTTTTCCGGAAAATCGAACTGTAGAATTTTGGAGAGGATCGGGATCAACTGAACCCGTATGTTAGGCGGCGAGGAAGCGAGAACGGGGATAAGTCGGTTCCGCAGCGATGGCCTCTCATCTTCCGGTATAGACTTGTGAATTGAATGATCTTCGTCCGGCGCCCATCCTCGAGTAATCCTATTCTTCAAATACACAACCGCTGCGCAAACGGCGTTAGCCTCGATGACTCTCGTCTTCTCCCCATCCTCGGATCAAGAGGAATTGTATTAGATGGTAAGGCATCCTTACTCGACAGTCGAACTGCAGGGTCCTGTTCAGCTTCAAGGATATCGATCAGGGCGTTTGGGAAGCCTGGTTGGTTCTCAGCCTAATATTACACGTAGCGGTTAGCTGTCAATTTCAGCGCAAACGCCCCCAAGTCCAAGAAATTCGACAGCAGACCCAACACGCACATATTTCAAGTCCAACTCAGCCTGTCTCCTAGTATCCCCATTGCTGTCTAGGGTCGACTGTATACGGTCTCTGAGAGTAGCGACATCCATTGCGCGCGATTGACCGACAAAAAAAAAATTACCTAGTGCCCGTATAACGCACGAGCAGGTAGAAAGTCGAGTCCAGCTAGCCTGTGAGCAAAGGATCTCCCAGAGCAAAAAGGCAGCTTGGGAAGAATATTCGAGGAGGGCAGCAGAGTGCTGGTTTATTATCCTCTCTCTCTTATATATCTTTTTCTCCCTCTCTTCCGTTGACGTTGGAATTGAAAGATTTTGGCGGGGACGAATTATTTTTGGCGGTGCCTTAAGTTGGGTACAGGGGGTACTGTGGTACGGTAACTTTGGGCCACATCTGCGGTGTGGGCGGTGTATTTACAGCCCTCTTACGCCGTCCCTTGTATTTTTTGGTCTTAGTCATACTTTTATTTTGACTTTTTAGCTTAAAACGGTCGATTTGGGGGCCAGAAAAAAAAAGGGGGTTGATATATTGATGTTTATTCTGTTGTCTGTGGCATAAGCGACTATAGATAGAGGGAGGCGGCAAAGATCACGTCCCGCTTGATCATCTCCTGCGCCAGCTGCATCTTGTTGTACAGGGATGGATCTCCAACCAGCTTGGCGGCGTTCTTGACCTCGCGGCAAGTTTCGTCCAATCGACTAATTACCCGCACGATAGTGCCCTCCATCACATCTGTGAGGTCCGTGATGCGGTTGAACGTCATCCCTCGCGCCCACTCGTACACGACTTCCATCAGGTTGAACCGGGGTTTGCTCGCAAAGTCGTTGGCGTCGTCTGACGAGAGCACGACCTGATGCTGGATCTGGAGATCGTTCACCCGGTTGGAAATCGCAATTATTGCCTCCTTGCCGGCCTCCAGACGTGGAGTCAGCGTTGGTTCGTTCTCCGTCTTCTCTTGGAAGACGAACGCGGACAGGAGGGCCACTATTTCTTCGGGCTCGTAGTCCGCCAGCACGTTCTCGAGGATGAGTTCCGTGAGCACCAATTCGTCGGCAGAGTGTATCTATTAACATGTTACACGGAGTTCTTGAAGGTACTTTACTCAAGTGAAAGAAAAAATTTTTAGTAGCCTTACCTCGCAGGCAACCTTGCCCTTGAGCTGAACTCTGCAGGCCTCATCGACGAAGCCCAGATCCTTCAGGACTTGAATTCGTTGCTCGTAGTCAGGCAGCAGCTGAAGGTTCTGATCCGACATCAGCTGCTTCAGCTGTGAGATATTTTCCTTGACTTGCCATTCGTCGTGTTGCATTTCAAACTAATAACACTGTTAGCCTACCCACCCCCAAATCGCCATTCATCGGAAGTAGACCCTACATGTTTAAGGAGCTGTGGGCATTCAAGACATGCACAGGACTGTGCAATCTTGGCCTGTTCTGCCCTTTGCTCTAGCACTTCCCTGACCGGCATGTCCTTAACTCTCTCCCAGTCAATCTCATCCCAGATTCTATCTGTCCAAGATGCACATAGCTTTGAAAACTCCTTTCCAGCCATTTTCAGCGCCTCTGACAGAAAGTTAGCTTAAGCCAAGGCCAAATTTTCACACTCTTTGGGGTGACAAACCTTTCTTGATATTTAAATACCAAGTTGGGCCCCCAATTTTCACCGATGTGCCGGTTACGCACTCGAGATTGGCAAGTGGCACTTTACAGCTCCTTAATGCCATATGGTCCGGTGACGTCGATAGCGGGTGGAAGTTATTCCTGAAAACAGGCAGATACGGAAGAATATCACTTGGAAAGCGGCGAGACTCCAAAGGTCCAATCTCGAAAACGTTTAAGGATGGTACAGGGCCGCTAGTCACGCCCTCCTTCATCAAAATCCCTGCGGTCCTAACGCCATTCTATCATAGAAAGATTTAGTCTCCGGCCATATATTCATAATAGTAACGATTGCCAATTACTCACCTTTTTAAATACGATTAACTGCTTTGCAGCATACATGCGTTTGCCGACAGGAGAAGCTAAGAGTAAGGTATGCAATTGGAGCGTCAAACGTTCATACTCAACACCAGCCTGATGACAGGCAGCGAGATCAACGTCACAAATCGCACATGGCTCTCGTTTTATCTTCTCCAAACTAGCTTCAGAAAGTTGCACTTGCTTCTGATGCTCCGGGAGAAGCGCTTGGGTAGCGTTCTCACTGAAACTTCGCTTGATCATCTCCTCAATCTTCAGTGCCTCGACTCGTAAAAGGTTTAACATCATATTATACGTGAGTCGGAATTGAGACCGTAGCTTCGTAGGGTCACCTAGTATCATCTTCCTCAATGTGGTAATGGGAGGAGCTTCATCACGGCCAGAAGTGACTATGATTACTGATCCAACTGTATCGAGTCCACGGCGCCCAGCTCTTCCAGCCATTTGAGTATATTCTCCAGCTAGAAGATCTCGAAACCCCCTGCCATCGTGTTTTCGGTATCCAGAGAAAACTACCGTGCGTGTGGGCAAGTTTAGCCCCATTGCAAACGTCTCCGTCGCAAAAAGTATCTTGACGAGCCCCTTTGCGAATAATATCTCAACAATCTCCTTTACAATCGGAAGAAGTCCTCCGTGATGCACACCGACTCCACGACTAAGAAGTTCTCGCACCTTGCGAATCTGTGGAAGATCTCTATCTTCAGCCCTGAGTCGGGTGAGCGATTTCTCCACGATCATATGGATTGCGCTCTTATCTGACGCGGTACAGAAGTCCTGGTTGGAAAGGGAGTCCGCATTTTCTCCGCACCGTTTCTTGGAAAAGACGAAAATGCAGGCTGGAAGCATTTCGCGCTTTCGTAGATATTGCACCAGGTGCACCCATACATTGCGATCCTGGGCGGCGGAGGTTCGGCCACCACCACGCCCTGTCCTGGCAATATTGCCGGTTCCTCGAGTTGATGGCTGTCCTCTACCTCTCTGCTGCGGGCCGCCTCTCTGCCCCGTCCCTCGTTGGCCACCTCCGCGTTGGTTCTGGCCACGTCCTCTCTCGGGTTGTTTACCTCCCTGAGCCTCTGCTGCTTTTTGAGCCTTTACTTTATCACGGCCCGAGAGAATATCATCGGCATCCTTCCAGCCTTTCTCAATGAACCGTTTGTCCGCGTCTACCACCTTATGTATCTCCTTTCCAGCCCATAGGTAATGTTCTAATGGTACTGGACGCTTCGGTGTAGATATAACGTAAATGTCCTTCTTCTTTGTCCGACCTACCCATGAGGCGAATTCGTATGTATTTGGCACAGTAGCAGATAGCAAGATCAGGCTAACATGCTCCGGCAGCATGATTATGACCTCTTCCCACACAACTCCTCTTTCTAAGTCATTCACATAATGAACTTCGTCGAATATAACGAATTCCACATCTCGGATCAAATCCGCGCCTCGATAGAGCATACTTCGCAAGATTTCTGTTGTCATGATCAGACAGCTTGCCTCAGGGTTGATCTGTATATCTCCAGTCAGAATTCCAACGTCGTCAAAAGTGCCCCTAAAGTCACGAAATTTCTGGTTACTCAGAGCCTTTATCGGAGACGTATAAATAGCCTTCGTCATATGCTTGTTAGCTAAAGCAATTGCGTATTCTGCAACTACTGTCTTTCCAGCAGACGTGTGCGCGGCGACAAAGACGGAATCTCCATTCTCCAAATGATACACCGCTTCTTTTTGAAAGATGTCTAGTTCAAACGGATATTCTCGAGCCATGTCTGGAACCAATTCGTAGAAATTGGTTATTTCTTTATTGACATCCACGACATGAGCCCATTCCTTACGAGACTTTTTCAATGAAGACTGGATGAGTTGTCCTCTAGGCTCCAAGGCAGGGTATTCAACCGGCAGAAGAGCGTCTATATCCTCTTCGTCTTCGCTGGCAGAGTTGTCTTTATCCTCATCGACGCCAGTTTCCTTGGTGGTATCTCGAGAATCATGGCTCGATAGTTGTCCAAGTTCAGTACTGTCTTCATGATCAAGTGCTTCACGAACTTCTTTTGCATTCCTTTGCGCCTCTTCATTACCCTCTGCCTCAAACTTTAACCCGCGAGTGAAGCCAGGAGGGATCTCCAGTAAACCACCCTGAGAGCCAAAATTGATAATCCTGTCGAGGCCTGACGGTTTAGCCGGAGCACTTTCCAGCATTTGGTCTTCAAGTTCAGCCTCAGCATCGAGTGCAGAGATGGCGTCAACTGCTTCAAGACCGCCCGGTGCAAATGGATAAAACCCTGCTGCTCCCCTCACGAAATCTGCACGACTAGCAGGTTTCCTTCGTAAAGAAGTAGAATTCTTTGCCGTAGCACTACCTGCCGGAACGGTAACTTCATGATATCCGGTGACTCTACCTTCTAATCCTTCACGATTAAATCTGATAATAGTCCGACTTTGAGTCGGCGCAAGCTCAAACAGCTGCGAATAGTCAGGGGAGAATTCCCATCGCCTAATAGGAGAGAAATATAAGTTACGGTATCAACATGCCAGGGAGCTCACTGTAAGTCTCACCTTTGGAGTTTGTTTAGCCAGTGAGTATTAAAACATGGAGACGGTATCAGAAATTCTCTCTCTAGTTCAGCTTTCAGATCATCTGCTAGCTGTATCTTGCGATTACGTGGCTTTTCCGATGCATCGTCTTTAGCCCAGGCATCAAGGTCTCCGTCTGGATCTATAGCATCCATATTTATCTTAACCTGCTGAATAGCAGCCGCAAGTGTGTCTGACATGGCGACCATGCATTGGATCCTGTGACCCCAACAGAGCCGTGTCTGAGAAGAGCTACTCTGTTACTGTAATTTGTTACCACGGTCAGATCCTGGAGAGCAGCAACTAACATCTCTCAAAGTGAAGCGTGTTTTGTTTCTTGTCTGGGTCTTTTGATAGACAAAACTGAAGTCGCTTGGTGATATCACATGACCTGACCACGAAGGTTCCAAATATATAAATTGAACTCCATCAAAATATCTAGTCTCAATAGACCAATGTCTGAAATTTGGATTTAATAAAGCGAGCCGCAGTCTGAATATATATTGGTTGTTATGCTATCTAATTAACTATTAACTATCCGTTCGATTTATACACCTATGCGGATACCTCCTCTTTTTCTTCTACATGTCGAACCATCCAACTCAAAACGCGATCGGTAAAAGGCTTTTTGGGACCTAATTCATTTCGTTGGTAAGCGGATACATATTCAAGGGGATGTCTGGCCATACCTGGCTGCGGAGGTGGCTCTTGAGAGCGATCGGATTTACGACCCAACAAGCATCCAAAGACGGTAGAACCACTGGGTAGCACCAGGGCAACAGCCTGAGCGATGAAGAGGTATACCGCGACCATATCGGTTTCCGACTCAATGTGGTTTCTCGCCACAATAAGCTCCGCCCACAAGATAAGCATCCAACCGAAAAACAACATCATAATAGCCGATCCAAGCGGAATCTGAATGTATTTGTTGAGATACCACGGCATCTTCCTATCCTCGCCGTAATGCCGATACGTGTATGCGGTAAGAGCCAGCTGGATAGCCCCAAAAACGAAGGAGAAAGCCATCAGCGAATCGGCGATCTGCCATAGGAGGATGAACGTATGCCAGCCTTTACTCAGAGTTCGCCATCCGAAAAAGAAAAACTGGTATTCCCCAAAGCCTTCGGGTAGGTTTGTCTTCCAGCTTATCCAGGCAGATACTGTGTTTAGAATCATAACACCGGCTGAGCCTAGCGCGAGTAGAATAGCCATGACGAGGTTGCCTGATGAAACGCCGCCAAAATATGTGATAGCGTAGATGAAGTTGAAGTGAACTGGTAACAAGGCAAGGGCATGTAACTGCTTTGCTCGGACGGCCTGGTACCATTGGACCTGGGTATACCAGTTATAGGCCAGGAAGCCAAGGTTACTAGGACAGTTGTTGCCGATTCCCGAGACAAACTGGGCTGGAGTCAACATCATACTAGTGTAGAGGAGCCATCGGTTGGTGACGCTGAACCCTTGCACGACCTGGATTGCCGTCATCTTTGTGCAGAGCCGCCAGGTGTGCAGCTGCTGGAAGGGTTAAAGCGCAGGATCAACCCTAACTGCCGCCGGGAATAACTGTAAGAAAAAGGTTAGCAATGATTTTCAACATATAATAAACAGGAGTATAAAGATATTCATGCATGTAATGGAAAGTAAAGGAGAAATGGGAATATATACAGTTACTAAGACAAAGTCCCTTTGATGTTCATATAGTATCGACACTCTCTGGTGTGCTCAATGTCCAGGAGAGGCCTAGCTTTTATCTTTAAGGTCTTGATGAGCCTCATTCCGTCCTGCGATCAACGAGGCTGAGCGCTTTTCATGCATGCTGCCTGCTATTGGCCGCAGATTCGCCTAGAGTATGTCTGAAGCAGCTCTAACCCTGTCATCAGACCTTTTGCCATCTGTGCCATCACCCTTGTCCAGATATATTTAGTTCGGCCGTGGATGAAGCTCATTTGCTGAAGAGTTCGTGATAGCTTGTTGGGATAAAATGACCTGTCACGGTTGATGTGGCTGTGAGATTTCAGGAACCCAGCTCACTACATTGTAGTTAAGAGGGCTAGCACTCCAATAGTTTAAATGGCTGGATATATATCTGCTTCTGGGGCAGACATCTTCATGGAGTTTTCTAAGCCTCTAAGTCTAAAGCTCACTTCCTCGTGACAAGATATCTTCTGCAAGGAGAGTCGCTTACCCCTGTCAAAGATATGATACGAGTCTGAACAAACCCCATTGGATCATATTCAATCTTTGAGGCTCAATCCTATTATTAGCATAAAATCGCCACCAAAACAGAGTCACCAAGCACTGCACCGTGAAGATGACACCGACTATCCCAGTCGTGTCGAGGATAGGTATAAGCCATCATCAAAAAACTGGTCACATCAAGTTGATGATGGCTATCACTCGGATGGAGCCAGAGAAAAATATAGATACAAGTCATCACCTCCTCGAGAGCCAGAACGGCGCCCCAGGGACCCATCGCCCGCTGAATCAGATACCAGACGGCCAATCAACTCTCCACGCCACGACGACTTCGTAGAAGTAGCCCAAGGGAGAA